GAGAAGCCCCTCCGTCTTCCTCTTCAAGATGTCTACAAGATCGGTGGTATTGGCACAGTCCCCGTCGGTCGTGTCGAAACCGGTACTATCAAGCCCGGTATGATTGTCACCTTCGCTCCTTCTGGTGTCACCACTGAGGTTAAGTCCGTCGAAATGCACCACGAATCTCTTGAAGCTGGTCTCCCTGGTGACAACGTTGGTTTCAACGTCAAGAACGTTTCCGTCAAGGACATCCGTCGTGGTAACGTTGCTGGTGACTCTAAGAATGACCCCCCTATGGGCTGTGCTAACTTCACCGCTCAAGTCATCATTCTTAACCACCCCGGTCAAATCTCTGCTGGTTACTCTCCTGTTTTGGACTGCCACACTTCTCACATTGCTTGCCGCTTCAATGAGCTCATTGAGAAGATTGACCGTCGTACCGGTAAGAAGCTTGAAGAATCTCCCAAGTTCGTCAAGTCCGGTGATGCTTGCATCGCTCAAATGGTTCCTACTAAGCCTATGTGCGTTGAAGCTTTCACTGACTACGCTCCTCTTGGCCGTTTCGCCGTCCGTGACATGCGTCAAACCGTCGCTGTCGGTGTCATCAAGGCCGTCGAGAAGACTGCCCCTGGTCAAGCTAAGGTTACCAAGGCTGCCCAAAAGGCTGGTGGTAAGAAGTAAAGTACTTGATGATTACCATCATCAGGTCTTTACTAGTCACTCCTATCAGTTGGTTGTTTAGGATTGAATTAATTTAGTAATTGATATTTTAAAAAAAAATTTATGGTATAGTTGATGTAAGTGTATGGACACCCAAATAATCTATAAAGAGCTTGTTGTATGCGGAAGGTTCTGAAAAGGCTAAAAAGTGGTGCTTTATGGAGAGGAAGAATTTTCAAAAATATTGTAAAGCAAATTACAAACCCGCTAAACATAACATCACTTACAAAGAAGGCTTTGTGTATATCTATGCACACGACCAGATGGTCTGTTCATCTCTAGATAAGCGAAAACCATAATTCTAATATGACAAATGTATTTGAAGTGATAATTATAGGTACATACATATTAACCGGATAACTGATAACTTCTATCGATCACTTAGAACGACATCAAAAAGAAAGCAATAATTTTATGATAATTTCACATATACAAAACATGTAAAACAAAGTCTATATGTTAACATAAGGAGGATGTTGGATAGTCGCAGCTGAGAGAGAATTATTTATATTAAAGATATCCAACAGCGGAACAGGGCTAGCAGACCGCAATGATAGTGTAATTTCAGACGGCGTACGCAAACCCGATGATGTTCGGGCACTTGGTGGACATTCCAAAGCTTGCTTTAACGTCAAAATTTTCTCGTTTCTAGGATTCTGATTGTCGACTTTTGCAGCTGATTGGTTTTTGTGATGCATAATCGGGTTCGGATTGAAGTCTGACATCGGCGATCCATTAGAAAATGAATTTTCGGATGAAGAAGACAAAGTAACTGTTTGGGTAGGTTTCTGTAGTTTTTCATAAAAACTCGAATATTTCGGATGCCAAGATTTTTCCAAAAATAAAACTTTTGATTCCTCAGGATAGACTGAAGGGTTTTCTTGTAATAATTCTGAAACGACCGCTTCAAGTGAAAGAAAAACGCTGCTAGTAGCAGCTGAGGGTAGTGGCTCCCATAAACTTCTGGTCACCGTGCCATCGTAATTCAAAATTGAAAGAGAATCAGAGGGAAGAGACTCTTTCCACCTCAAGCTCATCATTTTTAAAGTCCCGTTGCTCAGACAATCAGAAACGTACAGAAGATAATCGGTAATTAAAGCTTGATGGGTAACCAAATATTTTCCTTTTGTCGCATTTAAAGCGCGATAAAGTAAAGGGAGAAAAGCAGCGACAGTAATAGGTCCATAAAGAGCATAAAATTTTCGTGATAATTTACGTACAGCCTCAAACTCTCCTAAGGAGGAGAATTTTCCAAGCCATTTCTCCACTTGTCCACTTATTTCGTAGATGAAACTCCATAAAGCAGAAAAATAAGATACTGTACTTTTTCCAAAAACTGAATGAAAGTCAAAAATGGAAGTAGGTAGAATATTCAAAAACTCAAAAAAAACATTCACTGTTTTCAAGCGAACAAATGGAGAATCCGAAATATATACTCGCTGAAAAGATACTGGCCAAGCCCGGTACAAGAAGTCAGCAATAAACGAAAGTGTACCAACTGAAGATGGTCTTTCCTTTCTCATTTGTTCCATTTGCATCGTATTCAAAGCCGTAAGCACAACCAGCTGAGTTGCAGTTGTAGCTTTTTCGCTTAAAAGTGAATCCATCTCTCTCCAAACATCAGCAAACTCTTCGTTGTAATATTGATGTTTGATTAAGGAAGTGATACATAACAGAAGTAAATATAAACGTTGAGGCAATCGCTCAGCCGGAAATTCACATAACGTGTACCATTCAAAATCACTAGCTTGTGTATTCTCAATTGCAACTAGTAGATGAAACTCTAGCTCTCTGAGGACGTCAATCACAGAAAGACTTGGAATGGAATTTTGCGAGTTAAGGATAGAATGAATCATATAGGGAACCAAAACATTGGTATTTGCGAATTGGATGCGGCTGCTTTGGAGACAGCGTAAACAGCAAAAAAAGATGGAATGGCGTAATTCAACTGAAGTCCACTCAACTATTTGGTTGAGCACAACAGAGATGTAGTTTTGATTAATCCGAGTATTAGGATTACTAGCGAAAAAGTGAATTAGAGACTTCGTGCTTTCTATCATGAAAACAGGATTCGTCTGAGTATATATATTATATAAAACCCTCAGCGAGAGTTTTTTATTCGCGATCTCTACAGTGTCGCCAACTTCATCATGCTCCGGTAAAGATATACCAGTAGTACTAGGGGGTAACGGCCTGAATGTTTGCGCTGTTGAGCGCACCATGTCAATAAAACTCTGTTGAGTCATTTCATTCTTGCTCCAAGCGTTACTTAGGAAAGCATGAATAACAAAATGAGGTTGGTTACGTGAAATGCCTTCAACATCAGAAAGCTTGCAAGATGTCAATGCGTGAAATGCCTTCAAGCCTAACATTCTTGATTGCTGAGGATCTGGGGGACTGTCAGTTCTGGCCAGGTCAAAATAAAAAGAAACCAATTCATCGAAAGATTTATAAAATTCATTTCCAAAAGCTGTAGAATTTGTTTTAGCGCTACGTTCGCAAAAGGCAGCAAAGCAATCCACCGACATGTTCTGAACGTCCAAACTTTTGAGATTGCTAGAAGCCAACAATATTTTAACAATCTCTGAAGCCATTATCATGACATTCTCCGGGCACTTTTGAATCAAAGTTCGACAAATCTTCAAAGCGATGACCGTTTCACTAGTCCTGTTAGTAAATAGCTCGTTCAAAATAAGCTCCCATACTTGTCCCTTCTCCTATATACGATGTGTTGAGTAAGACGACTTAAATACCGAATGACCTTCTTCAATTTCCCTGAATTTGATGCGGCATAGTAGCTCAAGTATGCTAAAGGTGAGCCGTTAGGTTCTGATCCTCCTAATTTTCTTGAAGGAAAGCATTTGAGAACCAATTTTTTGTGCTTAGAGCGAAATAAAAGCCACATAGAAGCCAATTGAAAGGTCAGTCATGAAATGGCGTTCGAGTTGGTAAAAGGATGAAGTAAGGTGGTGGTGTACTAAAATCTCTTAAGCAGGCAAATATGTGATAAAAACGTAATTAAGTTATCTAAGCGAACCAGTTATTTCACTTATTAAAGTTTAGTAAGGGTGATATATATATATATATATATATACATTTACTATTCTTACTTATTCACCCAAATCATTGTACTAACCCTTGCATTATGGTAAATATATAGTTTTAAAACACTACATATACTTAGATTAAACGAAAGAAATAAATGCATAGAACCTCATGAAGATAATGTTCCACAATCGACTTGAAACATTTATATATGAAGATTTAAAAACACAGCAAATATTACACAGTCACCAGCTACGTTCGAAGGAAGGACGCTGAATCCACTCTCTTGAACTTTGAACAGGAAAGACCGTTTAAAGCAAAAGCTCCAAAGGATTTTCCATGATCTTCTTAAGAGCGGTGGTGAAACGGGCAGCCATGGCACCATCAACAACACGGTGATCAGCGCTCAAAGTGCATTTCATGATAGGAGCGACCTTGAAGCCCTTCTCAGAGGTCTTATCAGGGATAACATTTTCGCTAACAGTACCCACTGCCAAGATACAAGCCTGAGGAGGGTTGATGATAGCAGTGAATTGATCAACGGGGTACATACCCAAATTGGAAATAGTGAAAGTACCACCTTGGTACTCTTCAGGCTTCAATTTGTTGGCACGGGCACGATGGCCGTAATCCTTTGCCATATTGGAAATTTCACGAAGGCCAAGACTATGAGCATTACGGATGACGGGAGTAATCAATCCAGAAGGAGTAGCAACGGCCATAGAAATGTCAACATTCTTGTGTTGGCGAATAAAGTCACCCATCCAAGCAGAATTGACTTCAGGTACTTCTCTCAAAGCGGCAGTAACAGCTTTAATTACGAGATCATTAACGGAAAGTTTGTAGCGGCCATCAGCAATAGAGTTAAGGGCTGTGCGGAGACGAACAATCTTTTCTACATCAATGGCAACGCTAACATAATAGTGGGGGTTAATTTGCTTACTTTCAGTAAGACGAGAAGCAATAATCTTGCGCATATTGCTCAAAGGTAAATCTTCATAGGTGCCAGCAGCAGCAGCATCCTTAGCAGAAGCGGCAGGACTAGTCGCAGCAGCAGCAGCTTTATTTGAGGGAGCGGCAGGACGTTCAGGCTTGAAGTTTTCAACATCAACCTTGATAATACGGCCATTGGGACCAGATCCGCGAATTTGAGATAAGTTAACACCTCTCTCTTCGGCCATTTTTTTGGCTATAGGAGATGCAAAGATACGATCATCATGGACGGCAGTGGCTTCCTTAGTCTCGGTCTTGGCAGTCTCAGCTTCAGCAGTAACATCAGCCTTTTCTTCCTTCGCTTCCTTGGGTTGTTCTTTAGGAGTCTCAGTAGTTTCAGGAGCAGAATCTTCAATACTGAAATCCTTAAAAGCTTCCACGTCTTCGGCATTCTCTACAGTGACAGCAACGGGCTTACCGACAGCAACATCCTTAGCACCACTCTCAATTAAAATCTTAGCCAAGTAACCCTCATCTTGTTGTTCAAAGTCCATTTGAGCCTTATCAGTTTCGATTTCACACAAAACATCACCAGGCTCAATTTTATCTCCAATGCTTTTCTGGAATTCTCCAATATTACCAGCAGTCATTGTAGGAGACAAGGCTGGCATATTTAAAATTGTGTGAGGGGGATATTCTTTTTTGGTGGCATAAAACCGAGCCATTCTACTAATCAATGGGTAAAGATTGGCGCGCTTGGCTGTAATTGTTCTAATAGGTTAGTCATTACTATCAAATACAATGAACAGAAATAGAAAGGGGATTTCTTTTTACTTACCCACCAGATACTTGCAACGATTTCGTTACAGCAATACCATGGCGCACATTACGAACGAGGCTTCCAGACAACATTTAGCAAATCGTCAAAGATGTCAAATTAAAATTTTCAGTCCGTTCCCAACGCTGATCGTTGCCAAAAACTCAAAGAATTATGGTGTTGGTAGAGGGAAAGCTGAGGTTCCCTAAGGGTGAGAAGTCCCCCTCCGGTATTATGAGGTGCACTTCAATATGGTAGCAAACACTATGAGAAATAGCAAAAAAGACTGCGTTTAAAAAGAAAAGTTCACATTATCATTACAGGTTGATATTCTTGTATAATTCTAACTGCTCATCAATAGGCCTGCAATCATATTGTACACATATTCAAAAAGGCTTAGTAACTTTACGTTATGTATTATTTAATAGAACTTAATGATGAAGTTCATACTGTACGATTTACCCAAACCTCTACAGATTAATATGAATTTAAATCAATTGAACCAAAACACTAAAGAATGATCGTTTAAAAAAGCGCATGCATTATTTAAGTCCTTAGCGATTAAATCAAGTAGTTATAATTAGATATATTCAAAATCGGCTTGCCAATGTAAAACTTAAAAAGAGCGACATAAGGGTTCCATTAGACACAGCATTAGCTTTCCATTCAACTCTACCAAAAAAGAAGTATGTTTAGAACTTAATTGATAAATAAAAATGATAATAGGAAACAGGTGAGAAAGGAGGTACAGTATTCATGTTGAAAGCTCGTTACATTTAAAAAGAGAAAAATATAAAATAATTAGGTACCAGGCTTGAAAAATCTCCATTTTTATCACGAATCATGGCAAATGAAAACGAAACGTCTAAAAAATAAATAGATAACCGAACATGAAACAATCAAACAGTCTAACTTTTTTCATCAGCTGTACAGGTCATTTATGGAAAGGAACCAAAAAAAAAAAAAAAAAAAAAGAAGAAAGCAAGAATACAAAAGAAAAAAAACCAAGAGTTACCATGCTTTTTCAACGAAATTAGAGCCAAAGAAAAAGCTTAACAGAACCAGTATTAGGAATTTTTGTCATTATGATTGATTTCTTTCAGAGTCACTTGAGCATCCTTGGAGGTGCCGTCCTTCTCAAAGGATTCTAATTTTTCATAGTATTCAAGAACATCAGGAGGAAGAATGCCGACATCTTCATCCTTTCCAGGATAGAGGAGTTCTTGAACATATACGGCACGAACGGCAAGAATGATTAAGCAAATCCAAACAATGGTTATGATGACACCGCAAACTTGACCAATAACATCAAGGGCTTTAGAATTGATGGCTTTGCCAAGCTCTTGGATGACCATAACAAGACCACCATTCGCAAAGATCATTGCGAACCAGGAAACCTTAAATTTCAGTTTACCAGGAGAGCAAAAGCCGGCGATGACAGAAACCAAAGCAAGTACAAAGTTAAAAATGCCCAAACCGATCATGAACAAAGCAAAGAAACTGCAGATGAAAAGTAGCCATTCGGGTGAGTCTTTTGTGACAAAAATAGGGTGATGCTTGTGTACAGCACCAAAAGCAAGATCCAAAAGAGTTAGACCCGTGTATGAAGGAGGGCTAACAAAGATGAACATGCCAGGACGATCAGCCGGGGCCTGAAGACCGGCTGTGAAAAGACGAAGTATGTTATTCCCATAAACAAGAAGATAGATCCAAAAACCCAAGCCTTGGAAGGCGATACCAGCGACAATCATATTTTTTGCCTGTTCTGGAGGCTGAGACTCAACAATGGCGCTCGCAGCAACACCACAAATCATACAGGGAAAAATTGGAAGAATGAGAGCGGGAATAATGGTATTAAGACGAAATGGATGATTGCGAAAAAGGGTATAAAAGGAGCTGACACAAAAAATGCAAGCGCAAGCGACATAAATCCAGTAGGTGATGCGAATCGTCCAAACCATCCATTCGCCGGTGTAAGGGTAGGCATATGGGTAAAAGTTACTAATTATAGTGGCAATGGAGAGGAGAAAGGTAGGCATAAAGACTAATTCGCCAGGGTTATTCCAAGCCTTCCTGAACGTACCCCGGTAGCGAAGGAAACGAAAGAGAATGCATACTGTAAAAAGAGAAAAAATGCAAAGTTGAAAGACAAAGATAATTTTCCCAAGGGTATTGAGACCATGAAAACGAAAATAATACAAAGATGTGATCATGCCAATGCCACCAGTACCCATAGTAGAAGCAAACCACGCCCACGTAAAGTGTTGAAGGCGCCTAGCAATAGGAAGGCGTTCACCACGTACGCGCAAGTCCAAAAGTTCATGATAACGTTGCTTCAAGAGACCCATTAACTAAATAAAAAAGCAGCAGCACTTGGAAAGCGGATTGAACAAGCGGGATGATTCAATATAGTGCAAAGAACAATTAGAAAGAAGAGAATGAATCTAATGTAACCAAAAGATGCAGAACGAATTAGTGAATAAATAAATGAAAGAAAAAAAAATAGCGATAAAGAAAAAAAAAAGAATAAACAATCAATCAACACAAAACAGGACTTAGAAAACTTTTAACGAAAAAAAAATCCTCGAAAAACCAAAACTAAGGTTATGTAAAAGGCTGCTCTCTAACGATGCCCTTTTATGCAATTCTGTATTGCTTTTTTATTTCTGCCTTCATTAAAAGCGAGAAAATGCTTTTTAGTTTTGTTCACGTTACACCTCCTTCAATGGCAAATATTGTGTACCCGGCAATAGCATCCAATAGTACCGAAATGAGACTCTTAACTCCGGTATATTTCTGCGTAGTGTAAGGGAAGAAGCAGAGGATACCAGTCATCAGAATTAAAGATTTGTAGATGTTTAACTATCTGTAGTGAAATAATTTCTCTGAAAGAAGCAATTTCCAATCGCTTATTAAAGGGAAAAGTAATACCGAGGGTTCTATGTACCTTACCTTTGATTCTTTAACGACGCTAAGGGACCGATCCCTATTCAAAAGGAACGCAAGGGTCGCGATGCATCTATTACGGAGGTAGGACGGAACGGAAAGAGATTTCGATGTATGCATAGGAAGAGACAGAACAAATCCCTCTTTATATAAAAGGGAAGGCAGACACTGAGTGAAACGAACTTCCCAAGGGATTTTTTGCTGAGTGAAAGGAAGGGATGGAGAGCGCGTCTGTATCACATACAGCAAAAGCTTTTATATTTTGAAACTAAATATTTGTAAGTGAGCTGTATGAAAGTTTTGAATGGCAACTCGGGTATGCCGGATAGAGTGGTATAAACAAGAAGGAAAGAAGTTTCAGTTAAACGAAAAAGAAACCCATTTAAAACGAAAAAGATGCGGAGACGCTAAGGGGGAGATATACAGCGACATCATACAACAATGAAAAGTAACACATGAGGGAAACTTTTCAAAGAGATGACTAGGCTTCACCTGAGAAGATGCTGATGATAATCACATGCTCCTACGGAAAGAGGTTGAACTTCTGTGATGGTAAATTTTCATTATCCTGAGCTGGGGTGCTCTTTGCTTCCGATGCCAGCCGTCGCAATTGCCGATACTGAGTCCCAATCATTCGTCGCTTACCCTTTTTTTATCTTTTTTACGAATACCCTCTGGTTCCCTCTTCAACTGCCGCCGAGTGGTCGGTCAGCCAAGTACATCTTTAAAAGACTTGCTGGGACTCCTCAAATGCCGTTTCGGGAATTACTGCATCCGAAGCATTTAACCTTTATTTCTTCCCCTAATTTATTAAACTTTGATTTACCCCGTCTATTCCATTCAGACATGTGCGCACTTAGAAATAATTAAGTTTACGCACTTCATGTTCCCGTTATGCATTTTCACTAGCTCCTGTAACCTTCCTTTGGCCGCCTTGTTGCTTTTTTGGCGCCTCCTTTTCGTCTGTTTTCTCATTCGTTCAAGCTCCTCTTACACTTTCCATCATCCTCACGAAACACTCCTACAAGGTTCGAGACTTACGTCAAATACCGGCAATGAAAAAGTATCTCGTGATCTCATATACCGGCTCTCCACACTTACGTCGGCATTGCAAAGGTAGCAAAAGGTCTAGAACGGTTATGAGCCCTATCATTAAACCAATCAGAATAAACAAGAAACGTGACTCGTGTGTGGTTGCACTTTATTTTGCCAATTCACAATGCCTCGAGTCTTATAATGTTCATTGATGTTACCTTTCTCCTCATTGATACGTAGCCGAACTTATTCTTCTTCTTACTATCTCGCTCTCACTCCATCCTTTGCGTCATTTTTTTGTATATGTTATTTGAGTCGCAAAGAACTTTGTACATTCGGGCATGTAATTTCTTGCATTTATAAAGGCCTCGTTCCCCCACGTCAACCGTATCCCTCCTTCGGTGTTGTTTTACTCGAGTTTCGCTTCCTCGAGATATTTTTCTTTTTTCTTTCCCTATAGTCGGTGACATTCACATCGATTCGGTTTTTATTTCTTGAATTTGTTTGTTTTTTTTTTTTGCTTTGTTTGGACAATAGTTTCCTTCGCTACTTCTTCCTTAGTTGGTTCTGCATTGACCTCTATCTCGTCTGACCGACTGTATCATTGACTACTTAGGTATTTTGCGAGCTTGTAGATTTAAATCTGCATTCGCGCTATTTTTTCTTCCGTTTTCCCCTTACTTCCTTTTTGAAGCGTTGTTTCCCTTTATTTTACGTGATTCCCCTTATTTAAACGCTACATATTTGGAAATATATGTCGATTAGTTCTTTTTGAATTGACTCAGCTTTCTTTGTAATAGTATTTTTTGTCCCTCGCACCTTGTTTCTCTATAACTGATCTAACATTCTTTCGAAGGTCGACGGAAGCGACGAATCTTGATTTTGATCACCTCGTTTTTAAAATACTTTTATCTAGGTATTTATCTCAGTTCATTTGAGACAATTTATAAAAAAGCCGTACTGAAATCGCTTATCAAAAGTTAGTTTATCCTTTCAAGTCTTGTTAATTTCACCCGACATTCGTTTTTTCATTTACGTGTTTGTTTTCACTCTTTTCTATCTCGTTTTCTTCTATTCTTTGCATTTCTTTTCCAGTGACGAAGTTGCTTGGTTTTACCATATCGTCTTGTGTTCAGTCCATTCTTTCTGTTTAACGTTTGGTTTTTTTTTCTCTGCATTTAATTTTCTACTCTATTTTATTCCTTTATATATTCAGCCTAAACCGCCTGTTTATATTGAAAGATTGTTTTGCTATATATTCTTGTAACATTAACACTGTTTTCTTGAGTTATAAAAAAAACAATGGACTACATTTTCCTTTGGACGGGCAGGAAGTTCCGTCACCTTGACATTAATGCAGACATAAGCAAGGTTCAATCCAGGAAAGCATCTTCTCCGCAAGACCAAGAACCTACTCATCAGCAGCATGAAAAAGTTGAGCCTCAGGCCCACTCCAGTGATGAAGATGATGGTTTTACCTCCTCTCACAGTAAATCTTACCAAGAGGAATCAGATTCTACAGAGTATCAAGTTGCTTGGGCCGGCGTAGACGATCCGTTGAACCCAAAAAATTGGCCCATGTGGAAAAAAATTCTTACAATAAGTATCGCTTCCTTCATTGCCATTGTAATTACTGCTAATTCGAGTATTTTCTCTGCTGGTGGTGGTGTCGCCGCAAAACAGTTTCACACAGGTGCTGCAGTCGGTGATTTGTGTTCAGCTGTATTTTTATTGGGTTTCGCTTGTGGTTCTGTCATTTTTGCTCCTCTTTCTGAGGTTTATGGACGACTTCCTATTTATTCTTGTACGCTCATCATCTTTACCCTCTTTCAGATTGGAGGTGGCCTTTCCAAAAATATTTGGAGTTTGGTCATTTTCCGCTTTATCCATGGCTTCTTTGCTTGTACGCCTATGTCTGCATGTGGTGGTACCGTTAGCGATCTCTTTTCGCCCGTTGAGCGTACTTCAGCGTTGCTCTTCTTTTGTGCTTGTGCCTTCGTTGGTCCTCTTACTGGACCTACCCTTGGTGGTTTTATCACAGGTAGCAAGTTAGGCTGGAGATGGGACTTTTGGATCAATATGATTTGGGCTGCCCTTACTTGGGTTATCGTTATCTTTGTGATGCCCGAAAGTCATGGTGCTACAATTCTCGACTTTAAGGCTAGGTACCTTCGCAAGCAAACAAGCTGTAGTTTGTGGTATAACGAACATGAACGTCAACGTAGTGTTACCAATGCCATCCGTACTTCTTTGACGCGTGGTGTGAAGCTTTTAAGTACTGAACCAATTGTTCAAGCCATCTGTTTGTATCTTGTATTCATTAACGTCCTACTCTATATGGTCAATGTCGGTTATCCTATGATATTTGCACAATACAATTTCAATTCCGGTGAAGAGGGTCTTGCCCTGCTTGGTGCTGATGTTGGGGTTTTTGTTGGCTTTTGCTTTACTCCCTTAATTCATTGGCATTACAAAAAACGCTTTCATATGAACAACGGTAATGTTCGTCCTGAAGACCGTCTATGGCCTCTATTTTTCGGTTCTTTCTTCATTCCAATTGCTTTGTTTTGGTTAGCGTGGACTTGTTACCCATCGGTTCATTGGGCAGCCCCCTTAGTAAGTGGTGTCTTTTTGGGTTGGGGATTTTTGTATGTCTTGCAAGCTTGTTATTCTTATCTTGTCGATTGTTACCATGAGCTGGCGGCTAGTGCATTGGCAGTTGGTACCACTACGCGTTACGCTGCTGGTGGTGGTATGACTGTTGTTGCTCGTCCTATGTACAACAATTTAAACTATCACTGGGCTACATCACTTCTAGCATTTATTGGTTGTGGTCTTATTCCCATTCCTTTCCTCTTCTATTTCTTTGGTAAAAGAATTCGTCAAAGAAGTGCTCATGCTTACAAGGGTGGTTAAACTAAAAAGAACACTGGGTGTTCTAAGTGTATTATAGTTCCTGCATTCCATGTAAAGGTTGTTTTTTATGTTTTCTCTGTCAAAAGTTAGCAAGGTCTTCGGAGTTTTCGACTGGTTTGAAGAGGTCGAAGTATCATTGTTGAGTTTCTCAGAGAACAAATTTGAGTTTTATACCCATAAAATTGGGCTGTGTGTTTATAAATTGAGGATGAGACGGGATCATCATCCTATTGTTTTATAATCTCTTTTAATATACTTTGAAAAGGTATATAACGGAGGTCCGTATGTTAGGTGGTCCTCTCATCAAATTTGCTTTGGACTACGATTAATGATTTCTACTGTCTTTTTTAAAGTTGAACGTATGTTTATGAACCTTGCAAGTTGTTATATAGTTACCAAAAAAAGAATAAGCATGTTGGGCTCTACGAAATGCAAAAGAGCTAAACATGAATTTATAAAAATAAAAATATTTTCTTTGTAATGTCTGAAGTAAAAAACATTTTATTCTAGACTTGTTAAGAGTTTTATATTAGTTTTTTAGATTGCTTGAGAAATTCAATATTAAGTAGTAAGTAGTGTTTTTAAACCGACAAAGGACGCATGAATCGAATCGCGAAAAGTAAATTAGTCTTTAAACAAATCAAAACATAAGATACATTAATATATGGCCTCCAAAATAAGACAAGTCAAATCGTATACTTACTGATTATATTGTGATCAAGAGAACCCAAAACAAAAGTAAACATATATACATAGTTTGTATAGCGAACGAGAAGCAAAAACGAACAAGTTCGAGAATATTTCAACGGACGGATTCTAAATCAAAATTCAGAGGATTGATAGATAAATAAATCTTTGATATTGAAAAAGGGGTCTATTTAGGGTGGTACTATTCAAAGGAAGGAATAAGTAGTTGCATAACCTATTAAGGACATGGGAAGAAAAAGGGATCCAAGTTACGAATTGAATGGAATTTGGAAAGAATGGCATGAACATACTAAGGATGTAAAAGGACCCAAGAATCAGGAAAAGAGTAATCTTCTGTTCGAAAGATATTGAGCGTGCCGACAATAGAGTAACCCGCAGTTTCTAAAAGTTCAATAAGCGTCGCTATGAAGAGACGAACGTACATGGTCTCGGGCCCATTTGCAGCCCATGGATATCCACGAAGTTTACATTCAGGCACTGTACCTCGATAAAGGCGGAATGTTTGCAAACCACGATACCAATGTTGCAGGCAAGCACTGTGAACAATGGAAATTAAGCGTTGGGAACCATCAATGATACGAATGCGATCGGAATGTTCGAATGTAATGACCGACCACTCCTTTTGAGGAGTTATCGTAGCAGCAGCTAAACCAGGGATGTGTAAGAAGAACCAACTGTCCAAGGAGCCCATTTTCTCAGAAACATTACATAATATGTAAAGTTTCCAGTCATGACTCATCATGTAAGCAATGAGTTCTTTCACTATACGTTGGACATGAATTGTACCAAATCCGCTTGCAAGCCAAGGAGCGCCAGACATTCTGATTTCATGTGAAGGGCCATACTTCCGCTGGCTCCGAACTCCCCGGGGCCAATATTGTTGAATTAGAATCACAGCTCCATCCAAAAGCGGAGACGGAAAATTCGTAAATCGAAGTTTATCATGTTCATGAAGTGAAATACTCGCAACCTCTGTAGTATGTTTGCCTACAAATGAAGGAGGAGATGGCGGCTCATAAGGTGTATAGTCATTTTCGTCATCCTCTGATTTGTCTCTGTAGGGCTTGAAAGGCTTTTCAGTAGCAGAATAGGCCGGAGGAGGAACATCAGTTGACTTTTTCATAATTTTAAAGAAACGTAAGGTTCTCTGATCCTTTGAATTTGTAGTTCAACGTCTATACGTTGAGGCAGCTAATTACTATAATTCGTAATATGACACGAGTAGCAACCTACCTACACCAAGTAACAGAATGTAAACAGACAGTTTGAATGAATGGGCTTATGGCAGAGAGGAGGGTTTTCATTTAAATTACTGTTAGCTGTTGATGGTATAAGCAAGTGATCTGATTTTGAGAGTGAATCACTTGGTTTGGTAGAAACCCAAAGGCAGGTTCGAAGCAGTAAAAAGAAGGCTACAACTATCCTTTTCTCCCTACAAGCGATTCTATGTTTCTTTGGCTTGCGAAAAAGAAGATTTTATTGTACAAGAATGCCCGCTACTGGAAAAGAAAAGCATTGGTAAAGGTTTAGGTTAAGGCGACGAGAATAAAGCAACTCAACACTGAATAAATTAAATTTTTCCTTCATCTTTAGTTGGTTTTATATGCATTTTTAAATTTTGTTTTGAAGGGATGAACGATCGTCATCATCTTTTGGTTCATGAAAAGTATTCCATTTCACCGCTGGTATTAACATCCAGCTAATCAAGCCAAATATTGTAATTGCACCAAAGATAACTGGTGCATAATTGAAGTTTTTGGCAGTTACCGGATAGGCCTTGGGTGAAAACAGGATGACTGCGGTAAATAAATTCCACAGAAAGGTGATTACGAGGAAAGGTTTGGATAGAAATCCAAGGGACCATTTGGATGTGGGAAATTTATCTTTGGAAAGAAACAATCTCCCGAAAGCTATAGTAGCATATGATAGAATCGTGGGTACAGCGGCAGCCGACATTAAAGACGTGAAGGCAACAGAACTAGGTAAGTTTGAGCACAAGAGAGCAGCAGCTACAAAATATATGAAATAGATAGCATTTTTTGGCTGGCCGTATCCGTCCACTTTGCTAAGCCATTGAGAAAATGGCAAGACACCATCACGAGCAACAGCAAATACCAGTCTACTCGAAGCTACAATGGATAAGGTTGTATCCAAAATAGTTCCAATTATTCCAACAACATTCATAAAAACATGTGCTCTTTTTCCTAATACTAAGGCATAAAAGCTTACGAATGGTTGCTGCTCGTTTGTTTTCATTAGTGGATACAAGATTTGGCTTGGCGGGAGGCAATATAGAAAAACGATCATTATACAGCAACTTAAGATACTATTTGATAAAGCCGAGTAAAACATACCTCGAGCTGCAGTTTGGCTAGCATTCTTTGTTTCTTCGGCTACATGTCCAGCAGCGTCGTAACCGACAAGAATACGAGCTGTACAGAAGAAAGTCAGACACCAAGACCATCCATGATTTACCTTCCCAATCCCGTAATTCGTCGACATCATGAATTCTTGGTCTCGAAATCCGTACTTCTTTGAAGTAGCGATGGGAAGCCAAATTAAATTGAGCAGAAAGTCCAACAGGATGACAAATACAGATGCACGAAATACATAGCGAAACCATTTTGGTGGTACACTGTTGATGAGCACGGAAATAAGAAGCAAGCCCTCGCCCACAGCCCATTGCACAGCTCGAAATTTAACATCGGTAGAGCTGACTGAAAACTTGGATTTAAACACAGGGAGCTCACCAAAAATAAATTTTGATGTAGAATGACAACTAACAGCGACAAAGGAGGTCCATGCTACGACCGCCCACCATGCGACCAAGAAGCCAATAAGCCGACCATACTTTCGACCACCAGCAGCAGAAGCCCAAAAGTACACTGATCCAGCAGTAGGCAATGCAGAACAAACTTCGGCAATGGATGACGCAGATACTAGACTCAGGGGAATCGCAATGCAATAAGTAATCCAGTATGCAGAAGGGCCACCCGTTAACAATCCTACATAAAATGAGCCCCGAATATTTGCCATAAAGTCGCAGCATGAAAAGGAGCTTGCAAAGTTTTCAAAAAACTCGTACGTACGATGTAGCTTTGGTTGGTAGCCCAATGTTTTGAGCAATTTCTCATCTTCATCTAAGCCTTGGCCGTCGGCATTTAGCACTCGAACTACGCTGTCTTTCTCTAAATTGTAAGCTATTTCTGTCAAGCCATTGCTCTTTTCTTCCGTATTTTCACTCATAATTATGAATGTAAACAAACCGTATACCGCGTTGCAACGAATGTTTTCACTTCCGATTCTTTCTATGTATATCATGTTCTTTGGGCCCCTGCATCCGAAAATTGATATCCATGGGGAAATATCGGAGCCAGTCTAATTGTCTTAATGATATGAAACTGATTGACAACCTTCTGCTATTGCTTTTCCAAGTAAAACCCCCTTCATATAGCTTTAATATGGTATTTTATAAAATCGACCTCGTTAATATGTATTCAGAGAAGACTCATTTAGAGTAAAAGTGAAGACGACGTAGACCTTTCTTTCTTTTATTTTTGTCCCAATAATTATGATTCATTTGTAACTCACGTTTCTAAAGACAATTCCCAAATCCCCAAAAGATCATTGTCCTTTGATGAAATGCATGGGTATCATCTTGTCAGTAGTTTGTATAAATTTCTTAAGGTGCTCTATGAGTTTTTTAGATATATAACTTGCTTCTCAATTTCTTCGTAAAGTATTAGTCACATGTTATTCCCGATTAAGTCACTGCATTATGACAAATTAATTAGAGAAAGTAAGTCAACCTCTAAATAGTTACAAAAAATATTATAATCCAAAATCTACCTGGAATATTCTAACTGTATACCAGCGTTAAAAAGTCCACTGAAGAATTTCCAGACAGTGAATATATAAACAACAAAAAAAACTTCGAAATATAGGTGCAAATTATTCATCCTTGAACACAACCATATTAGACATAGCTCGCAACTTCTTTCCTCCAAACCAAAGGACGGAACAGGTAATAATAGAAGACCCCAGAACGCTAAAATCGATTAGTATCAATTTAAAAAAAAAAAGTGATACAACGTACATAAAACCCAAGAGGGAATTTCCCCATCCATAACCTAAATGATCGTAAAGAGTTTGTCCAAACAATGGAAAACCAAATGCTGCAAGGGAACGGACGCAACAAGCAACTGCAGTTGATGATGCAGCATATATTATGAAGGTATCTATTAAATAAGTTTGAATACCACGCCAACCCAACATGAGGCCGACATTAAACATTGCGGCACCGATATCAGGGCCAATCCAATGAGTATGGTACTTTGCGGTCCACCCATACACGAATAGGCCCGCTGGAAAAAATATTGTACCTAATAAAATTACCGGAACACGAAACTCTGGTGCCATCTTTCCGTCATTTCTATTCTTTAGGAAACGAAAGGTCTTGTCGATAAAAACGCCTGATGCCTGGCTACCCGAGATCAAACCAAGTCCAGGAGCAATGTAATGTAAACCAGCGATGGAAGGACGTTGATGATACTCATGTGTCCACAAAACAGGGTAAGTTGTTAATACAAGATAAAGAATACCTAACGGTTAGAAAAACATCCCAGCAAGTTCACTAAATAACTCACTTACCATACTGAATAGCCATGTAACCTGCGCACAAAATTACCACGGGTTGAGTTGTCAACATTTTCAGAGGTCGCATCAAGGCAGGGGTGACAAGCTTATGTTGAGGAATGTGTTCTAAACGCCATTCCGTATGAAATTTTAAAGTATTTTCCTTTTTATTAAGCTTTCTTGCTTTGCGGCCCAGGAGGGTCTTGGGATACGTTTCCGCAAGAAAGGGTATCGAAAGAGCAAATACAAAACCGCTAAAAATGGTAGTAGACCAAAAGATCCACTTGTAAGTTGTATAGTCAGCAATAAATCCACTAATTACTGGTCCTATAGTGGGACCCAACAAAGGAGCCAGGGACATGACTGCGACAGCTCTTCCTCTTTCTTCTGGAGTGAATAAATCGCTAATCCTACAAAGTGTTAGAAACGGGAGATCGAGTAAAAACTGACATACGTTCCGCTCCCGAGACCCATTGGTGTTGCACTTCCAAAGCCGGCCAAAAACCGAAAAATGTACATTTGAGCTTTGGTTTTTGCGAGGCCACAAGCCATGTTAAAAACTAATAGTTAGAAAAAGATGGAAAATTATAAGGAAACTTACCAATGAAAATGACATTTCCTGTTTGTAGCAGGATTCGACGACCGAATATTTCCGACAGTGGGGCACTGATCATGGGTGAAATTGCAAAAACCAGCAAATATATACTGAGGATAAGGGCTTTCTCAGTAGAGTTTTCAATATGAAACCGTTCTGCAATTTGGTCAAGACAGGGAGCTACCATGGAAGATGCCATGGGGCCTAACAGTGCAAACACCGAAACGATGACTAGCTGAATCCATCTTCTAGAGTAGGGCCAGTTTTTTGGGTTTTTGGGATCAGTTGGGGAATCCCATGTGATTAAGAAGGGATCATCGATGGGTTTAATTTCTTCAGTTTCTTCTTGCTTGGACAGGGACTTCTTGAAATCCATGCTTGAACGTATGATAATTTTTTTTTTTTTTAATAAAAAAAAAGAAAAAAAATATGTATATGCGTGATACTAAAACCGGTAATGTAAAGGCAAAAAATGATAGTCCCCTAAAAAGAGAGTCCAATAATTTCTTTTCTCTTCTTATAGTTTTAGTTTTGATGTTTTAATTTTTAACCGAAATACAATGATTAGAGCGAAACCGTAAGGGTAGAAAAATCTTCATAACAAGGATCTTCAAGGTTGTCCAAGAAGGACTAAGAGCTGACAAGCAAGTATAAGAAAAGTATCGCTGAAAAACAGTATTTAAGTATCATTTTAATATACGAAACAGCAAGTTGAAAAGAAAAACGTAGTAGAAAACTTATACCTTTGGAGAAAATTGTCTCAAAAATTAAGTAGCAATATTAACCTACAGCACCCCGGATTCCCATGTTGTCTCCAACCATAGTACTAACGAGACCCTCAGACATTTTCACTTAACGGCAGTGATCGGACGGGAACTGGCGTTTTTGCCTAGGTATGGCCGTAGAAGACATACCAAATAATGAGAGCTAATCTAAATGTATTTTGGTAGGATATTTTTAAGTATAAGCGGCGAATTCGTACATGATTTTAGTGAGACTCAATAAAGATTGAAACACCTAATGGGATTTATCTCTAAAGCGAATAATTTTTGCAAAATAAAATGTATGTTCTTACTTGTTTCTGGTATAAGTATCTTTCTTTTCGATTCATCTTTTTTTTTTTTTTTTTTATCAACTGGAAGAATCCAGTGGTTCTCAATTTAAAACCAATCAATCTTTTTAACGGTATAGGACATGATGAATAGCCGACAACGAAATTCAATAGAGAAGAGGTGGCGAATGTAACAACAAGAAAAAACCATGTATGTTTTCAAAATTTCATTTCCCTAACAAAAACGTCGCTTTCAAAATTATCATGACCTCGGTTTGTTTATTTACATCGTACAGGGATACAACAATATATTCTATAATCGTGAACAGATACCACTTTATAAGAATTAGGATGTAAGGAGGCCCCTGTCTGGTTTATGCGATTGCTAACCCTCATTTTCTTGCGTATGATAATCAGCTTACCGCGTTATCATAAAGAATATAATTTATTTGCCAGTTACATAAGATTAGCTATCGTAGACATCAATTACCAAGTTATAAGAAACCTTAATGTACAAAGAACGAAATTTCGCTTGCTACTTTGATACCTTTCTCCCACCCAATTCGCAAGGCATTATTAAATCACTTTACGTCTTTAATTTCTCCCAGCATGCGGAGAACCCAGCCGCTTAAACTGTGATTGGGTAAGCTTAAGTTCGTCAACCTAATCCCAACCCTTATACCGTTGCATGTGGCGTCGTATCATCCCATAAGTTGGGGAAAAAGGACGAGTACAACCTTATTTTATTTAGTAAACAAACTATCTGGTGATCCCATATCCCAGTAAAAGGAGATCATTAAGGAAAAAGTAATAATCCATCAAAAAGTCTTTGTTTTTTCTTTTCTCTAAAAATCTCTTAATGGTTCTATTTTTTCCAGATATTCCTGCGGAACGTCTATAGGGTTCCCGGCAGAAGATTCGATGTTTATTTGCTTATTTTTTCCTTCGCATAGTCTAGACCCACATTGACACAGGCGACGTTCGTTTATAGTAACAATGTACTGAAAACGTTTCTCTTTCGACCAATCATATTTGTCAAAGTATTTGTTTTTGTCCCCCCACGTTCGGAAAATATGCATTGCATAGTCTCCAGATAATCTCCGCATTTTCCCCGCACTCCGCCCCGTAGAAGTTTTCCTTTATTTTTTTTACTATATATATGAAGGTTCTTGGTTATGGATTCTTCAGCAATTAAACATTCAATATATCTAACTTTGTTGAACTCGAAACTTTTTTGGAGAACAACAATTGGATACAGCTCTTGTCATTCTCTTTCCTATTTCCTTTCTCTGTAACTCTTAATTTGAGCTTTCTTTGCCCGAAATTTTTAACTTAATTTTTTAAGTTCTTCTTCAGATTCATAATATTTTTGCTTTAATTCGTCAGTAGAACGATTGTGCTCCTAAATCCCTTTTCAGTTTCTCCTTAATTTCTCTTAATATCTTTCTTTGGTCGATTCGCACTTTTAATTTTTATCCCATTTCTTACTCTCCTTATCCTTTTGTATATCATATTAAGTTATTTACAAGATGGCAAAGATCCTGACAATTGTTATGTTGGTCTTCGTGTCCATGGCCGGATGGATGTTCGGTGCCGACACAGGTTCCATCGGTGGTATCACAAATATGCGCGACTTCCAAAAACGTTTCGCCGACAAATATGACAAAAATACAGATACATATTCGTACTCTTCGGCTCGTCAAGGTTTGTTAACTGGTATGGTAAACGTCGGTTCCTTTACTGGATGTATTCTTTCTTCTCCTTTGGCTGATCGTATCGGTAAACGTACCTCAATTATCGTATGGTCTATAATTTACATAATTGGTGTCATTATTCAAGTGACTGCCGTTCCTTCTTGGGTCCAAATTATGGTCGCAAAGATCTGGACTGGTCTTGGTATTGGTGCTTTGTCTGTCATTGCACCTGGTTACCAATCTGAAGTTGCACCTGCTGCGATGCGTGGTGCCATTGTCACTACTTACCAACTTTTCATCACCGCCGGTATTTTCATCGCTGCTTGCATCAACATGGGCACTCACAAGTATAAAACCCATACTACAGCTCAATGGCGCATTCCTATGGGTATTAACATACTGTGGGGTCTTATTACTTTGATTGGCATTCTTTTCCTACCCGAATCCCCTCGTTATTTGATTTCTGTCGGCAGAGATGAAGAAGCTTTGAGTGTTATGTGCAAAAATAATGACCTTCCTCTTGAACATGAAATTATTCAAGCTGAATACCATATGATTAAGTCGGACTGCGAAGCGGAGTTGGCTGGCGGCCCTTGCACTTGGCCCCAAGTTTTTGATAAGCAAATCCGTCACCGCACTTTCCTTGGTATTGCCGTTATGTCTATTCAACAACTTACTGGTAACAACTACTACTTCTACTATGGTACTCAAGTGTTCCGCGGTACTGGTATGAACTCTCCTTTCTTGGCTGCTTTAATTCTTGACGCCGTCAATTTTGGTTGCACCTTTGGTGCTATTTTCGTTCTTGAGTACTTTGGTCGTCGTAACCCTCTGATTATAGGTGGTGTTTGGCAGTCAATTTGCTTTTTCATCTATGCTGCCGTTGGTGATCGTGCCTTGTACCGTTCTGATGGAACCTCTGATCATCGATGTGGAGCCGTTATGATTGTCTTTTCTTGTCTCTTCATTTTCTCTTTTGCTCAAACTTGGGCCCCTGCTGCATACGTTATTGTCGGTGAGTCGTATCCCATTCGTTATCGTTCCAAATGCGCTGCCTTAGCCACCTCTGGTAACTGGATTTGGAACTTTTTGATTTCCTTCTTTACTCCATTCATCACTAACTCAATTGGCTTCAAATACGGCTATATCTTCGCTTCTTGCAACTTATGTGGTGCCATTATCATTTTCTTGTTTGCTCACGAGACCAAGGGTCTTACCTTGGAAGAAATCAATCTCGTTTACACTTCCGGTTCCAAACCTTGGATGCCCCGTCCCAAGAACATTGGTCAGTACTCCGCACACCAAAAAGAGGCTTTGGAGAAGTCTCGTGGTGTTCAAGGAGAAAGCTCACAATTCGTTGAACATGCCCAAACTTCTAATGAGAGCGTCGAAAGCTCTACAGGAAACAGCCCTACTCTCCATCACAAGCATGAAGCAGCTCACCTTGATCAACCGGATCGTTATGCTTAATTCATTACATAATGCATGCACCCTTTTCTGAAAAATGTTCATTATGTTTCTTTGCTGTTCTCATTTCTCCTTCATCATGCCCTTAATTCTTGCTCATCAAACCTTGCATGTAACTCAAAACTTATTATTGTACAAAACGCTCAGATATACTATTTGCGATATTTTATGTTTCCTTGTTTAATTGATACTCGTTCGAATGAACTTACCGGAAAATCGATTCATAGATTTTTTTGCATTCTTTTTGGAATGGTTAATGGATTGAATCGAACGAAAATAAAAGTGCATTTAATGTGAGAACCTTTGTCGATCGTAAAAATACGTATTTTGAATAAGTAATCATCAGCCGTAAACCAGAAAGGAAATTTATAGTAATTCCTTAAAGTTATAATTAAGTTTTATCGAGCCGAGTTTGTTATAGTAATAAATACTTACCGATATAATCCTTTGAATTGTTGGAGACTTATAAAGAGGTCGCTAAATATCGATAATCTTTTATATAACGTCCAAACGCGTAACGTTAAAGGATTTTTCGGTGGCACATAAAAACTTATCATGAGCAAGAATTGTCGATTTTAGGTTCAACGTCAACAGATCGCTATTTGGAAAGAAACGTGGTAGGAAAGGACGAAGCATTTTGAGTAGGTATAAGAAGACATTGAGTACTTTTACCGGCTTCCATCGACGCTGAGAAAAGGGGTTTATTTACTTGAATAGGATTGGTCAAGTTTGTAAACAACAAAGTAGGAGTGGAGAACTGTCTTTTATAAAGGTGATGGTAATAAAGGAGAGCGATTCTGAATTGTTGTTTCATGGAAAAGATGTGGAAAAGGACTCGGAAGTCATGAACGAAGCAGTAAACGATTCAACATTGCTCACAAACGAAAAAGCAGATGAAGAAGGGAATGAAAACGGATACATGGATTTTAATTCAAAAAATGACATAAAAGAAACAATTCAGATGCCGTCAAACGCGGAATTACCCTCATTTTTGGCAAAACTAAAAAAAACAATAGATTGTCCTATATGCACAGAAACACTTCAAAGACCTTTTACTACGTCGTGCGGACATACTTATTGTTACGAGGTAAGTCATGGATTGGAGAGAGGAAGTGTTTGGATTGCTGTTTTACGAAACAGCCGTATCAATTCTGCTTCTATAAATAAAACAGTGGCTAATGGGATTATGTAGTGTCTAAAAAGCTGGTTAAAGGAATCGAAATCATGTCCCACTTGTCGTCAAAAGATTCATACCCAACCATCTCCAGCGTATCTTGTCTATGACTTGATGGGCGTGATTGCTAGTGTAGATCCGACCTTATCATTGCTAAAGATCAGGGACGATCCATCAAAACGGCAGGAAGAGGTTTTGTTTGATGGAATATTCCAAGGTACCGAGCCTCTGTACCCTACGGGCATTCTCCAGGATGCAGAAGATGGAGTCTTAAGGTGTGCACGCTGCCACTGGGAATTGGAAAATCCTTACCATTGTGACCATTGTGGGTTTCAGATTTCGGATGAGGCCGACTCCGACCGGGAATGGTTCTGGGATAATGAAGATCTTGAAAGTGGAGGCAGTGAAGAAGAGACCCGAAGACGGGCAAATCTTTCGCGGAGACCGCCGATTACAGCTGTTCCAGAAGACTGGATAGGATTTGGAGAAGAAGCAGAATCTGATTTTTCTGGTGCGGGTGATTATGACTTGGATGATGAATTCATTGATAATCGCAATGCGAGCCAGTTGTCCCCTATTGAGAACAATGAGGATGATTTTATTGTTCCAGACGAAGAAGTAGATGAACCCAACTTGGCATCTCAGGTCGAAAGGTCTGGAAGTGATGGTGAGGCTTCAAATCAAGACATCGACACAGAAGAGCTTGAAAATAGAAAAAATGAAGAGTTAGCTAGGGAGCTGTATGATTTGTATGATGAAAGCAGCGATTACCAAAGACATGGATACTCAACAGAAGGGGATCGCCCCTTAAAAAGAAGTCGACATTCTCGACCTAGATCGACATCAATGTTAATTGACGATGATGAAGAAGACGTTGATGACGAAGAAATGCCTCAATTTGGGCCACATTTGAATGCTGCCTTGGAAAGAAATGAAAATAGATTTGATGTTGACGAAGATGTCACCGATTCCTTTTCTTCTTATGCTGCTTCAGCTGCTCCATCCCGAAAACCGTCACGTCGGACGCGGACGATCCACGTTGATTCTGAAGATGAAGAAGAGTAATGTCATATGTAAAAACTACTAGATACCGTTTCCCTTAATGGCTCTGTTCATCCTTGTCTGCTTTATGTATACTGTATTATTATGATTATTTTTTGTTTCAGTAAATAAATTTACTACTTAAGTTACAGTGTCGTTGGGTTCGCTACAATCGCTTATCTCAAAACATCACTACGTAGAACACGTTACAGCCTATTCTGCTGTATAGAATCTCCCTTGGTATTTTTGTTTTTGTAATATAAGTCAGCTACCCTAGATTTAGTTTTTCATTGAGTTAACCTCCTAATGTACCGTTAGCATTCGTTTTAGCGAAAGTAAACACCAAGCATACCATGTAAAGTAGACACAAAAACAACTTGATCCTTGTCTTCGAGATTATAATCCTCTTTGTCAAGAAGCTCCCAGTCCTGATCATTCACCAGGACGATAATACCAGGACGACTAGTCATTTCGTTAGCATCAACAAGGACATAAAGGTACCATAAATCGAACATACACCGTGCCATCCAGGTAAAAAAGTTCCTTTTGAGTCGGGCTTTCAATTTTTTCAGCCATAAAATGGATCAAGGATCTTAATGTCTTGACTTCTCCTAGTTCTGCAAGCTCCAAAGAGAGCTCCTTTTGCTTCCTAAAGAGCATGTCTAATCCTCCACTGCAATTCCCCCGTCAATAAAAGAATGAAATCAGCATTTAACATACAGTAATTCAACTTTAATAGCCATTTTTCAAGTTTGATCTTTTCTTCTGCTGCAACTTCTTTTTTGACATTTCAACTTCACTCAATTTCGTAAATAACATTAGTGCATAATACCACGGTTTGTTGAAAGAATTTTTAAGAAGTAAACAAAACTTGCATTAATCAACAATGACATATATATATAAACTACAAAGCAAAATTATAAGGGGTTTATTAGAAAAGCAATGAATAACAACAATAATTCAGTAGGATTTACCTTCTTCTTTATAAACTATTGTTGACCAGTATCGCCGTAGTGTTTTCTACTTTACAGCCATCCTATCCTAATTACAGGCACAACTTGTAGTTAAAGCAACATGAATAAGGCTGTTTCTGGTAATTAAGTTTGTAGAAGATTGGTTATTCTACAAGCGAGTCTATTTGGCATCGTAAGAAAGCCTACTTGGCCGCCTAAAGGCTCGTCTTGAACATCTTTTATCAAAATAGCAGTTCTGTTTCATACATCAACGGGAAGAGAAAAATTCGAGAGCATGTTTGAATTCTTATGTATTCGAGAAAGGAGAGAAGATTGTAAGCATAGGTGAAGTTAGGTAAGAGAAGTATTTATATATAAAGAAGAAACAGTAAGTATAGTGACAAACTTTATGGAATAAATGAAGAAAAGGCCAATTAAACAAGAGTAACAAAATTTAAAAGAGGGGAAGAATATAAATATGTAGAAAGTTAGAAAGGACCTGAAAGGCTGAAAAAAGAATTATGAGAAAACCTGAAATGATGACATTTAAGCAGCCAAATGTAACTCTTTAACTCTTTCTGGAACAAATACATCTTTGTAATTGTTCCAAATTCCCTCAAGACGGCGAATATACTCCTCTTGAGCTTCATAGAGCTCTTGACTTGTGGGGTCCGACTTCTTGGGCAAGTCGATGGGTTCTCCGACTACAATATTGATAGGCTTTCTCCAAGGCATAAGGCCAAATGTCTTGTTCAATAGTCCTCGACCATAGAAAAAGGGGATAGTAAAACCGGCTACTTTTTTTACAATTTCTTGAAATCTATAGATGCGAGTTTGAGGATTGTTGTCCACTTGCTCGAAAATGTCTAAACCAGTCAGTATTTCAATTGTTGAAACTAAAAAAAATAAAACATACCAGATTCACCAAAAGCAAAGCAAGGAACCAAACTCGACCCTGTCAAAAAGGCCAATTTGACAAATCCCAATCTCTTCTTCAATACCAAATTATTTTGGCCAGGGCGGGATAACAGCGATTCCTGTGCTCCCCCAATTACAATAACAACGCTGTCGCCAGGATTTCTGGTCAAAATATTTACACAAGACTTCTTTGAAACAGACTTAACGTTCAAAGCGAGTAAATAGTCACGATATACAGGTACATAAAAATTAGAATTCAGCGTCAATACTGAAGTGTTTATGCCGGGAAATAGCTTGCTGAATCCAGCACCTGAGTGATAAAGTGTTAGATTAGAGACCAGCAAGAATACAGATTCCATGTTATAACATACCCTGTGTTGCGAAGCCGCCGAAGGCTCCTAGGGAAAGAATCCCGTGAGGATGGTAGCCGAAAATATAATTTTTCTTTGGGTCAAGATTCGCTGTTTTGTGAAGACGAATAGGGAAATAATGGCAAAACCAGTGATAAGGAGCAGCTCCTCTTAACCTTGAACTTTGACGATCCTTAGATGTCGTGAAAGCGTCGTCGTATACTAGCCATCCTATATATACCAAAAGAATCTGTAGATGTTAATATCAGCGTAACCAAATAACAATTAACGAAACATGCTTGGTACACTTTCTTGTGCTCAAGCGTTACATAAATCCAGTGAAAAAACAAGTATGGCAGCTAACATGGAAATGCAATTTCCAATCCCCATACTCCAAAACTTAAATGTCCACTATGCCATGAATCACTGTTTTTTATTTACTTACAGGCCATATCGGTAAAAACATCCATAATATTGTAAACCAAGATGCAGTAAGCGTCAAGCTGACACTATGAAGGAAAACGGCTAAAGTCTCAAGCAAACGAGACACATGCGATTTCTTGTGTTTCGGAATGACTGGTGTGGACTCTAAAATTCCGGGTATAGAGTCTTCGGGTTTAGTTTCTTTTTGCATGATATGCACATTCAAAGGTCCTTACAATGTTGACCTTCAATTGAATCCAACGGACGGTAAACAATGTGGTTAGTGGAAGGATACTTTTGATGTAATAGAATTCAGTATTTACTCTTGTCATCATAATACCTCGTTAGTATTATACTTTTTGAAATTGCAACAATACTGACCCTTGTTTTGCCTTTCATTGGCATACGATACCAATTTTACTTTTATTTTGCTTTCCTAAATATTTTCGTAAATAAATCATCAGTGATATGGGTATATCAAAACAAAAAGTATCCAACAACCTCTACTTGTTTTTTTTAAGTTCTAAAGATTTCAGTTAGCTCTTGTAGCTCAGTGGTAGAGCGCTTGCCTAGTAAGCAAGAGGCCCAGTGTTCGAGTCACTGCTGGAGCATTTTTGCATTTTTAGATATTTTAAATCTATGGCTTCAGTTTGCTATCTTTGTCACTACAGTCTACTAGATACAATTCGCATGACTCATTAATAATATTCGTTGTTGGAAATGTCATTGACTCAATTTGCTATTGTTTTGTTGAAACTCAATCAACAAATCATGATGCAAAAGAGGTCCGTTAATAAATAAACATAAGGTGCTTAAAGAGGTAAGAAGAATTAAGCATGAGGTTCTTTCCTGTCCATTATGGGAATTGTTTATAAACGAGCATTAATTGACTTCGTTCATCAACTTCTAATTAGTTAAGTTCATTCTATAATTCTTGCAAGATATGTTTGGTAATATCAAGGGTTTTTCCATCGATTCCTTTTGAGTCATAGTCTATTTTTCATAATGAAAGGTAATGCCAACGTCGATGCATATTTAGGTAGGTTTTGAATGAAACAAAGATCCATCCATACGATTATTAGAATGTCATAACTCATAAAATTGTAGAGAAACACAAAATTTGAAACCATTCAATAAAGAATGACTGTGGGCTTTAAGGGTGAAAGAACAAATAAGGTGGCTTGAATAAAAAACTCGGCATGCATGTCTAAAGAGAATTGAATAAGCACCAAACATGAGTGCCATGAAGACTCTTGGAATGTTTTGCTACTTTAAACTGCCTGAATATGGTCAAAAAACTTCGCCTTGGGTTTCGAATGAGAAGATGAAGTATTTTCCATACTGTCAGAAGTAAAGTTCTCAATGTGGTCGATTTCATCATGCTTGCCTCTCTCCAAAGCATCCTTGTGGGGACCAGAGTAATTGTCAAGACTCTTGGGACGGGGCATCCAGGGCTTACGACCAGAAATATAAAGGAGGTTGATCTCTTCGAGGGTAAGACCTTTGGTTTCGTGAGCAAAGGCAAAGATGACAATAGCACCACACAAGTTACAAGCAGCAAAGACGTAGCCATACTTAAAACCAATAGTATTAGTGATGAAGGGAGTGAAGAAAGAAATCAAGAATCCCCAAAACCAATTACCAGTAGTTGCTACAGCAGCACACTTGGAACGATAACGAATAGGGTAAGACTCACCAACGATAACATATGCACCGGGGGCCCAGGTTTGAGAGAACGCAAAAATAAAGAAGCAAGAAAAGACAATCATAACAGCACCAGCCCGGTGGTTAGAAGACCCATCAGAATGATACAAGCAACGATCTCCAACAGCGGCATAGATGAAGAAGCAAAGTGATTGCCAGAGTGCACCAATTATTAAAGGCATACGGCGACCAAAGTGTTCCATAACATAAAGAGCTCCAAAGGTGCAGCAAAAGTTGACAGCGTCAAGAATCAACGCTGACAGGTAAGGAGAAGTCATACCAGTTCCGCGAAACACTTGAGTACCATAGTAGAAGTAATAGTTGTTACCAGTAAGTTGCTGAAGAGACATGACACCGATACCAAGGAAAGTACGGTAGCGAATATTTTTGTTGAAAATCTCTGGCCACTTAGCAGGGCCGCCAGCCAATTCAGCGTCGCAGTCCGACTTAATCATATGGTACTCTGTTTGAATAACTTCGTGTTCAAGAGGAAGGTCGTTATTTTTGCACATAATACTCAAAGCTTCTTCATCTCTGCCGACAGAAATCAAGTAACGAGGGGATTCGGGTAGGAAAAGAATGCCAACTAAAGTAATAAGACCCCAAAGTAGGTTAATACCGATGGGAACACGCCAAGAAGCGCTCTTCGCGAGTCTGTGAGTGCCCATGTTGATGCAAGCAGCAATGAAAATACCGGCGGTGATGAAAAGTTGGTAAGTAGTGACAATGGCACCACGCATCGCAGCAGGTGCAACCTCAGATTGGTAACCAGGAGCTAGTACTGACAAAGCACCAATACCAAGACCAGTCCACATTTTTGCGACCATGAATTGGACCCAAGAAGGGACCGTGGTGAGTTGAACAATGATACCTATGAGGTAGACACAGGTGAAAAAGAGAATAGAGTTACGTTTACCGAGACGATCGGCAAATGGGGAAGAGAGAATGCAGCCGGTCATGGATCCAATGTTGACCATACCGGTCAAGAGACCTTGACGTGCAGAACTATAGGAGTAAGTATGTGTATCCTTGTCATATTTGTCGGCATATCGTGATTGGAAGTCGCGCATATTTGTGATACCACCGATGGAACCTGTGTCGGCACCGAACATCCATCCGGCCATGGACACGAAGACCAACATAACAATTGTTAGTATCCTTGCCATTGTGAAAACTACTGTTCAAAAATGGGTTTACACAAAAAAGCTTTGAAGACAAAGAAAAAAGGAAAAAAGAAGGATTAAGAAAGAATAAAAGTGAATTGGCAGTTTAGAAAAGAAAGAATAGACTAGGAACCAAAGAACTGATTGATAGTATTCAAATAAGTATATATCGCAATTGAAAGAACCGGATCCCTAGAAAGCGCAGATCCTCGTAAAATTATAGGGTAGAAAATGCTTAGGGATGTTGTTGTTAGTATTAAATGATGCTGAAACGGACGAATTACTACTGTTTATATAGTCCAAAAAAAGTCCAATATGGCCCTTTTTGGATTTGGCAAACGAGACGCTTGACGACGTAGGGAGAAAAGGGATTGCTTCCAATCAAATACCACCATGACGAGCTGCAAACTTACAATTGGCCAAATAACAAAACTCTGCCAGGTACGTTTAAACTGTAATCTAATTAAAGTGCGAGTAAAACAGGGATACATTATGGACAGTACGAATGCAAAGCCGTAATCCCGCAAACAAGAGGAGTTACTAGGTGTTTATATTGAATGGAGAAAGGTTGTGCTACTTACTCAATATTTTATTAATTTACTTTTCAAGAAGCTAATAAACGCGTTAATTTAAAAATTGGAAAGCAAATAATTAAAAAGGCTCGTTCGCACCCAGCCTAAAACTCCCATGTTGATGACGACCCTATTCCACGTGTTTTCAAAAAAGTTAAGCTTTCGCCACGCACTCTACCAGAAATTTCTCACATTAGCCAATCAACTCTTAGATAATGTTGGGGTAAATCGAGAGAAAACAAGACAACCTGGGAAAAATAAGATTTGTGGGAAGTTTTCGCAGGATTTATGATTGGTTGACAATCTCCCATGTGAGGGGGTTGAGGCTTGGTTTCACGAGAAATAAAGGGGAAAAAATGGGGTAAACTTCGGTTCTACTGTTGTAAGAAAAAGTAAATAAAAAATCATCGGAAGACTTTTCTAGCAATTCAATAATTCCTTGGTTGCAGGAAAATTGAAAAGCTATTGTTTTCGTTTTTATATTTCATCTTTGTATTTTAATGAAGTGGTTCTAGTACGAAAAATATGCAGACTATTCGTATATAAGGATTAGCGAAAGTTTGCATGGAAGAGTATTAGGGTACAATAATATATTAAACGAAAATATAGATGGGTATTTTCTATTTATTTTTCTTTTTGACAATAGAATTGGAGTGTGATTTGTTGGTTATTTAATCATGGCATAAACATTTTCTTAACCACTGAAAGAATAAATGACAACAATGACACTTTCCTCCAAAGGAGCTTTACAGTCAGTAAATAACCAGATACAGCTATAAGCCCTTTATTCATATACTATTTTTGTAATCAATATTACTCAATTATAGCACTGTTACTTTACCAAATTAATAGGAATTATCCCTTGCAACTTCTTTTTTGTTTTCTTAATACTTCCCTGATATAACATTTTATCAACCAAAGATTCTGTCTGGGAGTAGTTTGACTACTTTTAGTTGCTCAAAATCTAGCCTAATCATATAGATAAGGCGATATTTCCAATGCATTAGCAATTGTATATGATCGCTCTTTTGTATTTCCAAATGTTTATTTATTTTGTCTTCATCCCATGTAGCGCCTTACGACAATACTCTCTTTAGTATTATGATTTCGTATAATATTAGGGTTGCTTTTGACAATTTCACATATCATGGCAGGGTTCATATTTTAACACCTCCATGTAAATATGGCCCTTCCACGTCTAGCTATTTTAATTTACTGAGAAGTTTCTTTTAGAAATATACTTTGTGCGTTACTATCGGACACTTTACTTTCTTATGAGAAATAATCCAATTATACTATAAACAAAGGACTATTTTTGCTCAGGAGCTTAGTTAGGGTTTAAATACTGAACAAAAAAGAGGATATGCATCTATTTAAGGTTTTCATGCACACCTTGGTTTTTACATCTTTACCCTAGTCCGAATCTGAATAGCTTTAACCAAGTAACCCAAAGAACGAAAAGAAAGTAATAGAGGTCTTGCCTCATACAAAATTAGTCTCAAAGACCAACAGGATTCGTAACCTGCTCAGGGTGGTTCTGCCGGCTTGTCACTGAATTCTCACCAGAATAAATGTTGGGTCCATGCTGGACGTATTCATTAAATTGAGCTCTTGGTCCACGAGGTTTTTCCATTTCACTTTTATCAACCTCTTCACGATTACGCTTATAAGAACCACTTTGCCAAGGCTTAATGGAAGACATGTATAACTGGTTGATTTCTTCCAACGTAAGACCCTTAGTTTCCTTGGCAAAGAGGAAAATAACGATCGCAGCCGCCAAGTTACAAGACGCAAAAACATAACCGTATTTGAAGCCAATAGAGTTGCTAATGAATGGTGTAAAAAAGGAAATCAAAAAGTTAAAAAACCAATTGCTTGCCGTAGCTACGCCAGCGCATTTGGAACGGTAACGAATGGGATACGACTCACCAACAATAACGTAAGCAGCAGGGGCCCAAGTTTGAGCAAAAGAGAAAATGAAGAGACAAGAAAAGACAATCATAACGGCTCCACATCGATGATTAGAGGTCCCGTTAGGGCGGTACAAGGCACGATCACCAACGGAGGCGTAGATGAAAAAGCAAATGGACTGCCAAACACCACCAATAATCAGAGGCATACGACGTCCAAAGTACTCAAGAACGAAAATAGCACCGAAGGTGCAGCCAAAATTGACGGCGTCAAGAATCAAAGCAGCCAAGAAAGGAGAGTTTAAACCGGTGCCACGGAACACTTGAGTACCATAGTAGAAGAAGTAGTTGTTACCAGTAAGTTGTTGGAAAGCCATAACTGCCATGCCCAGAAATGTACGGTAGCGGACTGGATTTTGAAAAATTTCTATCCATCTACAGGGACCACCTGCTGTTTCAGCTTCCACATCAGCTTGGATAGCATTATACTCTTTCTGCATTAAAGGATGGTCAGGAGTAAGTCCAGAGTTACGACATAAGATCTGCATACATTCTTCGTTGCGCCCTCTAGTTGCCAAGAAGCGTGGAGATTCTTTTAAGAAAATCATACCGAAAAACATCAATATACCCCACAACAAATTAATTCCGATTGGGATGCGCCATTGAGCAGTTGCATGACGCTTTTGTGTGCCAATGTTGATACAAGCAGCAATGAAAATACCTAAAGTAATGAAAAGTTGGTAAGTGGTTACAATAGAACCACGTATTTGTGGAGGAGCAGACTCAGACTGGTATCCAGGGGCAATGACAGACAAAGCACCAATACCAAGACCAGTCCAAATTTTTGCGACCATGAATTGGACCCAAGAAGGGACCGTGGTGAGTTGAACAATGATACCGGTAATGTAAACCAGAGCCCAACCCATGATGCATTTTTTTTTACCAAAACGATCAGCCAAAGGAGAAGAAAGTAAACAACCGATTGTTGTACCGACGTTTACCATACCAACCAAAAGACCTTGACGGGCTGAAGAATATGAATATGTATTGGCAACCGGATCATACCGATCTGCGTAACGTGACTGGAAATCTCTCATATTTGTAATACCGCCGATGGAACCTGTGTCAGCACCGAACATCCAACCGGCCATGGACACGAAGACCAACATCAAAGTTGTGATTGTTTTTCCCATCTTGAGAGATATTGAGTAAAAGTCCCACTAGGAAAATAAACCACTGATTTTTTATAAGATATAATATTGTGACTTAAGGAATAGAAGAAGTCGACGGATTTATTAATGCTGCTTTGGATAATATACCTTAGATGCCAATTGGTAGATAACGATTGCTTATATACACAAACCTTCAATGTAAACAAACAAAAGCGCAACCAATTACATGTATATTGATGTTTACCGAAGTTTATCGTGGAGGGAAGGAATTCTTTTTTTTTTAACAAACGACCGAAATAAACAATTAATGAGAGCGCTATTTCGATAAATCCCTTATGTATTCAGTTTTTCAAAAGTTGGATAACTGGTCAATGGTTTTGCTGAAGCGTAAAAAGAAGAAATTAATATGGGATAGACAAAGCTTGAAAGGTTTGAGAGAAGAACGATGTTTTCGTGTCTACTAAGTGGGGTTGATTTAAACTGTCGAAGCGCAAAACTAGTTTAGAATTCTCAAAGAATTCTACTTATCTATGGTAACTATATATTGCTTGTATCTACTAATTACCTCACTGCCTTTCTTCATCTCCATTTCAAGTTATGATCGAAGCATCACAAACAATACTGCAATAATGAGATCGGTAATACGCCTGCCGTAAACGAGTTTGGTGTGACATATCCGTGAGCTACTGCTTGTCGCATTTACTCACTTTTATTCAATTAACTTTTGGTCGAGCAAGGATTACATGACCTTAATTATGTGTGTACGTCATTATCCAATCATATGGATCCCTAAATTAAGTTTAGTTTAGGATTTGGGCATGAGTCGCTAATGTCAATAAACAAACAAACAAAAGGAGATCTCATCGTTTGTGTACAAAGGCGTGATATGATTCATTTGAATTTATGAGAGTTAATTCTTATCAACATGCTCATTACAAAAGACGATCAATTCCAAAAAAAAATTTCCGCGTTCATCATCTTAATGTTTCTACCATTCAACACTAGACACCTCATTGCTCTGTAATTTGAAAATGCTAAGGTTGAGGGACATATTGGGGGAAAGCTTATTCAGTTTAGCCAAAAGGGGTGAATACGCATCATTTAGCAGTTGCATTGGCAAAAGTGCTAATAGTCAGGTGGCTGGATCAAAAATAAAGAGGGGAAGAATATGGTTTCATTACATGTCCAGCTTTAATTAGACAACTTCTCGAAAACACCTTGTCCATTTGATTTCAGAAGCATGACCATGAAATGACTTGATCATTCATGCGCTGCTATATATTTTGGGAGTTTTCTCTAGTTTTTCCATCAATATTTCTTGGCCCTGCTCTAATATATTTTTTTGCCTAATCTCGCCCTACTTTTTGGTGTTTACTATCGTCTTCTATCCTTACTCAAATTAAATAATTCACAACATGACTCCGATCTCCAAAGTCTCTTATAATCGTCCTACCATACAATCCAAGCGTGAGCATGCTCAAACGACAAGCTTTTCTGTTTCAACTGAACATACGAAGCTTGAATCTTTCGAAATGGATAAGTATTCAAAGCTCGAAGGCCTTCGCGTACAGCTGTATAACCTATTAACAAAAGCCCCCTTTTCTAATCTTCGCAAACGAGATACTATTTTGCATAAGTTGTTTCGACTATTATATTGTCCTGACAATTATATCGCTCGTCGCGAACAACAGCATACCCATCGAGCAATTACTACAAAGAATTTGTTGCATATCCCCACTGGGGTTATTGACATAGTACACAAAGATGAAAATCCACAAAGACAAAGTTCGCTTGACATGTTTGACACTGACGCTATGCAATCTCCTGTATCCATGACAGTAATCAACGACGACAACAAATCGTCATATTCGCAATCTTCCACTTGCACCAAATACAGCTTTCCTGATACTGCTTCTTCAATATCATGTACGGCTCATAAAGATGCTGGCTCGTACAAACAAGACACTATGAAGGATAAGCATGAAGATAATATCAATATTGATTGGTTTTCCATGGATAGTGAGGATGAAGATTTACTCAGCTACTCAAGTTCTGATATTGAAAAGAACTTTTCCATTCTGAAAGAGCTTTTGAAAAACCCAGAACAAAGATCCAATGCTCAGGTCGTGCAAGGAGAAGACATTGAGCATTTGGAGAACATGTGGAAATCACTAAATAGTGGCTCTTTCGATGATCCTTCTATTTTGCTTCTCCGCTTAGAATTTTTACTAGCAGACCTGCAAACTGCCATTCGTATATATCCAGAGATGACCTGTGGAAAATACCAAAATGATGCCTTCTTTGACAAAGTGAAAGTCGAACTTCAAGGTTTTGGTATTTGCGTATAATATTACCTTTTTTCTTATGATAATTTAAAACTACTAATTCTGTATCTATCTGTTTGACTTCTTTCTTTTTTTGCTGTCTTTTTTGCTACTAGAGCCTAGCTCTCTCCTATCATGGACTAATTTCTCTCATCTTACATTGAATCTGTTTTTAATTTCAAAATAATGACTTAATAACAAGTAATCTAAATTCTCAAATTCAAATTCGATTTCGATTTTTGTATCTTTTTTTGACTTTAACTTGTGAGTAGATGGATCATTTCTGTCGTAGTGTACTGGATTTTGTTTACAGAAACAAAAGTTGGATGGGGTTTTATCCGAAAATGTACTACTTACTAGAAGGAAAAAAAAAAAAAAACAGTACGCACACGCACACTCATACTCTTGAGCGAAAAATATCTGATTTTCTTATATTAAAAACGATGCAGTTATAGCCTAAATCTATGATCGAAAACACGACAAAGAAAAGAATGAAAAAAGATATCCCGAAACTATTCTAAAATCATAGAATATAGTAACTTCGACTCATCTCTGCAAATGTAAAGCGAAATCGTAGAACCAGATCATATGAATCCTAACATACAAATTCTTACTTATCCTTAAAAATTTATACGATTAGAGAAGGGAGCATGAAATATAAAAAAATTTTAAATTTAATCCTTAGGAGTATTTTCCTTCTTAGCAGCCTTCAGAACATTTTGGACAACAGGCTTTTGGTCACCGTTTCCACTAAATTATAACGTTAGTATGTTTTCTTTTTTAATTTCATGCAAATTTCATGCAAAGATCTCAACAATATACATACTACCAAAAATTTGTGAACCGGACCCCTTGGACACTTTGTACGGTGCAATTGAAAGCGTGACAGCCCATCAAAAGATAATTTCTAGGGCTTACCATCTAATGATAGAAACTAATTAGCTAAATCTTGCCATATTGAAAAAATGTCAGATTAAATCAGATTTCCTTACCCAGGCATAACGCATAAAGACGGCAGAATAAACAAGAAGAGCTAAAAGCAAGTCAGTAAGAAATTCCTCAAGAAGCATAAACAAATTTTTCCTATGGGAACAAAACCCAGAACGATTTCATCGAATTCGCCCGTCCAATACTCGTTCGGGCGCTTATAGCCACCTACCAGAAGTCATTTGCCCAGAAATCAGTTTAGGGTCCTTCTTCAAGTCCAGGATAGCAGCAATAGGAATACCAAAATTTGACAAAGGGCCCCAGAAGCTATTAGGATCTAAGTTAGCAAAATGAAACCAGTATTCATATCAACCACAGACAACTGCAAAAGAACACAAGACAGTAGAGTCTTTTGAGCATCTAGTCAAAGTAGACGAATTTCAAACGTACTGAGTACTCATCAAATATTTACGAAACTCTGGGCTTCGTACCCATGTTCCAAACCGCTTCATCACGCTTTGTGAGGCTTTTTGACTCAATCTTTCGGGTGCATTCCTACAATTCGATGTCATTAGCTTCCAATAGCTCACAACTTTTCATACATTTTAGGGATACTCGTAGTTGGTAGTTTCCTTAGGATTCGGACTATTAGTACTACTTCGGAGAGTGTGATGGACGAGAAGATAAATCCGCGCGGTGCTAACCAGAAATTCTCGAATAAAAGCAAAGGAACTGAACAGTCATTATTTAAAAAGAATTCAAAATTTAATATCAATTCTCTTTTATCATCCATAATATCAAAAAAAAAACATTTTCAATTTTTCCCAAATAGAGGATTGGAACGGAATACTTAATAGAGAATATAATGCATACCGTAGTAAACAAACCGTAGGAATAAGTAAACGATTAGCACTTTATGTCTTTACCAACCTGTTTCAGCTCATCAGTAACTATGAGATAGTGAAAAATTTGGTCGCCTAATTTTTTTGCGTCTCTTTTAACCATTGATTGCTTCATTAGAACCTTTGTAGACTGACTCGTTCAGCTTTTTTCAGCTGAATCGAATCACTCGAGGAAACAGCCAACCTTCGAACCTATAGGGACTTTGTTTGAAACATAAGCAAGGATATAATAATCTTGTAAACCTTAAAACAATTTGACACAAGCTCCTTGTTTAGTTTCCATTCCTCGTTTTGTTGACCTTTCTGCGATACGTTCCAAGTCCGTATATCCAATTACCGGTTTGGCAGTAGTTTGTTAAATGCGCACACACTCCAGAGTCAACAACATAAACAAAGCGACTTCTTTGTTTTATAATCGAAATGTCTTTGGCTTCTTCTGATGAACTTGTTTATAATAAGTATGTTTTCTATTGAAACAGATACTCTTTCTGTACTGGTGATTCATTCGTATTAACAAAACTTTTTAAGAGTAGCCGATATCCTGCGACAGAGCGAGGTAAATACTCGAATTTGGAAAAGAAAGTCAGCAAAATCGACTAACAGACTGTTTAGGACTTTTATAAGCTTTCGTCCCATGTCGAGAAGTTTGAACGAGAAAAAGATACGTTTGACTTGCACGTTAAAACGGAGCTTGAAAAGCATGCAGAGAGCTTGCAGGTATCCAGTCTGCTTATTATTACAGAACTTTATGTCTAATTTGTTTCAAGAAAGGAAGGCTTTCTCTTCAAGATTCTCATCTAAAGCGCCAAAAGTTACTTCGCGAACTAAATCATGTACGGTACACTAAATAGTCTGTCTTGCTAAATGGGCAATTTTGATAATAAAATTGCTTGAGAAGAACAGATCGATTGTTTGTTCCTTGTTCATTCGTATATAACGGGTTTACTGACTAGGGTTTTCTTAGATGCGATCCTTATGCATGACAGCTCATGAGATGGTAGAGCAATTTCCTCTCATTAGTGAAGTTTCTCGTATTTACAAAAATTGTTATGCTACTCGCCAAATGATTATACAGCTTCGGAATCTGATGCAGGAAACCGACATCATTGAAGATATGATTCGAGAGGACCTGGAGCAGGATCCCACTATGCCGAATTTGCTCAAAGCGCACTTTAAACTCTCTAAGCTTCGTACTTTTCGAGATGAAGCCATGCACCAAGCTTCATTAGAAAGTAGAAGCGACGTGTCTACCACCCTGCAATCGTCTTTTTCAAATTTGAATGCTCTTTCTGAGAAGTTTGATCGATTGATATTTAACTATTGCAGGAATTTACTTGAACTTTTAAGGATTGGGAATACGAAGACAATTGTCCGAGTGTTTAAAATCATCGAAGCCGAAGAAGCTTCAGACGAAATGCTAAAGAGCATTAGAAATGCTCAATCTAATCTTACCGATGCTAATGAAGCTCCATTCGTGAATCTTCAAGGCAGCTCGCGTCAGCTTCGGAACTTTTGGTCAGAAGCCAAAGAAATTTTCCAAGTATCAATTGCAGAACGGTTTCATCAAGCTTGGTCAAATTTCTTAACTCAGCAAGCCGACCTTGAATTGGATTGGGTATTAGACGATTTGCAATATGCATTCAAAGTTCTTCCAGAGCTTGCTTCTCCATCCTTCGATATTGCCAAAGTGTTTGCTATTATCTATCAGCAATGTCTCGTAAACCTTGTAAAAGATGCTGTCTCTTCTGATACCCCTGCTGCTACCTTTTTGAATCTAATCAATTTTCACAAAGAGTACCGTACATTTTATCAAGAACATGCTCCATTTTCCATAGATGAGCTTCAACCTCCTCTTGAAGATGGAAGTAATGGTATATTGGTGAAAGAATATACCCGGCTCTTTACTCAGAAAATCCAAGAATGGTCAGATAAGTTATTCCAAAGTAGCGTCGAGGCTTTCGTTAAGCGTGAGAGTGAACCCGAGCTTGACAGTGACGGTAATTACGGTATTCAGGGAACTATTATCTTCTTTCAAATGATTACTCAACAAGTCACCATAATCTCACAAACGAATAACCCAGAGGTTGTTAGTACTGTTTTACGGTCCATTATGTATGTAATGCAGGCGATGCAAGAGCATTGGAAAACTGTGATGAAAACAGAACTTCAGAAACATCTGTCGGATGCTTCAAGTGCTCCTCCGGGACTAATGGAATACCTCTTAGCTTTAGCTAATGACAACCTTAAATGTGCAGGTTTCATGGACAATACGCTTCTACGTACATTTGAGTTGGCGACGGATAGTCGCGAAGAAGACCTTCGTGAGTCTTTCGGTAAAACAGTAGATGGTTTCATTTTACTTAGCGATATTGGTGTGAATGAAATCGTTGAAATAATTAGCAACGATGTGAAACCTGCTCTTGCTACTTTATTCCACCCTGGATGGTATCAATCCAGCAATATGAAGCTGATTGTCGATACATTTAGAGACTACATTGTGGATTGCATAGAACATATGGTACCTGGCCTATTTGATGTTTTCTTGCTTGAATCTTCCAACGCACTCACGATCAATTATCTTCGTGGAATTTATAACAAAGGAGTTACATTCGAAGGTCCAAGTGCTATTCAACAAATACGATCTGATGTCGCTCTTGCTATTCGTGCATTTGGTGAATATATGGCTGCTGAGCACCTAAAAGCCACCTTTGAACCCATAGAAAAGTTACTCCTCGGCATGCTAGATGCGGAATTGGGAAGTGTTGCAGATTATTTTCATCTTCTGAAAGAATCTTATTGGGATGCTCCATTATCGTTAGTTGAAATGATTCTTCTACACAGGACTGATCTTGACCGGACAACCATTCGAAAAATGGTTGAGATTGTTAGACAGGAAAATGCTAAGGTTCAACATTATTCTTCGAACAAGCCAACAATTTTCTCTCAAATTACGCCAGTTAATGCAACACCTCTTTAAATTACTACTTCTACTTGTTTATGATATTTATAATGATTTTGCGAAAGGCGCATATGTTTATTAGTAATTTATGGAAATTAATAATGAAGGATTCAATATGATACATATTTTACGAGATAAAAAACTTTAATGTTTCTAAAGACATAACGATGAAAATTCATTAATCCAATTATTTCTCAAATCCCTTGTCAACAAGTGCACAGATATTAAGCTCCTGTTTTTGTTTTCCAATAATTAAATGCGTATCATCAGGACTCCACTTCATAAAATTGATCTGTTCCTCGGATTGACTATCTGTAAGAGTAGCTAATGAGGAATCTTTGGGAACCAGTTCTTGTACTAGCTTACTTAATTTACAGTCCCATATACAAAGACTTCCGATTGAGTCACCCGTTGCCAACAATCGTCCATTATTGCTAAAAGAAATCGAAGTAATAGGAGACGCATGCCTCATACACACGGAGAGTTGTTGCAACGAAATGGCGTTATATAAACTGACAATGCTATTAGAAGCAATTCCAAAAATAGGAGACCCACTTCCTACGTTCCAACTAATACATTCAATAGGAGAATTGAAAGGGAAAGTATGCATGCACTGCAATGATTCAGAGTTCGACTGTGACCATAACTAAAAATTAGCAATTTTTTTTTTATAATATACACGTACCTTTACGGTAGCATCGCTTGAAGAAGATATTAATAACAAGAAGTGTGGATGATAATGCAAAGACAAAATGGAAGCTTCATGTGCCTTTAAAACATTAAAAATCGGATTCATGCTCCGAACAGTAAACATTTTCATATTCCCATCTGCATCAGCAGTGACAAAAGTATCTACAGAAATCCATTCAATTTCCAAAATCGCAGAAAAAGTCTCGACTAAGTATACAAGTGAACGTTCTAAAGAATCATACAATACAACACGACCATCAGCGGATCCAGCCGCTATGTATGTATCGGTTTCACTCCACTTTAGCGTTAGTACAGGGCTGTTGGTTTCTTGAATTATGGTTTGTTGGGAGCCATAATCATTAAACAATTCGATAGCTCCATTAAAAAACGAGCATGCAAAATAGGATCCCGAATGCTGTCTTGTTAGCTACCGCTTAATGTCAATACTGTATAACACTTTCTTACATTCCACGCAATATTAGTAACGTCTTGTTTTTCAGAGTTTGAGCCGTAAAAGCCTCTAGGAACGACACCAAGATTGCAAATAACTAAGTCAGCGTTCATCATTCCCACAACGAATCTTTCAGAATTGGTCGGCTGCCAATCTGCGCAAGTTACAGCATGCCTCATAGACATGATATCCGAAATTGACAATGATCCACCCAAAGAAGATACTCCCGGTTGAGTATTTTCTTCGTCTATAATACCAGTTTTTGCGGTCGCCTCTTTTTCTGTAAATAGTAAAGGTTCTTTAGAAGGAGTTTCAGCTGACTGATCTTCCATGTGAATATCCGGAGTATCCAAAGCAATTACCTGGTCATGGGAAGTATCTAATAAACCCGAATCCTTACGCCCGTCATTTTCATTTTCGTTTGCGTTAGCAATTTGAACACTATCAACATTGGAATCGTAACAGAAATGAGGAACGGTTAAGAGAAAATCATTCTTGCAAGGATGTTTGATGTTTTGCATGTCTTCTTGATTTAATATTCCATCTTTTATACTTGGGGGAGGATTCTCTATCCAATGCTGCTCTATTTCCATGTACTGTAAACCTTTTTGTAAAATTTGGACAAGCCTTCCGACAGGACAGGTCAGGCCCCATGCCTTGTCCAGTTTCTGAACATCTGTTTCATGTTCAAAAGCGAACTGTGTATGTGAATAACCTGGATTGTTAGTGATGATTGTGTTGGTCAAAAATATGGTCGAATTTTACAAACGAATCCTGATTTTTACCTGATTCCTGCAGATATCTCCAAATTATATAATTAATTTGATTCGTATCCATAACGAAGTTAAATTCAAGTATTAAGAACCACCAATTGTATGCAGACTGTTTTTAATGGTTTCTACCACTACTAGTCTAATTGTAGCAATCAGATTATATCCCGAACGATATTTAGTAACAAATAAAATGAAAGTTATCCTTTAGTTAGTTTTCAGTAAAGATTCATTGAATTGGTTTTTTTTTCAAAGGTAAACCACTATGGTCACAAGAAGCTCGTATAAATGACGACGGCGAACTTTTCCTACAACGGTAATCCTTTGTAGTAATTTGAAGAAAAGATTTCATTAACATTACTTGTTAACTAAGTAATGGCTTCTTTTACTATTTGAATATGATTTGTAATTTTCAGTTTAACTAGAATTGTAGAGACTATGAAACAGAAACAAGACGGTCCCATATATGAAGAAGACTTGCCTATATATATAAAAAAAGAAATCTCATTATTCGTCTTTTATGAAAACATTATGACTAAAGTGGTATCAAGAAATTTTCCACGTAGATTGAAAGCAAACTAAGAGAATCCAATAGAGTATCATTTAATCCAATTCAGAAATCATTAGGAAAATGGGTAAAGTTAATAGAGAGAAAGCTGCCTGTTAACGACACGCATGGTTTAAAAAGCATGTGTATAAACATCATCATCATTCAAGAACGAAATTTGCAGGTATAACTATAAATTAATTAATTTATTTCTCATAGTTGAGAAAGGTTCCTAGAGAGCATTCATGAATTGTCTCAGACTCTTGCCAAGGGTAATCATATCAAGACTTCAATATGTGCCATCAAAACGCTTAAGAAAAAAAGCTTCTTTATCACATAATGTATGTTTTTCTGACATGGATCTCTGTAATACTGGAATACTGGAAAAACACTCATGTCCAACTCTACAGAGGTTCTTAGCATTATCTGTATGAGATTTTGTATCGATTGTGTGAGAGCTCATATCAACCGGTCTGTTTTTGACGTTGAATCAAACTCTTATCTCCTTTATAATTCTAAGTGCCAAATAGGTTATGGGCATTTCCAAAGTTGTAGGCCTTGAAATTTAGCATAAGGCTTTCATTGTGGAAAGTTGCCTCGTTTTAGAAAGCCACATTATAGCAGAAAAATGGCGGTTTTCGGCACTTAAAAATAGTGTTGGAAAGCTTCTATCCCAAAAGAACCTTGCTTGTCTAAAGAAAGAGCATTTGGTCTCGGTCTCGTAAAACCAATTTGGAGAGGCTTTACCGAATTATAAAGTAAGTGTTGATTCCCGAAAACATTATTTCTCTCAACCTGTTCATTTCAATTGATTTCCTTTCGATCCTGGTTTATTTATCCTACCCTACCCTAATTGGGTAGAGGACAATGGAGGTAGCAAATTTATGAAAACTTTTCTTCCTTAACCAAGCACTCCATTAAGTTAGCTTGTCGTCTCACTTTAATGTGAGAATTACCAATGACGAGGTGATTAGTCTGAGTGCTGAGAGTAGATGGACTGTAAATCCAGTTTTTGGGTTTGCATTAGTCCAGGGCCATAAAATAAAACTGACTGCAACAAAAGTGTCTTTCCGGTCCATCTTTTTTTTGGTTTTCAGAAAAGAGGTGAAAGTAGAAGGCCATTATGATGGACGTTCTGGTTGCGGTTGGCCTACAGGCATTTGCTGTTGAAGCCTTTGAAGTAGTAGAATAGCTTTCTGTACCTTTTGACTTAATTGAACTGTTTGACCTGTATGTCGATGTAATGTCCTTGAAAATGGTTGTAGCTTTTTGTTGTATTTTGTTTTAGCTTTGGTTTCCAAAGCTGTTGTCTTGGAGGATAGCAAACCCGATGCATCTTTGTTGTCCATAATTGTATCATTGTTCAGCGAACGCTCCGTAAAAGAAGATTTCAATAGAGGATGTAACTAGTTAGGTAAGTATATTAGCAGTTCAGCTATATGAATATAGTAGACAGGGTCCACGTACCTTGGTCCGCATATTTTGTGATCTTGCTTGGTTTGAAGAAAGATTATGCTTCATTTGCTCGTAAGCTTTTTGTTCTTGCTCTAATCTCATGCTTTCCAAGTGTAATTCTTTTTGAAGTAAATGAATATGATCCAAGTCACCATATAATTGTCGCTCTAGTTGATTCTATAATTTTTTAATTAGTAAATAAAATATTTCCTTTCTGGTTGCAATGAGCTAAACAGCATACGTTCGCAGTTAGCACTTGAGAAAAGGCACCGTTGCCAAATTTACTAGGAGGAACGGGCAATGCTTTGAGTGACTGATTCATCCCTGTTAAACATTGTAGCATCCATCCTTCTGCTGCAGTCTTTCTATGTTCGGATTTGATGCTGTTTAATACTAATCTAGAATTAACAAGTTAGTTCGCATATTCACATAGGGCTTAGGAATTAACCAATTTTTCTTTTATAAACTTTTCCAAGAAAGATAGAAAAAAAGACATAGAGGTTTTCCAGGTAGTTATACGTATCCATCCAAAAGCTTCAAAAACCGGCATTTCTCTATAGAGTTTCTTACCTAGCGCAAGTACGAAGAACAATCATAATCTCTTCATGTTGTTTTTCTGATAAAGGACGCCACTTCTTACGGATCTCTTCCTTATGAATTGCTCGTACGCTTCTTTTCATGTTATTTCAACTCGAATCCTGAAATTGAATCAGATAATCCAAGCTATTCTTCTTTCAATTTGTTTTTCTCTTTTTCTTTTCTACAGTCCTTGAAAAAATATTTATGCTAAATTATCATTCCCAGTATCATGCGAATTACTTCGTATGGTTTGGTTTGTATTTTCAAGAGTGTAAATTCATAAGAGTCGCAAGGTGGATTTATATAAAGTTCAGATTCTTTCAAGTATTTGAAAGGCAATAGTTGAAATATGCTTTAGATTTAGTTTATGAAAAAACATTTCTGTATTTCAGAGCGTTGATCACTATTTACTAAACAAATTTACGAAACTCATATTTTCTTAGGGCAGTATATTTTTCAATGCGAGAGCAATCAAGCAATGAAATAGTTTATAAAGTGCCATGGTTCTAAACTCGTTAAAATAGACAACTAGCTAGCTAATTTGAATTCAGCATCAAACGTAACTTGCGATGATTCAACTCATAAGGAAAACAAGAAAAAGTATAAACATATATATTTATTAGAAGATTCAGTTCAATTCCTTTTCCTGTAAAAACTTTGTAGCGACTCTCAAAATTACCGTATGCTTTTTTTTCCCTGCGACTCCGATCATTGTACTATTATATTCATCATCATTAAAGTAAAGAAGGGCTTATATAGCAACATATTCCAATCACGAAAATCGCTACACTAGCATCAGTAATCAACTGGGATACTAAAGAAGCATAGTTTGTAGTGTGTCTAATCATAGACGCATAAGGAGCCGGCAATTGAGAAGCCAGCGTCATTAATAAAGAAGATGATGGTGGATTCTTTCTGTCCAGAAACAACCGGATGGAAAGTAAGCATGCTTCAACAGTAAACATCCAAGGAAGTAAAGGCTTTTTGCAGTTAGCTTACATACGAAACAAATAAACCCAAATATTTGATACATACCAATCGACGAAAGTAGCAGAAACAAACTATAGCTGCAACGAAAAGTAAGTGGACATACTTTCGCAATGTTTGGTTTTGAGTATTTTCCACATAAGTATTGGGGTTGCTAGTAGCATCGGGCCTTTCAAACGGTCCATTGTTATCTTCCTTGGAAGATTGCATAAGGGCTTGGAAAAATTTGGCAAAATCAGGGTTTTCAGCGAACATATTCTCAGGGGGAACATTAGATGGAGTGTCGCTCTGTAAATTGAAGGGTGAATTCAAGAGATTATGTAAATCTCTAGGATCACCTTTATCTTCCTCGGAAATCTGAGTGTCCGAAGGCATAACTGACTCGGCTTTAGAAGTTGACTGAATGCTCGGAGAAGCAACAGTTTCAGGAGTAGAGACATGAGAAGGCATTTGCTCATCTTCTTTAGGTTCCTGACCCAAAATTCTGTGAATTCTAGAATTTCCTCCTTGGCGGATCTTCTCCATGCGACGCTCTCTGCGTAATCTTGCCTGTTCAGCTGCAGATGACATTTTTAGCTAATGTTACCAAAAGGATATAGTTTAATCTTAAATATTGGAAAACCTGAAAAGAAAATTAGTTAATAAACTACGAAACCATTCTAATTTACCTATGTTCCAAAATTCGGTACAAGCTAATTTCGATGTGATGAAGGAAAGGATAAGTATGAGTTAAGGTTGAAATCGAAGCTTGAAGCAACTTTCAGATTATTCATGTAATAAACAAAACATTATTTATATACACATATATTGTAAAGAAAAAGGTCACTCATTATTTCCAAACAGAGTGTTTGCAAAGGAAGTTCATTCAAGAGGAATGCACCTCAAACCGTTTTTTGTTTTATGGCCTATGCCCTGATTAATTATTTCAAGAATAAATAAAATTATAATAAATGATTTCCTCGACCACGCTGTTTATGAAGAAAAGGCTCAATTTTATCATCTGGTAGAAACTTACATACAAGCAGAGTGGGTAGTTTCATAAACATTTAAACTGTACCAGTCTTTTGAAATCTCTATTTTTATAATACCGTCGTAAAATTTATAGAGATCGTCTAACATGCAAAAGTGAAATTCTTGGATTTATTGTAAGACGAACTGCTGAAATGACTAGTGCTTTTTCTGGCAGAAATCATTAATACGAAAAAGCGTAGATGAATCTAGTCCTTACAAAATACATTACGCACCATCCAACTATTCCTTGAGTTTTCCTTCTCTCAAAAGTTTATTCCTTCTATGGTCATGGAAACAGAAACAGTAGAGGAGCTTGTGTAAGTTTCTTTTCTTCCTCTTTGAATGTGAATTATATTCCTACGATCCTTTTAAATAAAGTTGAACTGACTGATGCTAGCAGCAGCTCAAGTTGGCATTAACAATTATTGCTGTTTTTTCGCAGGTTTTGGAGAAGTATCATCCTTTTCCAAAAATGCAACAGCAATATAGAAAGCTAAAACAACATTCACAACGACAACAGCTGCTATTCCTGCATACAGAGTATTGTAGCCTACAAGAATGAATCGTTAGTACACTTCTCAGATTTTTCGAGCTTTGGTTCCTAATTTAACCAAAAATATAAATATCGTAAAGTTCATACCAGAAAACCAGTGCTTTAGAGTCCAATAATAAGTCAGTAAAGGTAATGCGAATAAGGCAATACTAAATCCAATGAATTTTACCAAAATACGACTGATCTGAGGTTAGTAGCAAATCTTTACGGGAGAAGGAAGTTAGTGTTTCTTGTTTCCAAAATAGGAAGCCCTTTGATAATTCTTCCTACAAGAAATGTTCAAAAAGTATGCCTGACCAATGTAATAGGAATCTATTAAATCAAGAATTCCAGTATGGCAACCATCGAATATGATTCTAAAGGATATTATCACTTACGTTTGGATGGAATTCTCTTCTTCTGTTTTTCCTGACATGTTGCGTTCATGAGAACCACATTGCTGTTAGTGAATCATGGACACTAAAGGCGTTCAGAAGCCAGGTAGGTACGAAGTAAAGTTCGAAAAGATTTTTTTGTTTTGTTTTGTTGATATTCTGTGACATCCATATAGAAAAAATCAATCATAGACCCATGTCGTTGCTACCTTTCGAGGATGGAATTGGAAGCTTCTAAAGTTTGAACACCTTGAAAATATCTCTAGGTAATGTTACGCCAATTGAATCATTATTATTATCTATTCGTTGAAAAGTTTATGGATTAATATGATGATATTCTTGGGATAGGCTTTTTTAGCAAAACGATACCTTGTAGTATCACTTTCAATTTTATGGAAGATTCTTATTATTTATCTCCTACCTAAATAATCTTGGAAGTTCATTGAACTTTTGTTTCGTTGGAGGGCGTGGATATATTGCGAAATTTGTCTATGAAAATAAAAGTTTCGAACCACCAAGTTTGGAGACTCTTTGTTTAATGAGCCCATTCATTCATTTTGGCTGCTGAGGAATAAAAATTATGCGAATCTATTCTGAAAAGGTGCCCGTCACGAAAATCCGATCTCGGGTTATAAGTATCATTGGTATGAAATACTCAATTGTAAACACGGCAGAAAGTCGGAAATTCATTTGTGATTATTTCTATTTATGAAGTTATAAGCGGTATGTTCAAGCCTAGCGGACTGATAAAATTGTACGAGCAAAAAGTTTCTTGGTTCAGCTAGCAAACTCGTGCTAATTGAAGATCCAGCTATAGCTGTTAAGCATAACAGGCTCTAAGTCTCTATTATTTACTTTCCTGTTCCTACTCCTACTCGATAGACTAAACATATACTGACGCTGCAATCTGTCGTGGCCAAATATACTATGTTTGTTAAAAACAGGACAAGGCTTTTGATTTGTTTTCGTGAAAAGCAGCTCACAATTTCATTTAGGAAATAAGAAAATCATTGATGTTACTAGTGGAAGCGTTTCGTAAAGGGGAAAGAATTAAGTTTCTTCTTGACGCGAATAACTCTCAACAATTCTAAGAAAGACGAAAAAGAGGTCCTGTACTTCTCGTTTATTTCAGGTCGGATATGATGTTGGAAGTAACTTTCCTAGGGTTCATTCGTCTCGCAGAAAACATTTTTTTGGTAACATAAATAAACTCATATTTCGTATGGATCTTCCAAACTCCAATTTGGGGGTTTCCAATTTTCTTCTGCTTGAATTGAGCTATATTTACTTTGCTTTTGTTTGTTTACAAAATAATAACGAGAAAAAATATATCTCACTATTAGTCGTTGTGTATCTTACGATAATTGGACTAAACTGCTTTATTTGGTTTTGCGTACTTCTGCAAACAGCCACCAAAAATCTCAAACAAAAAACCAACCGTAGATTTCCTGTATTTTGTCTGTTACAAAAGACTTCATGTAACTAAATAGAATAGATGCTTCCAGATTATTTATCGGACAACAGAAAACGAAAATTCGAGGAGAATCAGACTCCTTCTGGTGAAGTTGCATCATCCGGTGGAGGATTCAATACTCCTTATGCTAATACATCGTCATCTTCACCGGTAAGCTCTTCTCAGTATCCTTATGTTTCTGGAGTGAATCCTTCGACTGTTCCCCAGTCTCCTTATGTACCTACTGCTGCAAATAGTCAGTTCCAGAATCCTAACTTTGGTCACCAATATTATTCGTATGCATCTTCCAATCCATCGTTGCTTAGTGATCCGACCCCGAGCTTAAATAGCTCTTACATGATGCCAAACACTCAGAATTATCCTTATGGGTTTGCGCCGTCTGCACCTTCAACTGCTGCTTACATGGGTGGTATTCCTCCACAACCTGTTTCACCCTACCCAACCAACTCTTCTTACAATCTAGGATCAAACTCTTCTCCGCTTACTGGAATTTCTCCTGGAATGACCAATGCTCCTTCCCGATTCCCCAGTATCCAGTCTTTGCAGCAGCAACCTGCATATCCCAATTACAATTCACAGTATCATGGCAATAACAATTTCATGGGAAATGTTCCCGCTTTGTCTAATGTCAGTTCTGGAGGATTGTTGAATTCATCGAATCCAGTTGCGCCGGCCGTCGATAACTCTACCCTTTACAATTCTTCTGCCTCGGCTACTCCCGCAGCAAACATGCTTCCTAGCTATACCCGCTCAAAGTCTCGGTCCGTTAGTCATCCTAGATCATCATCCGTTCAACATACTTCTGCTACCCCTCCTGAGAATATACCTTCCCTTTCATCTCCCATGACGGCCGACGCTTCTATAAAGGATCCAAGAAAAAATCCCAATCATGCTATGCTCTGTGTTCAATGGATCCGTTCTTTCATTCCTCAGGCCGACATAGGAACTACGATCAATGCTCTTGCACAAAATAATTGGGAAGAAATAGCCGCTTTGTCTGTATTGTCCCGTCAATACTTGAATTATGATGTATCAGCTCAGTTACAACAGCATCAGGCTTTCACTCATGGCCTCCCTGATCTTTCCAGTTTTATTCCAAATTTTGAGACTTCAAATCGTACTGTGCATTCCCAAAAACGTTCTATACGTGATAAGTATACCCAACCTTCAACAGGATATCCCATGGCGCCTGCCGAAGAAACCACACCAATTCCCTCGTACTCCCGAAAACCTGCAAAGAAACCCGTTGAAGAGGATGAATTTTATGATTCCGGCGAAGAATCAGATGTAGTTGTCCAAAGAGACACTTCAGCTTTGGAGCGAACTGTTCTCAATTTCATCAATGCTAGTTCTGCTAAGGAAATCTCGGATACTGCCAGCTGCCCACTTGCTCACTCTAAGTTGCTTCTGGAACATCGTCCCTTCAATAATCTTGCCGAAGCTTGTGCCATTAAACATCCTGATGATGTTCCTAGTAAACCTGGTAGGAGAGGCCGAAGAAGACCAAAAATCCCTATGGGTCAAAAAATTGTCAATGTCTGCATGGAAACCATGGAAGGTTACTATGCTATTGACAACCTTATCGCCCGTTGTGAAGATTTAGGTAAGCGTATATCAGATGGTATGGCTTCCTGGGGTATAAAATTGAAAGAAGCTTATGGTGAATTGAACATCGTTGATATGGATTCACTACATAATGCCTCTTTTAATGCCTCGAACTATCCTGGCTTTATCACCGAACAACCTGCTAGCCTTGCTCCTGATGTTAAGCTAAAGAGCTACCAAATGATTGGTGTTAATTGGATGAACTTACTGTATAGATTGGGTCTTTCTGGTATTTTAGCCGATGAAATGGGTTTAGGCAAGACCTGTCAGGTTGTTGCCTTTTTTGCTCTGCTTCTTGAACAAGGCCGTACAGGTCCTCATCTTGTTGTAGTTCCTTCTTCTACTCTCGAAAATTGGTTACGTGAGCTTGCTCGCTTCTGTCCCCGTCTCCGTGTAGAACCATACTATGGAAGCCAACAGGAACGCGCTGATATTCGAGAAGCTATAGAAGAAAATAATGTAGCATATGACATTTTGGTTACTACATACCAACTAGCCACCAGCAGTAAAGAGGATCGCTCATTCCTTAAGCATCAAAACTTTGATGTTTGCGTTTATGACGAAGGCCACTATTTGAAGAATCGAATGTCAGAGCGATATAAAAATTTGATGAATCTGACTGCTAACTTTCGATTACTATTAACCGGTACTCCTCTGCAAAATAATCTTAAAGAATTAGTATCGTTGCTAGCTTTCATCCTTCCGAACGTGTTTGATAGCGACATGGAGGACTTGGATGTCATTTTTAAAGCAAAGCCTACTGCCGACGCTGACATCGAGCAAGCTCTTTTATCGAAACAGAGAATCAGTAGAGCCAAAACAATGATGACGCCTTTCGTACTGCGTCGACGTAAAGCTCAAGTTTTAGGTGACTTACCTCAGAAGAGTCATCACATTGAATATTGCGATATGTCCGCCGAACAAGAAACCATCTATAATCGGTATGCAGCTGTGCAAAAATCTCAACAACTAAAGCGTGAGGATAAACGACCTAAGAGAGTAAAGAAAGACGAAGGAAACGAGGAAAATGGCAAGCCAGCATCGGTTGGACACACGCTTATGCAATTGCGAAAGGCCGCCAATCATGCTTTACTCTTCCGAGAACATTACGATACGAACACTTTGCGTAAGATGGCTAAAGATATCATGAAGGAAGAACAGTACAAAAATGCTAATGAGCAATACATCTTTGAAGATATGGAAATTATGTCTGACTTTGAACTTCATCGTCTGTGCCGCAATTTCCCCACATTGCAATCGTATATGCTGAAAGAGGAGCCTTGGATGGATTCAGGTAAAATCCTAAAGCTGAAAAAAATGATTCCTGAAATGAAACAGAAAGGTGATCGTATACTTCTCTTTAGCCAGTTTACTCAAATGCTCGATATTCTAGAGCAAGTTTTGGATTCTTTAAAAATTTCTTATGTTCGTTTGGATGGATCTACTCAAGTAGAAACTCGTCAAGACATTATTGATCAGTTCCATAAAGAACCTGATGTGACGGTATTTTTGTTATCTACAAGAGCTGGTGGATTCGGTATTAACCTAGCTTGCGCGAACGTGGTGATTCTATATGATTGTTCTTATAATCCTTTTGATGACCTGCAAGCTGAAGACCGGGCTCACCGTGTGGGCCAGATGCGCGACGTGAGAGTTATAAGGTTGATTACGAAAAAAACTGTTGAAGAATATATTCAAAGACTTGCAAACACCAAGTTAGCCTTAGATATGAGTCTTAGCTCCGATGGTAAAGATCGAGAAGAACTCGGAGAGCGTCTGGTTCAAGATATGCTCGACGAAGAAAATCCAGATGACGGAGACAAGAAAACTGATAATACTAAAACAAATCTACCTAAGGAAGAGCCTAAGGAAGGATCAGAAAGCCTTAAACCAGAAACGACTCCAGACAAGGCTGAATCAGAAATCGCGAAACAAGAAGAAGCTACAGCTGATGTAAAAAAAACCGAGGGCGATGCTACTTCAACCGATCCGTCGAATGACAGTGAGGCAGCACAGTCCCTCAATGTGAAAGAAGAAGACAAAGAAAGTGATGATACTGCATCTTTAGCAACTTCAGAGGAGAAACCATCGGCAGCTGATGTGCCTTTTCAGACACCTGAAGATGAACAATCGAAGACAGTTTGAGCAGCATCTGTTAGAACATTGCAAAAAAATTGGTTTGTGTCGTTATCTAAGCCTATTGGGGATACGATTTATCTTCAACACACATTGTATGCTTTATTTGGGATTTGAATAAAAGAGTTTTATCTTGAATCCCCTTTTGGTTATTATGCGGGTCATCATTGCTGTTGTGCAACTTTCAGTACTCCTCAAAGGATGGATAGAAAAATAAAATAGGCGAGTCATGTTATAATCATTTATATTGATTGGATTTATAAGGCCTTATGGGAATACCTTTCGTAAACTGGAGAAGACTGAAGGTATTCGATTGTTTTAATAAGAAAGTCTTGTTTTCAGTCAGTCTTGCGAAAGAATCGGACTCTGCCTTTTTGTTTTGCGTTCCTTCTTGATTAAGGTCAAGTTACAGTGGATATAAAACTTACAAACTTAAAGGGTTTTTTGTGATACTGGTTAGTTATTTGGAGCTTTTTCCTGTATATTAATTTAGAAGTGTATATGTATATAGAAATAATGAAAATGGACTTGTCTTTTTCGGATGCACTGATAACTTTCTGAAAATGAGGGAAATAATGTTGGATTATTTTGTTTGACTAAAATAATTGTAAAGTAAACTAATGGTTGCTCTTTGCCTCTTAGTGAATCTCATTATCCACATTATTCAAAGATGTTTCTCTAAAAAGAAGTCGACGCATAAGTCCATATGAAAAACAGAATTACAATCTACTCAAAAAAAAAATCATTGAATAAAAAAAGAAATAGAAAAGTTTTATCTCGAAGAACACAACTAACTACCTCATTGCATCTCATGAATAATAATTCCACCACCTCCATCCTTCTCGAATTACACTTATAGAAAATATCAATAATTAATATTGTGCGTGTATTTAAAGAGAAGCTAGAATTAAAGAAGAAAATACTGTGTTTCTTTTGTTTCGTAAACTTTTGAACCCAACACAGGTGCATCGGAAACTGGTACATTGTTGCTGCAGCTTTACAGGAAATAAAGGCTTCATGGAGGCATTAGAAGACGTATATAATAAAATTAAAAGTATTTATACTTCATATCCTTCTTCCGAGAAAAACAGAGTTTTAAAGCAAAGGCTTATAACATCGCTGAAATTTCTTGATTATGCATTCGAATCTTATGGGTATGAAGGATATATGTTTGACGGAATTGATTTCTTTTTTTTACTTTTTTCTAACGATATTGTACAGGGCCTCACGAATTGCTATGTCATTTAATGGAGGAAAGGATTGCCTGGTTTTATTGTTGCTTTGTATATACTGCTTAAGGGAAAAATACGGTGGTTCGATGGCCAAACAAAAATTAGCAGAGATCCCTTTTGTGTTCGTACGACCGAAAGATGAATTTTATGAAATGGATGAATTCGTTCAAGATTGCAAGAACCTTTACGGTCTTAACATTATCAGCATTTCCCTTCCTATGAAAGAGGCATTTACGCTATTCCTAGCGGACAACCCAAATATCCAAGCAATACTTATTGGCATTCGCCGGTTGGATCCCCATGGCTTGCATCGTGTTGCTTTTGAAATGACCGACAAAGGATGGCCGAAATTTATGCGAGTTCAGCCAATTTTAGATTGGACTTACTCTGAGGTTTGGGACGTACGTGTTTTTATTTATGTCTGTGGTCTTTCATTTTACTAACAAATTGGTTGTTTAGCTCTTGTTGGAAACGAAAACGAAATACTGTATACTATATGATAAGGGTTATACTTCCCTGGGTGGCATTTCCGATACATCTCCTAATCCTGCTCTTAAGAATAAAGATGGATCCTATTCTCCTGCTTATTTACTCCCGGATGCTTCATTGGAACGGTTTGGACGTAATCAGACCGTCCCTTTTGAACGAACCAATTCTCGTTATCTGTATGAAAGTGGTCCCTCGTCGTATGCGCCTTCTGAAGTCTCTTAACTTCTTCGGCAAGGAATTTAAAGAACTAAATTGTCAGCATCCACCAACCCGAAGATCATTAACTTCATTCCATACTTAACTTTTCTCTACCGGTAAACTACTGATTTTAGATACCTTTTTTGTTTCCTTGCTTTAATGATTCATTAACGACACTAGTATAGCTTGTAAAATTTTTATAGTACATGAAGAATTTTTCTAATATGATGAGTTTCAATCAAATTAAATAGGCTCAAAATAAATTTTAATCGAATTTTAACGTTACTATAAACCAAAACAATCTTATTATGCATGCATGCATGCAACAAAAAGACCAAATTTCCAAAATCCCACTGGGATGTATGCTCTTATTTTACTTTTTTGCGAATAGCACCATAAACCTCTACTTGACCATGATTTACTTCAAACCTCCAACCATTCTGCTGTAGCCATCGTACGATGGAGGGTAAAAGTCTCGCCTCCATGCCTACGCTATGATTACCAATTCCAGTAATAATTCTAAAAGGATGTATGCAATTTGGAGAAGAATCTGCTTCTTTTGCCCACCAACTTGAAATCCTTTCTTCCACGATAACCTTAGCCTCACGAACAGTTGCGCCATGCAAATCTAATGAATATGGTGTTCCAGTCTGAACCAAAGATCTCATGGCTAATCCTCGCCATTTCATAGCTTTTTCATGATACTCTCTTCCAACTTGAGCATGGTATGTTGCTGATCCGCCAAGCAATCGGTCACTCTTGCTTCGCCGGTAATCCCTGGCCGAAGCAGCATATTCAGCGTTTCGACACTCTAAATATTCATCCGCCAGACGGTTACAGTCTTCTGTCGAGTATGCTTCCGTCTCATTGTCTCTTTCAGGCAAATTATGCTTTAAAGCAAAAGGAGTGCTTATGTTGAGTTTTTCGTTGCCAGCACGTAGACCGAGCTCTAGTTTGGAAGTATCTTTTGGGTGAGATTGTTTCACAGCATAAGCAATCCATCTTGCACCTTGCAAGTCTTTGCAACAGGTTAAAAGCTCACAACAGAATTGAAGCGAAAGACCAGTGTTCCTTGACAGTTCAGATGCATTATCTTCACAAGATTTCTCAAAGATTTGCGTCTTCAGAGGATGACTTTGTAGCAAAGCGTTTACCGTAAAGTATAAAGATCCAGAGTTTTTATAAAATTCATGGCTTACTCGAGAGTTCGCGATATCCAAAATTGAAGATATCTTTTCAAAAAGCTGTTGGTTTCTTTCCCAGAAAGAAAGCTTTTGAACTGTGAACTGTACTAGTTCGTCTTCAACCTCTGAGTGATTTTCTTCTGAATTCAGATCGCGCATCGAGAGGGCTCTTCGCGAAGCATTAGGTTTTTTGGTTTTTCGTTTACGTTGTCGTGAACGATGAGAGGCATTTGGAGCCGCAAAAAGAGCATCAGTAGCATTTCCAAGTCCTTCATCTTTTTCGAGTACTTCCTGATTTAACAATTCATCACTGGCGCGCGTAAGATCATTTCCACATTTGGAAAGGACGTATTGAACTCGTTGTGGAGCAATACCATGAAACATGGACCGCAAAAAGTTGTATACTGTTCCATCCAAATCATAAGGACAATCTATCAATTCTTCCGAATAGTCAACCTCGTGCTCTGCATTTAACTCATCGTCTAATGTTTGCAAAATCGCACTTTCTTCCTCCTTTGCCTGGGATTGATTCCATCCATCTTCATGAGACAAACATTGGCCGTCATTTTTCAGCGTTTCCAATACTTCTCGAGCATCATTGGTGTTTTCGCAGTCGTTGACAATGGCCAAGACAAGTGCTGAATCCAAATACTGGGAGTAATGTTCCTAATGATTTAGCAAATTTTACCTCTTTTTTACGTTACCTCAAATTGCGAACGCCAATCTGGCATTGGATTGCGTTCGCGTCTGGAAAAATATATTGTTCATGGGAAGTCGCGTTTGCTACGTTTTTTCAATACATGTAATGCCAAAATATTTAACAAAGTGCAAGGCAATTTTTACTATAATATAACGATAGAAATTGTTGTTACGGTAAATGATAAACAAAAGGATTGAGAAACGCAAGTGAATGTTTTATTAGAATAAGCAATGCCGAAAATATATTTAACTGTAATTAGCTAAAAAAAAGAGATTGATTAGAGCCGATACACGCTTAAAGAAAGTCAAGTTTGTTCCGTGAACAACGAAACGTATGAAGGGATGATTCAAAAGAACGAATAATTAATTCATTAATCTAGCATTTATCTTGTCCAAAACTTTGTAGAATATGAAGATACTCAAAAGACAAGACGGTTGCTTCAGGTAAAGATAAAAGAAAAAAAAAAAAACCAAAGAATGAGAAAACTAGGAAGTTTAAACAGCCAATCCTTGAGCCTCTAATTCGGGTCTCGCAGCCTTAAGAACTTCAGCATGATCAGGACGAAAACGGTTCTTTGGGGGAAGAGTAAAGTTTGGCTCCTCAGCCCCTTCTTCATACTCGAAACTTTCCAAATTATGGAAACCCCATTTGTGAAACAATTGATTGTCTTGGTCCCAGGTAACGGATGGAGTTGTAAGCATTTTTTCGCCAGTAAATACGGAATTGGCACCAGCCATGAAAGCCATCACTTGCTCTGTTTCAGAGAATTGAGTTCGGCCAGCAGAAAACCGGATGATGGTCTTGGGCATGCAAATACGAGCAGTAGCAATCGCACGAAGGAAGGAGTGAAAGCCAACAGGTTTTTTGACCATGTCACCAACGGGAGTTCCGGGGATAGGGACGAGAGCATTAATAGGAACGGACTCGGGATGAGATGGCATATTGGCCAAAGAATGAATAAGGCCAATACGATCTTGTTCTTTTTCTCCAAGGCCCAAGATACCACCGCTGCAAACCTTGATTCCGGCCTTACGGATGTTATCTATCGTATTCAGGCGTTCGTCATACGACCTAGTAGATATAATCTTAGGGTAGTACTCGGGAGAAGTATCCAGATTATGATTGTAGGCGGTTAAGCCAGCCTCTTTAAGATCTTTGGCTTGTTGCTCATCCAACATGCCTAGAGTTACACAAACTTCCATGTTCAAAGCACGAACTTGTGTAATAATTTCCAAGATATTCTTGAATGTACGGTTTCGACCATTCAAATCACGCCAAGCACTTCCCATGCAGAAACGCGTGCTGCCTTTGGCTTTTGCGATATGAGCTTTTTCCATAATATCGTCTATTTTCATCATCCTCGTAGCCTTAACACCGGTGTTGTAACGTGAAGACTGAGAGCAATACTTACAGTCCTCAGTGCAGCCACCTAGAGAAGAGCATTAGTATTTTCAGCATGCATGTACAGTTCTATATACCTGTTTTAATGGAAAGAAGTGTGCATTGCTGTATTTTACGAGGATCATGGAATTGTCGATGTATAGTAGCCTAAATAAAACCAGTTCATTAGATTCAATTGGTTTTCTCAATTCAGACAAATCTTTCATACCGCTCTAAATACAAGCTCTATAAGTGGCAAATGATAAATTTCACTAATTTGTTCACGCGTCCAGTCATTTCGTACCACTGTGGAAGTCGAAGATTTACGAATTTGATGTCTTATGGCTCCAAACATTGCTGGTTTTAGTACTACAAATTACTAAAGATGTTCAATTTCAACAACTTTTCACCCGATTATTGAGCAAACTTCAATGGAAATCTTCACTAAGTAAATTTGCACGTAATTATCAATGAAACTCTCAAAGCAAGGCTTGAATTCTTTGATTTCGTCCTTTTACGCGTCCTCACGGTATAGTAAAAGCCAGCTTTCGATCCCCCTACACATAGACTTGGCGGGGAAGGTGTTTATCAATCAATCTCTTACATATTTTATTGGTGGAAGCAGACTAGTAAGCTAACTGTCTGCGTCGCTAACTTTCGATATTCTACTTTACGTGTATTCGCGTAGCACTTGGTATTCTATGCCATTTGCCAAAAAGGGAAGGATATCAAACAATCGGCATTTAAAGATTTGTATTTATTTACTTAATTTGTAACTTTTCTAATTGTCATTTCTAGTCATTCCATTGTTCATCACCTGTCCTATTTTATCATATCACTTAATCATACAAGTAAAACGCCAAGCATTTTTACGCCTTAATATTTTACTCATCAGTAGCTGTACTCGGTATACTTATAATGCTAATGAACTCTGTACTTCAATCATCTGTAATAAAGGAAATATGCTCAACAAGTAAATAGACGGTTCCTATCATTTACGACTAGAATTATGCATGAAACCTCTTCTAATGATTTTCTTGATTTACAATTGTTTTGTTTTTTACATTTCTATTTCAATATATTGTCAGTCAGTTCATTTAAAAGACTACATGCAAAACTTAATACCCCTAATATGTACATAACAGAAAGTTACTTTAGTCCAAGAACCATGACTAAATAAAGACTAAAATGCCGCATTTACTGCAAAAACATGTTAATAGCCTTTCCCATCAAACCACCTCCATCTTCCGAGTGCTTGGATTGCTCCTGAGGTCTTCCATTGTGACCATTCTCTCCAGTCACCGCATTTAATAAGTTACTAGCTAATCCAGACTGAGAATTGCCGTGACTTTGCTGTTGATTACCAGAATCACTAGTGGAATTTTTACCAGAACCAAGCAAACTACCGGCTAGATTTTGCAACCCACCCAAACCAGAGCTTGCTTGCGAATTACCGACATTTTGACTGGATCCGTGGTTTCCTGGACCCAGAAAGCTCTGTGCCATGTCCTGCAATCCATGTGCATTAGCTTGAGGAGCATTGTTGTTGCCCGAATTAGAGTTAGTGGAAGTCGAACCTCCGAGGAAAGAGCCAACAACGCTTGCCAATACAGCACTGTTACCGCTAGCTTGAGACGAGCCTCCAGACTCCACCAACTTCATAAGCATATTACGGTTTTGAAATAGCGTTTTCGCCAATTGTACAGCAGACTTGGCATCCCCATCAAATCCGCCTGCACCTCGCTGGCCTTGTCCTGAAGAAGAGTTACCTTTCATTATCAACCCTTGAGCCTCTTGCTCCACCATGGATAAGAAATCTTGTTGGTGCTGCTCAGAATGAACTTGGCCAGTTGCTAACGCATCGCCATTCTTAGAAAAGTACTTTTGAACGGCGCTGAAAACAGCTGCATAACTTATAGTATCCGAGCCTTGCCCAGAAGACTTTTGATCGTTATCTTTACCAAGACCTAGTTTGGAAAAGGCATTGATAAAGGAGCTAGTATCCAAGGGTGCCGAGTGGTTATCCGAATTCATTTTAGATGAGTTTGAAGTTTGATCAAAAGACTTTTGGCTCTTAGAGTTGTTAAGCATATTATTATTACCTAAGGGAATTAATAACCACTCAATTAATACATGTTGTCTGAGTTACCATAAGAACCTCCATATGAGGAATTGCTGTTGCCTCCAAAAGAGTTGTCATTTCCATAAGAATTGTCATTACTGCCGTAGGAAGACTTGTTATTACTTCCATAAGAGTCGTCATTACCACCGTAGGAAGACTTGTTATTGCTTCCATAGGAGTCGTCGTTACCGCCGTAGGAAGACTTGTTATTGCTTCCACTACCGTAGGAATCACCACCATAGGAGTTGTCATTTCCATAAGAATTGTCATTACCACCATAGGAATTGTTGTTGCTGCTGTCATAAGAATTATCATTTCCGTAAGAGTCGTTGCCAGAATTGCCATTGCCTTGACTACTATTTTTATTGTACTTTTGGTATTGACCATAAGCCTGTCCGGCTAAATTCTTCAAGTTGTCCATGTTCATTGTGGGATATGTAAGTCAAAAAGAACTAAAGATAAAAAAAAAAAAGAAAGAGAATGCAAAAAATTACGAGGATATCGATCTATTAATTTAGTCGAAATAACAGCAGGATCGTCCCACTTATATAATAATCTTTACTATTCAGTTAGCGATAATCTTGAGGAACTTCGAGAGGCTAGAACGTTCGATAACAAATCCTATCTCGTGTAGCTCTTCCCACTATTGCTTGATTTTCTTACATCACTACCATCGGGGGAGGCTTTGCTTACAGCATCGTACTACACTTTACGAAATGGAAGAATCGTAAAATTGCAACAGCGAGATGATTCCACTACCAAGAATAACATAGAACATAATAGAATGCGTAATCAAACATTCGCAATATACAAGATTTATTCAATCTGAATACATTATTTTTTTTTTTTTTTTTTTGATAATCACTTTCGTACACTCTCCTGAAAATATCTTTTCCCCACTCACCTAATTTTTCCTTCTCCAGAGAAGAAAAGAAGGGAACTTCTAGTCATTACTAAGATCTGATTACATACTGGATACCACTTTCGAACGCAGTTTGGTAAGTAAGTCATTATTATATTTTGAATTCTTGACTGGAATTCACAATTACAACTCAAATTACAACTCAGTTTTCACTTTTATACTTGGATATAGCTATTCTATATTGATTCCTCTGACGGTCGTTCATCAATGATAAGGTACTTCGTTTTTACTCATAATAGTGTACCCAAGTTTGGATCAGAATATATGAACTAAGCCCTTTTTTACGTCATCAGATTCTTAAGGTTTTTACGTCAGACCAGCTTTCCAATTGTAATCGACGGACTCGGTTTGCAACTAAGCGATTGGCGCGTAAACTTAAATTCTTTTACGTGGCCTCCAATTATGTACTTCCCTTCATACAAACGCACGCTTGTTGGGTACCGAGGTTTAGTATAGTGTTGCCTTTCTCTTCCTCTGACGTTTGTCTTCCGGTTCTTCTTCATCCTTTGTTTACTTTTGTTTTCTCCCATACCCGTTCTTCCGTTTGTTTTGGCGTCTCCACAGTTTTGGGCCTTTTTTTTTTCATCGATTTCTGCTTTCTTTTTCGATTCGTTTATTCTTTACTTCCTTGTCATTCATTTTCTTCTACGACGTTCCCTGATTTCTTACTTTCTAATTGCACCTTACATTGGTTTCTATGTTCCCGTATACGATGTTAACTTAACGGTTCACTGTTTTTTTCAAATGGACCTTTACTCCTTTAAATTCGTTTATCTTACAACCCTGTCCTTCTTTTCCTTTGATTTTTATCTTGATGCGCCGAATTCTTTTTATAGCGAATTGATTCAATTCGTATTTTTTAGAATACGGAAACAACCCTTCTAATTTCGCTAGTTTGCTGTATTCCTTTAAGGTGCTTGACCATCGCAGTTTAGTGCATTTTTATCAGCTGTGATATTTGTATTCACCGAGGAAATTATTTAGTGTTCCATTGCTTCCTCTGACAACGAATGCGTTATTTATTTTTTCGCAATTTTACGAGAATTGATATTCAAGCGATTAGTGCTTTTCACTTTATTTTTCGGCTCCTTAGAAAATGTGGATTCAATTTGTACCACAACAAAACCTTAGATTGTTCAATTTCTTTCTTTTTAATTCGATCCTTCTAGTCTGAAGAACGAACACGTGAATCGCCGCATATACTTTCATCATCTAGATTTTTTTTTCTAGCCTTCTTTTCTCATCTTCCCTTTTCTCCCAGCTCCTCTTTTCCTGTGTTTTTTAGGTTTGTTTCTCGTTAGTTTGTGCATTTATTTTGGTTCATCATTTTGTTTTACTCAAAATCTTGTTGCATCCTTTGTTTTTTCGTCTCAGTTGCCTTTTTTCGTTATTTATAAGTTGCCATCATCACATCGATTTTCCTCTTTCGCCTACTTACTTCGTTTATTACTTTTATTTTTCGTTTTGCTTTCGTTCTGTATAAATAGTTTTTATTTTTCATTTCCACAATTTCCTGACTCTTCCTTTGGTTTGGTCTAATTTCTTATAGAGACTATTCGTTTTCATCCTTTCTCCTTGTTTTATCATTTCTTCTAATTTATTTATTGTTATTATTCCCTTTTTCATTCCGTTCATTGCATTGCTTTCCTTCCTCTGTGTCGAATTTTATATCTGGTTCTCCATTCATTCGCCGTTAATAGATATTGATTGTTGTTTTTATTCCGCTTCCTTTTCACTTTTTGCTTTTTCTTGGATTTAATGATTTGACTAATTCATGGATCTTAATACCATTTCTTATCTTCCTGTTCCTCCTGCTAAATTTCCTTCCAACTCATCGACTTCCCCTATTCCTCCCCAACATGCTCCTTCCTTTTCTGCTCCATCCCATCCTTCCTTCTTTCGGCATGCGCCTGGGGTCCCTTCCTTAGGTCCTAATGATTACCCTTATCCATATCTCTTCGACCCTTTCGCTTCCCAGTCCTCTTCTTCTCCATCCGTCCCACGCCCGGTGAACGTCCCTGTATCCAACAGTAACCCTCAAGATTTCCAGGTTTCTGTACGTCCTAGTTCTGTCCGCGTTTCTTCTTCGGCTTCGGACGAGAAGAGGAGAAAAAAGGTTTCTCGTGCTTGTGACCTCTGTCGCAAAAAAAAGGTATGATTTTTTCTTATTTATTCTTTCTCTAACTAATTTAGATTCGCTGTGACATGGTGGAAGGATCCACAGGTGCTTGCATCAATTGCTCAAAGCACAATTTACAATGCATCTATACAAGAACACAATTAAAGCGTGGCCCGGTCAAAGGTCTAATACGCAACCCTGAAGATAAAACCAAACGTCTACGTTCCAATAGCACCACGGCGGCTGCTTCTCCGCTTGATACAGATGCCGCTGCTTCTCCTTCTTCTACTCTCCCTGATACCTTACCTTTCGATGTTAAATCAAATTCTTCCTCCCCTGATGATTCCAATCCTAGTAAAGTTCTTCCTATGGATACTGCAATACCTGCTGTATCGCCTGTCGCGAAAGAACCTATTCTGTCAAAGCACCCAAAGCCTACTGCTACATGGCATCCTCAACAATCAAGCCATCCTCCTCCATCGCCCTTTCATTCTCAACAGTCTCAGCCAGTTCCTTCAACGATTCCTCCTTTTCAACAATCGTATCCTTACCTATCCGCTCCCTCGAGCCAATCCGTTGCCGGCTTCCACCATCCTAAATCTTTTTCTTCCACGTCTGGTACGCAGCCCTCCATTTATACTGCTCCAAGTGTACAACCGTTCGTACCTAGCAGCCTACCTTTTCAGTCAAACATGAACACGGCTTATTTGCCAGATTCCAATTTACGTGCTAACCCTACTCATACCCCCCATCCTGGTCTTGCTGAATCGCCTTATAAGCCGATGCAGCCTCCGCCTATAGCATATCCTCCTGCACTCACAAATGGTCTGTCATCAGATCCTAGATCTCTGCCGTTGCCTTCTATTGCTTCATTTGATAATTCTCGTCTTAATACGGTTTCTCAATACGGTGGATTACCAAACTCGTCCTACCAACCTCCCATTCCCATGCAACCTGTTCCTGTTAATTCTCCTGGAAATTTACCAAATTTTGGGCGTGCTTTTCAAAAAAACCAATTACCAGAAAGCGCACCCTCATCAATTCGGCAAGAAGCCCGATCTTCTACATTAAATGCTGGTCCCAATGTACAGCAGTCGAGAACTGCCGAAAACGCACAGTACGATGACATACATGAAATATCGAGAGTCTTTCAGGAAGACATAGAATGGGATGACGAAGCTGTTGACAGATATTATCTACTTATACATTCTACCTTGCCAATCTTGCATCACTCAAAAACTCGTTTAAAATTAGAACTAGAAAAAGCTCCAAAGTTTTTACGATCATGTTGTTTACATGCGATTTATTCCTTAGTAAATCGCCCGCCGTTTTCATCTCTCGGAAGTATCTTTCATAAAAATCCTATGAAGGCAATTGGTTTACTTAACTTGATATGTACAAATGTGCAGGATATCTCTAATAGAATCTTACATTTGCAGACCATGATTTTATTGGCGGTCGAAAGTGATCAACGAGGACCTACGACAATTACTGGACGAAATGGGCTACCTCAGAGTATGTGGCATGGCGCTGCCGTTGGTTTGGCTTGTAATATGCGTTTGCATATACAATCCCATATATCCTTACAGTCAACAAATCAAGATATGGATGGCAATGAAGCATTATGTCGTAGGGCCTGGTGGGTTCTGGTCATCCTAGACAGATGGCACTCTGTGTCCACATGTTCTCCTTTGTTCATTCCTGACAGTTGCATAAAGCTTTCGATCCAAGATCAAAAGGTCCTTGGAAGTTTTCCAAGCCAGTTAGTTCGTTTGTCATTAATCGTTGGTCACATTTCGGATGTCTTTCAATCTCCTGATCCTAGTGATCGGGAAAATCCAATCGTGACTCAACAGTTAAGGTCAGAAATTGACGCATTCCGTGAAAGCGTTGATGTTGTTTGGGGTCGAATGAATTTACTGACCTTGGCTGTCACACATGTTAAGGTGCTTTTGGAATTATCTACAAATGCTCGACCTTCCGCTGTTTTAACTCCCGCTATGAAAATGGCTAACATTCTTTCGTCTTCTTCCACTCCATTGACACCCCTTAATCATCACTTTTTCAGTTTGGCTGCCTGTGTTTTAATTGGTGTCTATGATATCCCAGAGCTACAAGACGAAGCTAGACAGGGACTGGAATACATTCGAGAATGTATAGAAAAGCGGCGGGACATTGTCAGTAGAAAGGATCATGAAGATTGGGATTACGTCGTCTTAAAATTGATAAATGCTAAAATGCAAGGTATGCATATTGCTTCGGATCCTCCTGCTCCCCCTCACGTTCCTTCATCTTCAATTCCTTCATACAATAGTCAAGAGGTTGATTCTGTAACATTTAAAGATGCATATTTGTACACAAGATTATGCAATTTGGGTTACTTAGGATTTTTAATATAAGCCTTGATGAATGCCGCTTTTCAGCAAACGGTATCTAACATAAACTTAAAAGTCAGGAATTCATAAACGATTGATATTGGGTCTATTAATAGTCTGTAAAACTTTTCTATAACTCATGTATTTTGAGTCTGTAAGTTGGGAAATCTAATATAGATAAATTTGCATTTTTACGTCTGTTTTTATCTACCTTCATTTTTCTTTTCTTTGTTGAGCACATGATTAGTCGTATGCACGCATTCCTAACTGGGAGAAAGGTGTTTATTCAAAGCGGCATATTTATTATATTGAGAAGTCTCAGGCCTATCAGCAGTCCTTCTTAATACAACTATCGTTTGAACATGTTGCGATGTTTCACAATCTTCCAAGCAAGGCTGCCTCCTACCGAAAGTAATAAGGCACCAAAGGCTGTTAAAGCAACCACCAGTTGGTAATTAATTTTATTGGAGTTTTCATCGGGGACCTGAATCACTGAAGAAGCAGGGAACTGAGCTGATTCGGCAATCTATAATTATGTTAGCATGTCACAAAACTTTTCAAAGTACCTACCTGAATGAAGAAATCTTTAGAAGTATTCCAGATAGCAGAAGTACTAATATGAGTTGGAGATGGAAGGCCTAGCTGTGTCGTAAATTCGTCTGGCTGAACCGGATATCTCTAATTTCAAGATTAGCAACAATAAAACAAATAATTTGAAAATTTAACTAACTTGTTGTTGACGATCTAAATCGGCTTTCGTTGCGGCAAATACGCAAGGGATTTTTTGAAGCGCAGGATAACGACTCTAAAAAAACACGAAGTTAATATATATTACTCCTGTTTTTTTATCCTTACCAAAAGATTGGCAATAAAAGAAAAACTATTCGGGTTAGAGGAATCGTACAGCAAGCACAACACATCACAGGCATCTAATGATTTTGGTTCGGCAAGTATGTCAAGGTCTTGCTCGCCTATTTCAGAGAGCTAGTTGGTTAGCTAGCAGGGTTTCACAATAACTAACACTTTCATACCACCAAGTATCTTTGCTTGCTTTGAAATTCAACACTGTTGACAACTGTGTTGGGAATTAAATCATCGGGCAACCGATGCGGAATTTTGTTAATGAAACTAGATAATAATGAAGTCTTTCTGTTAGCTGAATATAAAAATTCAAGGTTAATTCATACTTTTCCACAACCAGTAGATCCGACCACAAAACACAAAAACACGTTTCGATCATACTTGGAAACTCGACGATGTTGAATGGATCTCTTCTTCGTGACTTTGAGTGCGTCAGTTGTATGACCACGACCTTCGGTATCAAATCCCAGATAAGCCAAGTACGCCAATGTTGTTTTGTAATCAAATAGGGTAATCATACTCCACTGAGCCAACCAACCATTATAACTGACAAACCCGTGTTCATTAAGTACGGTCGAATTTGGAAACTGAGAATGAATCCATGTTTCAGGAAGTCCTGGTGTATACCGAAAGAGGTCGGAGAGTTCATCATCGTTTAACGCTCCGTCATTATCTCGATCAAACTGATAAAACAAGTCAACTAGAAACCTATATCCTGTAATTATGATTAGCAAATGTCATATCAATATAAAGATTACCCTTTGGACTAAGTTCAACACTCTGACCTCGAGCGACTTCTAATTTGGGATTTAGGTAAGAATCATCAAGGCATAAACTATCTGTATAATGAAACGCTCTCAAAATTCCCCATGTACTTTCCTGTTTTCCGTTCTCGATTTGGTTTTGATTATATGCTAAAAACCCAGCAAGGTTGAGCTGGCCGTCAACTATCCCCTTTGGGAAGACTTCTTGAACTGTATAAATTATATCCTTTGCTTCTGCTTCGCTGAGCTGCTTTTCAAAACACTTCTCAGACAAATGTGCGAGCTCTGTTGTCGATAGAAGGTCATCATTATTCTTATCGCTTAAGACTAGATTAGTTAGCATTAAGAAATCGTTCCATCAAAAAAATAAAAATGATTAGAGAAACTTACAGAATATTCGGCTTAAGGCATCAACCGCCACGCTCTTTAGTTTCTAATAAGGCCGTTAGAGAATGTTTATAATATTTATTTAAAAAAACCTCTCATGGTAATCGAGTACCTTTTCTTTCGTATCCCAAAGAGGAATGATGGGATAAATAACACAAGAACGGCATATGTAAAATAGCTACTTCTGGTTAGACTGCTAAAGAAACCGGAAATACAGAGAACAATATAGTACCTCATTCACATTTATTTTTTCAAGCGCACTGCAAAGAATGCAGGACTCTATCTCTTTGAACTCGTTTATTAAGGGTACCATTTCATGCTCGATAGAATGAAGCCCTTGGTAATTGTCAAGGTCCTCTGATTTGTTTGCACATAAGACAATAGGGACCTGATATTCATTAGTAAAAAGTAATAATCTGAGAACTTGCATACATTGATTCCCAGGGATCGAAAGTACGGAAGCCAAAAGATGCTAACACGTTCATAAGAGTAATTGTCTGAATATACCAGACATATGACATTAGCTTTTCTTAATTGTGAAGCCAAATATTCTCTTTCGTTACTGCCGGCTAAAATTCATTAAAACGGTTAGCCAACCTGCTTAAGTGCAAATCGCATTTTGCCCTTACACTGTGTATCTACTAGTACCAAAGAAACATTGTCGTTTAATTCTGGATCAGGCGGAATCGATATGATTGGAAATACCTACGCGATTGGGTTAGGACGTTAAGGAAAGTCATCAAATCATGCCTACCTTTGGGATAGCTGTAACATTATCTTCTTGTATTAACGCTGAAATTAAAGAGGATTTTCCGACCCCTTGGTCACCACAAATGACTACTCTGACTTCTTTCATTCTAAGTTCCTGAAATTCTTCTTTACATTCTGCATCTAAGAATGCCTGGTAGTAACCAGCTCGACATGAGAGTCAGTATTAAAAGCAGGTCCCCTAACCACCAATCTTTTACATTTCCTTCTCTAAGGTATTTCTTGTGACATATATTTTAATGGATTAAGGATTATGAGACTGTCTTTGAGTAGACAAATGATGCTTACAGATAAATTTGCTGAATATTCCAATGGAGTAAATAGACAAATATAACAAATATTTTAGTCGTTTTTTGTAACTGCTGAATTCTAACAATCATGGTCAAGTCCCAAACTTGTCGAACTGGGATCAAAATTTACTGGTCTGTTTGTGAATTTTGCTGAGGGATAAATGGATTCGGTCGCTTATATCTACTATTCAGCTGCTATTAGCTTCTATTAGAATGATATTCTTTGTCGGGATATGTGTTTCATTGAGCCTACTACTTGAAGCCGCATCCTCACGTCGCTTTTCGTCAGTTAAAGAGGAACTACACACGATAAGTACTCTTACATATCGATGTCAAATTCGGTTTAGATCAAAAACCAATCAGGATCTATTATCGTCAAACGTTTGGTTCGCACTGCAGTCCTTTCGTTAGCTACTAGTAGAGTGATTGAGCCAAGAATGCTTCACGTTTCTTATACGCATTTTTTTTCAAACAAGAAGACTAGATGACCAATACGGATAGATGAAAATCACTGAAACTTCGTTGCTTTCACTTGATCTGGATCCTTTGTTGATAAAGAGTTGTACAGGACGCCTGAGATACTCAATCCTCAGAAACAGAAGAGATCCACTAGCCTTGATTCAAGCAAAACATGTACATTGGAGATTATGCTCAAAGAATCCTTGACTGGAGAATCACTATGTCTTCTTTTTGTTTCTTTTCAAGATATCATATTACAGTTAAGAATATCACCTTAAGGTGAGCGATGATTAACTCTCGCTTTACTTTATGATATGGTATTGGACATCTGATCAACCAAAATTGTTAAGAAACGAGTATATCCTCACTAGAGCCCATCACGTTGTGAAGCACAAATATTAGTATTTGCATTGCTTTCAATTTATCTAAGTAGATTGGTTTCTAAAGAAAAGTTGCTCATCCTATATCTTGAACCTCATATTGCTTCAAACTGTCTTGCTGCTCTAGTCCTATCTAAGCTATTTCAGCAGCTTATGCCAACTGTTATTTTCTTTCATTGACATCTAACAGATTTAATATTCAAGTTGCCCTGCGGATCTTGGCAGTGCTCCGCTATGGCAAACGGTCAGCGACCAAGCAGTTTACGATCACCTTTGTTAGAACAAAATGAACTTCTGAGAACGAATCCTTCATATCAATCTTTGGCTAGAAGATCTTCAACTTGGAAGCGAGCCAATGTCCTTACACAAAAGCCTTCTGCCTTCCGAAGGCTTCAGTACTATGTTCCCGTTTTGCATTGGCTTCCAAATTACGCATTTACGAATTTTATTTGGGATATTTTGGCCGGATGTTCTACTGCATGTCTTTCCATTCCCATTGCTCTCACATACTCTCAAACATTCTTAGGGATTCCCCCAGTTTACTCGTTGATGGGTGCTTCCATAAGTCCTATACTTTATAGCTTATTTACGGCTAGTCCCTTGCTTAGTGTGGGTCCAGAAGCGGGCATATGTTTGCTAATCGCGGGTAATATCCATCAACGTATAGTTCAAGAAAGCGAAAGTCCTGAAAAAATGGCTATTCTCATTACCGGAATGATCACCTTTTTAACAGGGCTTTTTACTTTAGCAGCAGGAACTTTTCGGCTTGGTTTTCTTGACGCCCTTGTGTCTCCTGTCTTGCTTCGTGGGTGCATATTATCTATTTCTCTTATTATAATGATCAACCAAGCCAGTGTCATTCTTGGATTAACTCACATTCAACCTGTCAAGTCAGATCTTCCTATTGAAAAAGTAATATTCATATTGCGCAACATCTCAGAATCTCACAGATTTACCTGTGTGATTTCAATTATTGGGATTACTTTATTTACTGCTTTTCGTCTAGGAAAGACAAAACTTTCTACGCGCTTTCCCAGAGTCGTCTCCATTCCGGATACGGTTTTAATATTGCTGGGAGCAGCATTGCTTAGTAAACAGTTTCATTGGCATTCCGTTCATGGAGTACCAATTCTAGGTAAAGTTGAAACAAAGGTTATCTATCCTAAAATTCCTTTTCCTGAAGTACACAGGCTGAAGTTTATTAGCGAATCTTTACAAACTGGTTTGACATGTGCATTCCTGTCATTTATTGAAACAGTTATCGCTATCAAGGCTCTTTCAACTCAAAGAAGCCAGATAATTAGGTCAAATCGCGAATTATTGTCATTAGGTATAGCAAACATTGGAGGAAGCCTGTTTTCAGGTTTACCTATATGCGGTGGTTATTTGCGTTCGAAGTGCAACATTCTTTCCGGTGCTCGTACTCAGGTTTCTGCTATAGCATGCGGTATAATTGTACTTTTAGCAACGCTATATATTTTGCCGGTTTTTTCCCATGTACCAAGTTGTTTGTTAGCGGCAATGGTGGTTTCTTTAGCTCTTTCTCTATTAACAGACGTGATTTATGAAATTGCATCGTTGGTAAAGCTACATGCATTTTATGAAATCCTCATTATACTTTCAATAGCTACCATAACATTAATGCTTGGCTTGGAAACTGGAATTATCTTTGGACTTGGTCTTACCGTTTTGCAAATAATACGGCATGCGGCACGTTCTCGCATCATGTTTCGGACTACAGTTGATGAAGATGAAGATGCCATTTTGTTAGAAGATCATGCCTCTTGTCGTTCTCAAAGAATTAATACATTCGCTGTTGATGCCGATGATCGCCTTCGTGTTCTTGTGGTCAGAATCCCTGAACCCCTTTTTTTTGCTAATGTTAGTCAATTAGAAGACCGATTGAGTCGATTGGAAAAATATGGACATCCACGCATGCATCCTGGTGAAACTCCTTATCACTGTATTGAAGACCTCGAGGTCATTGTTTTCGATATGGTTGGCGTTTCTTCTATGGACTCGAGTGCTTTATTTACCTTTCGTCGAATCTTGATTAGATACAAAAATTATAGTACCAAGGTGTACCTTGTTTCTGTTGATCCTTCAATTCTGCGGATTTTTGAAAAGCACGGTCTTATTGATATCATCGGCGGATTCAATCATGTCTTTGAAAGCATGAAGAAATTGGATGCTGCACCTGATTTAGAGACGGGATTTTCTTAAAAAAATTCTCTTTTATTTATTACTCTTTGTCATTATACCTTCTAGTTGTCCTTGATTCGTTTTAAGCCTTACATAACTCTTTCCTTTTCCACTTCAGTAGGCTTGCATCGTGCTCGAGCCTTACAAACGTTTCGTTAAAGGTTTCCGCCCCAACTCTTATTATTCCTATTTTCCTGATTAATATTTTTGGCTTGTTTTATTTATTGAAAAGCATCTAACGTTTTCTTGTAATACTTAATGATTTTTATACGTCTAATAAAGATCAATTTATGAAGTCGCTGAATTCAGTATATTCCCTTGAAAAAAAAAATTAAGTAATGCAAAGCACTAGTTAAACTATTGGTATAACTCACACAATTCTTTTTTTTGTTTACATTCTAGGATTAACGATTATAAAATTTTGGAAGACAGGTGACAGGAAGTAAGTAACAACTTATTGCATCCAAGAGTGAGACTGAAGTTCAACGATAACCAACCATGGTTTTAGTTCCTAATGCCGTCTATGGACAGCACAATTTACATGAATCAGTAAATACAGTTAACAATGGTGTCCGTAGGATAAACCTGTTATCGTTTCAGCAAGCGAAATTTAGGCATTCCACCCAGGAATCGCGTCCTTCATATTCCACAAAATCGTTAGAACATCAAAACCAGCATAGACGGCGACCAACTCATTCTTCACGGCAAGTAGGGTCTCGAAAACGCAATCGTTATTTGAATGGTACGCGTTTGCTCTAGATTTGATCTCAGCTAACTGCTGCAGTAGACTTTCATCTTTTTAGTCAAATTCCTGAAGAACAACAAGAAAGTATATACCAGGAATACTGCTCATCTAGACCAGTATTTGGGTTTTCAAACGTACATCAAGCATTTTATGATAATTATATCGAGGATCCATTACTAGACATCTCTTCACAAATGAAGCATAATGAGCAAGATTTTCATTATTATACGATTGCTAGTAAGGTCCGCCATGAAGTGAAACGTAGCAATGCCTCGCAGTTGGTTATATTGCTCGATAGTTATCTTTATAATATCGTTCATGAAAAGTTAGCCTCGTGGAGTCAACAGCCAGACGAAATATACCAATACGTTTCAGACAGTTTTTTCGTTACTGCCTCCCTTGACTCTAGGTCTATTGATGAAAATATTCAGTGTCAACGTCGACACCACTACGTCCGTTTGGATGTTGAATGTCCAAAGAATATCAATGCTTCTACTTTTGCGAGGTATTGGATTCATTTAATTTGTGCTTATTACAATATCAATTCTACTTCTATGTCAAGCCTGACGGGAAGGTTTATCCTAATGCAAGTACCAAAAGTGAACAAAAACCCGCCGGAGCAATTGACTCGTCTGTTACTATTGTAAATAATTACATATTTGTGAATGGTGAAACTGTTTCCGTTATTTATCTTCTATACCAAATAAATCTTATAAATTCCTGATTTATCCAAATGTTGAATTGAAGTACTGATGGCTGCTTACGAAATAAAAGATAAAGAATTATGACATTTCATTAAACAATTTTTTATGAGAATTACTATTCTTAAAATTTATTCTGAAAATCCCCAATGGAAAATATTTTTTTCTGACTGGAGAGAATGAAGGATCAGTATGAAATGTTGGGTTTTGAGGTTTATTTGGTGTTTATTTCAAAGATGTCAAACAAATCGCTCATACTCTCATGTTTACTCGGAAGACTCGTTGAGCTTGTTTGTCTTGAAACACTTGATGCGAAAGGAGAATTTCTATCCAAAGATGCTTGCGCTTTTGCAGAATAAGCACTTCCGTTTCTAACAGGGGAGGTTCTTTGTGAGGCCGCCGTAACAATGGGCAAGCTTTCTGATGATCGAACTCCAAGCGGATTTTTTGAGTAACTTAGGCGAATTCCACCTTTAGGGCTATTTTTTAGGATAGCTCCTTGAAGTTTGTTTAATGCTTTTGTAGCATAAGAGATCTCTTCAAACTCTACGAAGCACATTGGGTTATTACCCTTTACTTTGAAAGAAAGTCTGCGATACCCTGGCTGTGTTGAGAAAAGCTTCCGCAACTCCTTTTCCTGGTCATAAGCAGAAATATTTCCGACATAGATGGTATTACAGGGAGTGTTATGATCCGTGTGAGCATTTGCTTCTAAGGCATCGGAGTCAAATTCTACTTTAGGTGTATCAGCCTGAAAGCACGATAGCAAGTTGCTTTCAGTAATTTGAGGATTTGGAATTGGCCGCTTTCTAAGGGACGGTCTTGACTTAACAACGTTTAAATCTGGCAAAGGTTTCCATTTTGGAGGACGATGAGATTCATGTTCGTAGGGTGCTACGCCGTTAAGGGGTATGGCTCGAGGCCGAATTGCTGGCAGCTCTTTGACAGGACTCAATCGTTCCATCCTTAAGGCCTCTTCAAACGGGTTTGAGCGATCAAGCCCTTGAAAAGATGAAAAAGAATTCTCTTTTTGATATGGAGGTTTTTCAGTGGCATGGTATCTGGCTTTCGGAGAGATAGATTGCGGTAGAGGTAAACGTTCATCCTCAATCGTAGGTGCAAGACTGCCAAAGATATCATACGCGGGATTAGCTTCGCTAATATCTGATAGTGTTGTCGGTAGCTTTGTAATTTTCTTGGAAGCAGTGGTTGAAAGTAGAGGGTTGGCCGTGGTATTATTATACCCATTCTTAGCAGTTTGAGGCCCATACCAAGTCTTATCTCCTATCCCTCCATTCTGAAAAGGTTGCTGGTTTTTCCAAGTTAATGGAGAAGGACTCCTAATAGATGTTCTTGGTTGGCTCATATAATCGGTTTTTGAACCTTTCAAAGGCTCGCAAGACTGTAAGCCATCAAGATTTGGGAAAGAAGAGGACATCTTGCTTTCGGAAATTGAATCAAGGTACTGGGAGTTTTCCATATTTGGAGAAGGACGTATATTTCCTAATAAAGGGTCGAGCTTCTTGTTGATTGGCATTGAACCTGGATTGAACGAAGGAGTTGCTCGTTGTTGCAAATTATCAGTGATTGGGAGGTTTCCCTGAACGATTGTAAATGTGTTGGTTGGCGAGTTCATTAGCATTTGCTTAGCTTTGGTAGCTGCACTCGGGTTATTGAAGGTAACTATTCCTTTACGACGACCAGAATCTATTACAACCTTTGATTGAACATAACCTTCACAAAACGTAAAGATCCCACTGAACTCTCGGTTGTCAATATCATCAGGAAGACCATCGAGGACATGGAGCGTGCAAGAGTTAAAGCTTTCAGGAGTAAAGTCAGTGAATGAATTTGAACCACTGCTGCTCTTCGATTGTAAAGATCTGTCTGTATCATCAAATATATGTTCAGGAACCAAACTTGGGGTTCTTGACCGAAGAGAAAGGTTTAATCCTCCATTTTGTAGGTCAAAGGAGGTAAGCGAGTTTAGAGTATTCACAGATGAACGACCATCCGAAACACTGCAACTATTGCCACGGAACTTTGGAGGGGAATTACCTATTCCTTCTAAGCTAGGGGAAGAATCATAAGTCGGATTCCAGAGAGAAGGACGAGATTGCACTGGACGATTGGCTGGGAAGCTTGAAGCATCCACCACTCCTGAAGCTGCACTGGAAGCATTTGTGGCAGACAAGGAAGGCAATTTCGTGGGGCTCGTTCCTATAGGATTCATGTTTGACAGATAAGGAGGAGCCGCAGATTTTGCAGGTTGGGCGTAAGGAGCATAGAGATAATTCAACGGATGGGATACACCATTTGACATTCCTGATAACAAGGGATTGAGCAAGCTACCAGAACTTCCATCAAGCGTATGACTTGTCTGCGGTTGTTCAGACCCGTTGTTCCAAGGATTAGAAGAAAGACTAGAGACAGACATTCGTCCGCTAATATCTTCAGGTTTAGCAGGTTTCTGATGATTGTTGAGTGTAGACAGTTGACTCATTGTGAAAGATGAGATCGCCTTGTTGACTCAAATAAAAAAACCTACGGATTGGATAAAAGTTTATTAATAGGAAACGAAGGCTAGAACCCCTCTGTAGAATGAAAATGGATAAGAGCTGGATGAATGATTGCTGGTGAAAACTGTTAACTTGAAAATATACCCGATGACAAGTAGGAAACAAATATGTATGGGTAAAAGCGAGTTCGTAAAGACTTTTCAGAATATGAGGTTTTCAATGTCTTAAAAAGAATGGCTTGATCCGATTTACCTTCTGCTTGTTTGTTTGTTTATTTGTACACAAACTCTAAAGGATTGAGGTAAACAATAAAGAGAAGAGGTAAATAATTAGGAAAAATATTTAACTGAAATTGCAATCAAAAAAGAAAGGCTATCGAAAGGAAAGAAGAGAACCAAAAAGAAGCTGCAACAATGGGAGAAACAACAAACTAAAATCCGAAATCGATACTTTTTCTGGAACTAAAGGAATTGCAGAAAGAGAATAATGGGGATAGAAAGAAGAGTTTGGGAAAACGAAAAGAATATGGGGATTCCACGAATATAGAAAATTAATTATTAAATGAATGAGTGGAACTTCGGTATCTGACTGAAGTATATGCTCACGCAAAAAGTCCAATTCAATAACAAACACTGTATAAGTAGAGTGTTTGTTTATGGGGAAACAAAAAAGGGGAAACTTCTAACCAAAACGAAACACAAAATGTGATAGATTATATAAATTTTCAGGCAAAGGAGAGTCAAGGCAAATGTTATGTGAATGGTAATGGGGACTGATACAAAAAGGAAAGGAAGGATTGATTACCAGGAATATATAAACGAACAAGGACGATGCGAGCGATGTACACTAGTCCGCAAAGAACAGGTTAATGCAAAAAGGGGGGGTTGATTGTTTCGATAAATGAGTAATCACTAAGCAAAGGCTAGTAAAAAAATTGGTGGATCTATGTCGAGATATAGATTTGAATACCAGACTTCTCCTTGCTAGAGGTAGAGGTAGGTAGGCTTTATATACTTTTCCTCCTACAACCCCGCTTATCAATTCCTAAAAGACTGCGAAACGAAAGCATTACAAAATCTCAAGCCAAATTAAAGCCCAAAAGAGCTAGATTGGTTCTACCGGTTGAGTAATTGTGTTGTAAGCATCACTCCAAGACAGCTCACTCAGATTCTCCTTTGAAAACTGAGAAAGGGTAAGGGTTATCTGGATAAAACGTTTTGGAACCAGTTTTTGAGGCTGGAAGAATCTTTTCTGACACGTTCTCATTTGATTTTGGTATTTCTCCTTTCTCATCCTTCGCGACGTAAACAAACAGCCTTTATACAGTGACGCACGAAGTGCATTTTTATCCCTTCGTACCTTAACTCAGCGTTTCCTCCTTCTCTAAATCCCCAGATTGGCATGCCTGACCCTTTCTCTCTAAATTAGTCTAAGCTTTATTGGAAATGCTTGACATCATATTTTGTGACATCACGAAGCATGCTGTCATTGATTGGTTCTTTTTTATAGCGTCATAAACTTTATTTGCCGAGGCTGCTTTATGGCTTATTTGCTTTAGACTTTAAGCTCGTTATGGCTCCGCCGTATATTCAATAATGACATACAGTATACTTCATTATCTGTTGATAGAAATAGATACAGCATTCCACAGGAATTATTAAATAAACAATAGAGGTAAAAAACTCGGTCAAAAAACTGACAAAGTTAGATTTTGTAAAAAAATAAAGCGCTAAAGAGAAGAAGGAATTCGGTTTTCTCTTCTCTTGTTTTTGTGGTCCGCTATTGGTCAATGAAATTGCCCCTTTATATCAACGGTTACTGTAATAACGAGGGAAGAGAAAATCGTGGTCGAATTTTACATGACCTTCTCAAACAGCCGCAGTTGTTTACATTAGCCGGAGACGGGCATAATTTTGCATATATTATTGCAAATGAGCGAAAATATCCATATTAGGGATCACCGAGGGATACAATCCTCCTTTTCTAGCACAGATTTCTCTGATGAATATGTGTTGGCGCAAACAGGTTCGCTTCAGAGTTCCAATTCAAACCAATTGAACATTTCTCCCCGGGTCGAGGAATCCAACTTTGATAATGAAAGCATTGCAAGTACTGTGAAGAATCATAACAAGTTACCAGAAGCTGAATTTGTGGCAACTCAACCAGTCAGCAACAAGTCGAATGAGGGTCTTCACAAAACATCAATGGATAAAGACGAAGAGCAAGTCTCTACGAAACCTTTGGATGGACCCTTAGATGATGCTTCTAGTGTGAACGACGTACAATTCAGACCACCTTCACAAGAACGTTCAATAGAACAAAATCCCCGTCGTTTGGAGCGAATAAAAACCAGGGCTTTTTCGTTTGTAACAAACAAACGTTTTTGGATTGTTTTTATTTTGGGTCAAGTGCTTTCATTATGCTTAACTGCTAGTAATACTTTTAATGGCTTTTTGTCAGAGATGGGGAAAGTTCCAGCTTTTCAAATCTTCTTATTTTATGCCGCGCTTACTCTCATGTTTACGCCTTATACCATCTATCGAATGGGGTTTAAAAGTTACTTTGAAATGGTACTTCGTCATGGTTGGAAGTACATTTTGTTTGCTTTCTTTGATGTAGAGGGGAATTATTTTGTTGTTCTCGCTTACCAATATACCAGTGTGATCAGTGCAAGTCTTTTAGATTCTTGGGCTACGGTTGCAGTTGTCATTCTTTCGTTTTTCTTCTTAAAAGTACGATACCACTGGTCTCAGTTACTCGGTATTGTGGTCTGTATCGGTGGCCTTGCCTTACTTGTTGTCAGTGACTTGAAAAACTATGGCAGCAATGAAAAAAGTGCGAAGAACCCTGGTTTAGGTGACGGTTACATGATTCTTGGCGCAACCTGTTACGGTCTTTCAAACACGATTGAAGAATACTTTGCTTCTAAACTGCCTTTATATGTAGTCGTCGGTCAAATGAGCCTTTATGCCTCCATCATCAGTATTGTGCAGAATTTCATTTTCGATCGCAAAGACTTTTTGCATTTGCATTGGACTCGTGCTATGGGAGGATATCTAGCTGGTTTCATTATTGTTATGCTTATTCTCTATTCGCTTGCTCCTATATGTTTCCGTATGTCTTCAGCAACTTTTTATAACATTTCAGTGTTAACTTCAGACTTTTGGAGTTTGATTATTGGTATCCATGTTTTCGGAAATCACGTCTATTGGCTTTATCCTATCGCTTTCGTTATGATTATTATAGGTCTTTTCGTATACCATATTTTCATTGATACGGCTGATAAGGCATCAAAACCTTGGCTGAGGCAAGGGGAAGGCGTGGATGGTGTTGGTATGGTTCGTCGACCATCTTCTTCTCTGTTTTCCATGAAAAACGATATGGGCAAGAGCGAGGTAATTGTCGCTGCGCATAAAGATGACGAGTTTTTCAAGCGTATTCGTGATTCCTTCAGTTGGATGAAGCATTTATTTGTTAAAAAATAAAAGACAAAAGATAAAAAGTACGTTTATCGGTTAGTTCAAAATGGTGTTCTTTTGGTGCTGGATAGTCTAATTTAATTTTATTCAATTGAGTTAAAGTATAAGGGTACAAGATATCACATAAGTGGTATAATATAGGCTCACTTACTAAAGAGAGAGGGTATACAAAAAAGGATCATTCTTTCTTGTAGTTTCGTGGTCCATGTCATTGTTGTTGACAACTGTGACTTTGTGGGTAGTTGAAAAACTTGAAAAGAAAAGCACTCAGATATGAGTTGTTTTATACATATTGGCCTTGAAAAGGCGTAGACAGAATCTTTTACCAGAAAAACGAACGTAGCACTTCGTTCAAAGACGATTTTATATAATACTAAAACCGTCGCGCTCAACAACCTTACAAGAACATGAAGAATACAAGGTCCTAGTTTGTAAAATAAAATAAATGCTCTGAAGTCATTTAAGCGATTTCCTTTAATTCAGGCTTTCTTGATAAAATCGCATTATTGATTTTAATATGTTAGGTTAATCGTACTAACGAAAGTGTTCAAAGATATAGTGAATTGGCAAACACATATAATACATGTTCTAGCATAATGACCTTTCACAATGAAGAAGATTTTGTTTCATTCAATTAATATTCTACATAAAATAAGTTGGATTGCAATCGCTTGGTAATGGAGCGAAAAAGTTACCGCCCCAGAAGAGTCGTTGGTTTTCCTCTTACAAATAATTATTTGTCAGAAGAGCTAAAAATAACAGCACCGATTATACAAAATTTTGCCTTCTTATTCTCCTCATCCAATTTGAGAAATTTTTCAACTGAGAAAGTTCTCAAAGGTAAACTCATAGAAAGTAAAACAACCTGACCGCTTTTCACCAGACGATTCAGAAAATGATTCGATTTCCGTTTGCACGATGTCCCGTTATAAGGCCAAGATTTTTTCCACTAAGTTTCCACTCTGGCTTCCAGAATCCATCGTCGCTTGCAAGGATGGCTTCTTCGTTGGCAACGAAAACAGCAGAACCTATCGGGTCTCAGGACGGTGCTTCCAAAAAAGGGCCAACCGTAAGTACAGTCTGTTAAGGTCCTTCGTTGGTTACTAACATTCCAACAGGCTATTGTCATGCTAAATATGGGTGGACCATCGAATTTAGATGAGGTACGATTCTTCAGCACTTTATTTTTCACGGTCGATGAAACGTCAATATTAATAAACATAGGTTGGACCTTTCTTGCAAAGACTCTTTGCTGATGGTGATATTATTCCACTAGGCTACTTTCAAAACTCACTTGGAAAATTCATTGCTAAGAGAAGGACTCCCGCTGTTCGAGAGCATTACAAAGAAATTGGAGGTGGAAGTCCAATCCTGCATTGGACTGAATATCAAGGAAAAGAAATTTGTAAAATCCTAGATGAAACCTCTCCTCAATCGGCTCCTCATGTTCCATTCGTGGCTTTTCGTTATGCCCCTCCTTTGACAGAAGAAATGCTAAAAGAACTGAAAGAGTCCAAAATCAAGCGTGCGGTTGCCTTTAGTCAGTATCCTCAATGGTCTTGTTCGACGAGTGGTGCTTCTCTGAATGAACTTCGAAAACAGCTTCTTGAAATGAATATGGAACAAGATGTTGAGTGGTCTGTTTTGGATCGTTGGTCCTTACAGGAAGGTTTATTAGACGCTTTTGCGGAGAATATTCAAAAAACTTTAGAGACCTATCCTAAGGAAGAACGGGATAACGCTGTCATTATATTCAGCGCTCATTCATTACCCATGTCTCAAGTCTCTAAAGGAGATCCATACGTGAATGAGATCGCCGCTACTACTTACGGCGTGATGCAAAAACTAGGATTCAAGAACAGATTTATAAACTCCTGGCAGTCCAAAGTTGGTCCTATTCCTTGGATGTCTCCTTCCACGGAAGACGTGATTCAACAACTTGGAAAACAAGGCCACAAGAACATGATTTTAGTTCCTGTCGCATTTACCTCAGACCATATTGAAACCCTAAAGGAACTCGAAGATTACATTGAGGATGCCAAGAGCAAAGGCATCATGGGAGTTAAGCGCGCACCCAGTATTAACGATAATCCCATCGCTATTAGAGGAATGGCCGATTTAGTGAAGCTTCATTTAGAAACGAACACCGCTCATTCCCGTCAATTTACCCAGAGATGTCCTGGTTGCACGAATGAGTCTTGCCAAAAGAGAATTGAATTCTTCCAGAGGTTTTAAAGCTTTTTTTAATCTTTCCCTTGACTAATTTTTGGTTTATTATTTATTTTTTATGTAGTGTTTTCCTCTGCTGTGGATCTTTTTTAAACCTTTTTACTAGACTATGGCCTTCGTTTTAGTTTCCCTTTAATTGAAGCTTTCTTATTCATGCTAGAAATAGTATTTACCATGGTACATTAAGTCTGCTGGTTGCTACTCATTACTTACAGGATAGTAGATGCCTTTTGTGATTCTTTATGTTTTTACCTCTCACTTCAGGCGACTTACGATCGACAAAGAAGAACAGAAACGAAAAGTTTGAAGAATACTAGAACCAAATAAACATATAGAACGACTTCATTGCAATTCTTCTTCCCATTTGTGTAGCCAAATATCGTTGATCATCTCTGAAAGAAAAAACATGGTTTCTACGCACTTTAAGCTTACATTACGCGTGTAGATATTTTATTAAATCTTTTATGACTATTCATTTACTGTACAAGTGAATTTTGGTGTCGATACTGAATGTCAAAATTGGTAGTAAAGACCTACCAAGAGCAAGACACCACCAACATGGCGGATACTGAAGAACAAATTACTACTCTTGCCGATCGTGTTGGTAAAATAGAAGTAGGCGATTCCAAAATTGATATATATCGAAAAGTATTGAACTTGATTGATGTGGAATGCTACGTAGAAGCCTTGGATGTTATCCAAAAGTATTTAGGCGGGCAGGATGCTATGTATGAAAGAGTCTATTGTGCTTTCCATTTAAAACAAGATTATCCTGCAATAAATGATTCCCATTTTATCCAACACTTGGAAGCTCAAGAGGTAAACACAAATTTCACAATACACGCACGATCTACGCTTGTTTCTTGTGCTGATGGATTTTATATTTTAATTATATTAACATGACCAGGCTTACCGTAAATCAGATTTCTCAAAAGCTATTGAAATTTACGAAAAGCTTCAAAGGGAACTGGTAAGTATAATTTCATCAACCCAGCCGTTACGAACCTCTTTTCTCGAAATCAGGTTTTAAAACCGCTTTTTTTCAATATATTGAATTGACAATGCAATATTTCTTTTCCTTCTATAGAAAAGCGAGCTAAACTAACTCTTATTAGCCAGAACAACAATCTGATATTCAAGTGAATGTGCTTGCTGTGGCTTCTCAGCTTCCCGGATGGCAAATTGAAAGCATTCCTTCTTTGGAAGATCAAGATTCTCAGTTTAACTTAGCTACTCGTTACTTGACTCTTCAACAATGGAGCAAGGCCATTGATTTGCTGTCTTCTTTAACCGGAAATTTAGAAGCAAAAGATTCCCTGTCTTCAGAAGAAGAATCTCATGTAAACTTGTGTCGTCTGCAGTTGGTTTATGCACATTTAATGGCTGGTGAGGTGCAAAAAGCTGAAGAAGAATCCAAGAAAATAGCTTCAGCAAGGTATGTTTCATCATAAATCCTTTATAACATTTACTGACAATGGAAATTAGTCTCGATGAAACTTCACGCGTTCTGTTTGTTAATAATGTCTTATGCCTAAACAATGAAAATCCCTATCTTGCATTTCGTAATATTCATGAGACTCCTGTTGAGAAGGCCTTTACAAAGCTGTTAGCTTCTCAAAGCTTACAACTTGTGCGAAATCTGGCCCTGCTGGACATGGCCGTTGGTAAGGTGCGGGCTGTTCACAAGAAGGAGAAGGAAAGGCGTGCCCAGGAGGATAAACTATTTTATGGTGTTCTCATGTCAGAACACGAGAAAGGTTCACTTTCATCTTCCAAGAAGCTTCCTGGATTTTTAATTAATAAGTTCAGAAAAAATCCTGCTGATGCTTGTAGCGCCCTTTTGCTAATTCAATTCAAAATTTCATGTGAGAATTATCGCGGCGCATTAGCTGTGTACAAGAAAATGTGTGGAGCATTAGAAGGTTCTGAAAATTTTGCATTGCGGTATTCTCCTGGTATGGCCGGTTTAGGCGATGCACTCCTTTCTAAGGTTCAACATTCTCAAACTCCAAGTACCGAAAATTTACATGCTGCTGCTAGATACTGGACGGGTAAACCAAATTGCCACGCCAAACTTCTATTATGCACACGTTCATTATTAGCTTCGATTGATGAGAAGGCAAGTGTGGATGTCGTGCAAAGCGGTTTGAAGACTATTGAGAAATTAATTGCTTGGAGGGGTCCTGTTAGTGAGTTGGTTTCCAGCGAAGTGGCTGCCCTTTGCTATATTGATGAATCCATTAGTAAATCACTTGAAAGCCATTTAATTTCTGTGTCAGATTTGATAGGAAGCGTTGATATTGATGCTGTTGAGTCCAAAGGAGTTCCAGTATCTACTACTATTGGATCATTGAAGCGTGAAGCAAATAATGACGCTTCGAAGAAAACGAGAAAGCGCAGAAAGCCTACGCCAAAGAATTTCAATCCAAACACAGCGGCAGATCCTCAACGCTGGCTTCCCAAACGAGATCGGACAAATGTAAAGATAAAAAACAAAGGCAGAAACATGCAAGGAATTGCTACTTAAGAACCAGGTTATGTCATGAATATATGTAGTTTTTCTTTCTCAGTTTCACTGTTGATGGGCAAAATGGTTCTATCCATATAAAAGGTTTCTACGAAAATAAGAATTTACTAGGTAAACGTTTTTTAGAATATTAAATTTTTTCACTTAAATTAAAATTTCTACAATTATAAAACCGTGTAACCCAAAACCGTTCTTGTTTGAAGATATTTTTTAAGCGTAAGAGAACGTAACAAAAAATCCAACACCTTGAAGTTATACCAAAAAAAAAAACTCAAAACAGAATAAAAAAGATTGGAGCAAAACTATACTCTTCTAGCTGATAACAAGAGGAAACGTCTTTGTTTTGGAAGAGAGATGTTTCGAGGAAGAACATCTAGTAAAGTGGACTAGTTGAAAGAAAAGGAAGGGAGAGATCGTTTGAAAGGGATATACATATACAGTTCCTAATTAGAAAAGAGTATCTTCATCGCGCAAATATTCACCAACATCAGCTTGGTGGAAGGCAACAATGCCGGTGGGATCTAAACGGGACAATTCAACAGTAGAGCGAGCGGTCACACCAAAGCCCAAAGGAGTATCGTTCATGGAGTAAATGATGACACCTTGGTGTTGAGGTGTGTCGTCGGTAATACGACCCACATGAGCCTTCAGGACATGGTTGCCATACAAGAAAGGCATTTCACCGTTGGCCTTGACCCAAATTTTGTATCTAGCGTACTGAGCAATATAATCCAAGGAGGTGATGTGTAAGCGAAATTTGTTTGTTTTTGTGAATTTTCCAAAGCAAATACCCAAGGACATGAGATTTGTACGAGCAACAGAAGTAGCCAACTTCATAGCATTTTCGCTATCCCGAGAGTTAGTGAATAGACTTAAAAAAAATAGACGCCAAAAATGAAGCAACGCAAGGCGTAAAACTTTGAGAACAGAGGAAAAACTACTTACCTGACATAGTAAACACGGTCTTTTTGTAAACGAAAGCAATGGGGATCGTCTGGGCGATCAATTAAATGAGTGATATTTTTACCGATACTAGACACAATCATTGGTTAATATTCCGTTTGGAGATTCTTTTTCATGTTCTAAAGGTAAAAGGATTGGGTTTCATGTCGGAATTGGCAAAAAAAAAAAAAATTTAATTGCACCGTGATCCTTCTCCTTTCTGTTCCATGTACTTACTATTGAGCAAGCTTCTCAAAGAAGGTTTTTGTTTCCTCGTGCGTTAAAGGTCTCATTTTTGCCTATAAATAACAGAAAATGCTCCCAATTCCCAAGATTTCCTAAGCCGTATGTTTGGTAAATTCCAAGGTGAAGTTTCTCTCTAATTCTCAAGTCCACACTTCGCTGGATTTCGGTAGTGCGTTGTTATCTAATATATGACCGTAATGGAACGAGTGATGAAATGCAAAGGAAACAAGCAATCATAAACAAATACAGAAAAGAAATGTAAAAAAATAAATTAGAAGTAAATAAAATCAAATGCAATCAGAAAATTAACGCTATTTTTTTTTAAAAATTCAATTCATTTGCATTCTTTCTATCGTGTGGAAGCTGCTCAAATGAATTTTCTAGGGTTTTCATATACGAGGACTGGTTTGTCATTGTAGAACAGTTCTTTATTTGCTTGCAGCAGATCCAGTATCAAGACAATTCCAAACTGATGAATGGTTTCCATCCACATCGGTCTAGCAGCTAATAGAATACAAGCTCTAATTCAAAAACACAAGATGGAACAAGCGATTTTTAAGATCAACCAGGAACTCTTGAACAAGCTAAAGACGAGTGCGTGTTTGTTTTTATTTTACTAATTATTTTTTTGGCTTCAACTCCCCTAAAAGACTCTCCTATTCATAAATTACAAGGTAAGATACATCTCAACTGAAATCTTTAAAAACACTATTGTGATTTATATTCTAATGTTGCTACCGGTAATTATGATTAAATGAAATGGGAATCAATTTCGCAATACGAATTTTTATTAAAGACTTCAATGAATCTATTCCTTTATGAAATGGATCCATACTCCTTATTCATACCCCATGAATTTTGAGAGTTAATCAAAAAGTACGAATTCCTTTTCCATAAATCCTCTTTCTTTTATCCGTATCCTTATGTGATCACTCAAAAAAAGCTAATTGTCACGGTGATGTTATCCTACTTTACTATTATGTTGATGAGAGTGGAATACAACTGTTGACTGCCTAAAGCGTCAGCGTTTTTGAGTTGAAATAAAAGTACCAAATGAGACTATTTACTCAGCAATGTCCTATACCTGGTTGACTAAATACGTCTCCTTCAATAAACAAGTCATGTTGATAAATCTCACGGTTTATAAGAACATTTATCGAGAGGAAGTAATAACTACAACTGTAGGTTTGTGCACGTTAATTGGACTTAGTTATACTGCGTATATAGCCGCTAGTAATATCTAGGGTTATATCTGGTAAACTAAATGAAATGATTGAAAGACAATCTTGCTTAGCCAGACCAGTCGAATCTTCCAATCTGAAGAATTCGACTGTGGATTCATAGTTTATATATCTTCGCTGAGACAACTAACGTAATCTATCTCTCTGTAAAACAAACTTTCTATGTCTATAAGGCTTCCGTTCCGAGAGGCTGTCCGATATTGTTAAAATCGTATTTTCTTTGTTTTGTTTACCATTTGTAATATCTCATCCTTTAGTCTTATTTCATTTGCTAATATTTAGCAAATGCTCTTATGATAGTGTATTGAATATATATAATATAAACAAGACACATATCGTGAGATGACAGAAAGCAATACTGTGTTTACCGCTCTTAAGCTATCTTGGTTGAACTATGGCAATTAACGTTACCGTACCTCTCAGGGAACATAATGTAGCAAATGTTGTAGGGACCGACCACCTATACAAGAGAAAATTACAGGGCGTGCGCTACTACAATATATGCAGACGGACAGGAATGTTCATGAGCTACCTCACTCATTGACTGTCATTGTCAATGATACATTTGCAGGTATTGAGAGTGCTGACGGTAGAACCAACATACATATCGACGAGGTCAACGAGGCTATGCGGTCCAGGTCTTGGTATAATCCTAGCTATTTCTCGATTAGACTACCAGGACCAGTTACATTATCTTTCGCGCCACATAAGCCTAGGTTCTATGTCTACGATTTCGAGGAAGACAGCGAGAGTGGTGATTCCGAGTCCGAATTTATAAACCTCTATTTAGATTGAGCTAGTTTGGAAGTTCGTTACTTCGTAGAGGTACCATTTGTGGTATCTTTGGTATGACAATTTGTCCTCGTTTGTAGAGAATAAGACCGTTTTTTACAATATAACGAGAGTTATGATCTGTGCCATTGAGGATATTCTGAAAGTTTTTATAATGAGAGTATTCTCGTCTCACATGATCGAAAATGTTGGAAAGATAATCGATTGCTATTATGCGATTAATCGTTTGCGTCTTATAATCAGGACGTCGTGATATGCCGTCTGCAGCTTCATTCTTTCGACCTGGTCGATAATTTCAAAATTATATAGTTCCATTTCAGTTGCCCATCTATTTATCTTTGCACGGATATCTGCTTTGATGTTGGTAAACATGGTTGTTAGATTCTTATAATCCGTTAAAATTGTAAATGGCTTTTCAGTATCTGATAGAAATTGATACCATTTGCGTAAAGCTGCTATAATTGCGTACGCTTCTTTCTCCCATGTTGGCCAAATTCGTTGTCGATCTGTAAATGTCTCTGAGTGAAAAGCAATTGGATGATAAAGGTCATCGTCTTGCCTTTGTGAGAGTATCCGATAGCAAAGTCAGAAGCATCAGTTTCCAATCTAGTTTCTCTTTTGGGGTCATAATGCCTCAACATAGAAAATTTTAAGTTCTTTCTCAACTTGTATGAAAGCCTGCTGCTGACGATCGGTCCATTTATATTTTACGTTCTTTTTTGTTAGATCGTATAATGGTCTTGCCAATTTGAATAAATTGGCATAAATCTTCTCGAGTAATTCACAAATTCTAAAAATGACTGTAACCTTCTTAAAGTGTTTGGTACAGGCCAATTTGTGATTGCTTTTATTCTTTCAGGATCGACTTCAATTCCTTTTTCAGAAAATATGTGACCTAAGAACTTAACTTTGTCTTTGAGAAATTGACATTTCTCTCGATTTGCATACAAATTTGCTTCCTCTAATCTGTGAAATACTTCTTGCAAATGTATTTTGTGTTCCTCTTCCGATGAGGATTATACGAGAATATCGTCTAAATAAACGATAACATAAATGCCGAGCAGAGGTAGAAATACCTTACTGATATATCTCTGAAAATTTGCTGGCGCGTTTGTTAATCCAAACGGCATTACAGTGTATTCATATGCTCCAAAGGGAGTTTTAAAGGCAGTTTTATGTTCATCGCCTTCTTTAATTCTTAGCAGATGATATGCTTCGTTCAAATCGATTGTACTAAACACTTTGGCTCCGCTTAGCCAATTGATAATTTCTTCGAAATTTGGTAATGGATAATTATCCCTCTTCGTAATCGCGTTTAATGGCTTATAGTTTATGACTTGCGATATTTATCTGTTCCCTTCTTTGGAACTATTAATGGTGCGCAAATAAATGTTGATGAACTTTCGCGGATTCGATTCTGACTTAATAATATTGCACCTTTTCTGCCATTATCGATTTTTCTTTTGGTTATAAAGTCTTAATTTTGGTACATAATCTGGTAGCTCTCTTGTCAGTTTAATCTCTAAATCGCTATTGAAGTGTTGGGGCAACGGTATATTGGTATTGTCTGTAAATACCTTATTGAATGGCTTTAATATTTCTTGAACTTTCGCATCGTTTTTGCTATATGTCTGATCTTTCTCCAGATTTGTTTCGCCATATAAGAAAATCCAAATTTCCCAATTTTTTAAAAAGGCTCCATCCGATGAGAACTTCATTGTCGGAAGTTGGAGTAATTATGAACGTTTCGTAAAATCTTCGATTATTTCTTTCTACCGGTAGACTTAAATTTCCTTTGACTTCAAGTTTGTCATGCGTTATTCCTAGGAACGTTCGGTTTTCTTTTATAAAATTTACGCGTAATTTGTTTGCCATATCTTCTCTCAAGATGGATACATTGGCGCCAGTATCTATAAATGCATTGACCTTGAGCTTGCAAGTTTAACATCTTGATGTTGGGAAGGTTGTTTCTCCTGGTGGTTTGAAAAATTTTCCACACCTATTGTTTATAGAGACGACTTCATCTCTCTTAGACTTATCCCTTTTGTCTAGTATTAAACTTGTGCTTTTGGTTTCGGTTTATCAGCATGGTTGTCTCCTTCTTCCTTGGGAATAAAGTTTTGTAGGTCGGAACTTTGGACGGTAACTTTTCTCTGATTTTTGGACCTTGTATATCGAACCTGGTCATTTACGGTTTTTACAGCTGCAGCGTGGTTGCCATGCTCGTAATTATGTTTGAGGAGTTCGTTTCTAAAATAATTTGAATGAAATGCGAATACAACAACTTTCTTGATTGTGTTCATGTCCAATCCGTCGAGCCATTTGTGAATTTCATCAACATCTAACTCACCACGAGCTCCTTTTGCCAAATATTTAGGAATGGGATGAAACCAATATTTCTCGCTCTCATTTAGAAATGTCTGTTCAAAAACCGTCTTGAAGGTCCTCTGAGGTCCTGGAAACTTCACCAATTTTCGTATCTGTCTTTGGTAATTTTCTGGGGATTTGGAATATAAAAATGCAATTTTCTCGCGATCAGATGGAAATACTTTAGGTAGGTAACCAAAAATGCTTTGCAGATTTTTTCCAAAAACTGCTACAGATTGTTCAGATGGTTCGAATATTCCAATTCCAGGATTAAGCGGATGAATCATTTTTAGATAGGAGTCTGCTATTGGCCCATATTTTTCATATACCAATGCTATAATGTCCATAGGTTGCTTGGGAATAAAGTCTTCATCAACTTTCATACGGCTCATTTTTTCTTCCATTCTGTCTTGGTTCTTTAAGGTGATCTGGTCAGTTAAAGCATTTAATTGTTTACCTAATTCCTGATGCATTTGGGTGACTTGATCGGATAAAGCCTTTAATTGTTTTCCTAATTCCGGTTGCATCTCCTTTTGGTGAGCGAGATATCCACTCCCTGCGTTTTCAGAATCCATATCTATGTTTTTACTTATGTTGCTCAAGTTAAACCAATTTTCACTTGAAATTGGAAGATGCCACGTTAAAAATCATCACTCTTTATGATAATAAATATCTAATCGATAGTATATGTTAATTGGACTTGGTTATACTGCGTATATAAATGGTAGTAATGTCCAGGGATCTGGTTAAACCAAATTGAAAGTAGGAAGACGATCTTATTTAGCCAGACCAGTCGAATCTTCCAATCTGAAGAATTCGACTGTGGATTCATACTTTATATATCTTCGCTAAAACAATTAACGTAATCTATCTCTTTGTATAACAAACTTTCTTTGTATATAAGACTTTCGTTCCGAAAGGCTGCCCGATTTGTTGAAATCGTATTTTCTTTGTTTTGTTTACTTTTTGTAAGGTATCAATCATCCTTTGGCCTTTTGGTTTTTATCTCGCGATATACTAATATTTATACATACTATAATATATAATACAAACAAAACACCTTTCATGACATGACAATATCCTAAAAGTGGAACTTTCTTCAAGGTCAAATAGATTCTATATTTTCTTAATAGATGTTATTATATCTATATGGATTAACCAATTTATTTCTTTTCTCTAAAATTATTAAGTGCAAAAATGCCACAATGAAATTCATTCTATATTCAAATATCCTATCCTATCCTATCTTTGTTTTGTTATTTTCAATATTTTACTTTACCATAATTCGTATCTTTATCCACTGGTAAAATTGCTACTTTGGTTTTCAAGAATGGATTGTAGCCTCCTTCAATCCTGTAGTCAGTAGTTACGTTTTGTTTGTTTACGTCCCCGGTGCAGGTATTGACGATCGACATTTCCCGATGAGAAAAACAACTTGCTGTACAAGCCAGTTTCGACTCCATCCAGTTCATAAACTGGCTACAAATACAACAACTCGTTCATTCAATAAAAATACTTGGGTTACTAGTTTGATTTTTCTATCATACTGTAGAACAGTCCTTCCTTGAGGCCAGCCACACTAATTCTTAAATAACCATTTACCATACCATTGAGGAAGCATATGAAAATAAAAAAGCTTATACCATCAATACCCTTATATGCTACTATGACTATATATATGTGCTAATATGATAATATGCTCTTAAAGTACTAGCGAGATTACAAAGTATGTAGAACGGTTCCTTCAATTTTCAGATTCGTTTTGCGAATTATGACTTATATCCAACGATTCAATTGTAATACAAGCCTGTCTTTGCGTTCCGTCATCTAGAGACGAAGCATGTCAAACATGGAATGGATTTCACGTTCCTTGTTGTTTTGTTTGCTAGGTAATTCTCCTTGCTACTTCGTAATTTTCCCATTAAGGTCAATTCTCAATGAAATGAATCTCTTGTGAATTCATACCTTTAGTGCATGATGGACCGATTCTTGCTTCAATCTTGTTCCTCATACCAGTTATCTAGTGTAAACAATATCGAAAGCACCAGCAAGGGCTCGAGTTTCACCTAACAAACTTTTTCAAGCATCTTTAAAATCTAGTTCTTTCTTTATCGGCTTGTTTTTCCTTGCTGCCAACTACTGTCTTTAGTCCTTTTTTGAACCGGGAGTAATATGATATCGTAGTAATTTCTCGAAATGGCAAACTGGTTGAGATCCTATCCAAGCAGGTCGGTTCCAAATTAAAGAGTTAGAATTGACTGAAAAAGAATTCAACGAGGTATCCAAATTTTCCTTTTGTACTTTTGAATTATTTTTTCTTTTGAACTGAGACGTACGTGTCTGAAAGCCATTCTTTTTTATTTCCCTTTTCCAAACGACAAATTCAACTAACGTCTACATTCATAGATTACATACTCATTTCTGCAGTCGCTTTCAAGACTGGATCCTAGAATATATCATTAAAGCGCAGCGCAGCATGTCAGAAGCGACAAAGATCGAACCGAGTAGAGAAAAACAAAACTGTGAACGTATCAAGAAAGCTCTCTTGTCAGACTCACCAATTCTCGTCTTTTTGAAAAAGTCTTTAAAATATCTAAATTCCGGTCTTGATGCATCCGATATTCGGTGTGAACCCTGTGATGAAACGAGCTCAGGCGGGTACGTACCAGGAAAAGGAATTGTACTATGCGAGAATCGACTTTACAGCCGAAAAATGGCTGAAAACACAATAGCTCATGAAATGATTCATATGTTTGATGACGGTCGTTTTCACGTCAATTGGAACGATTTGCGCCATCATGCATGCTCTGAAATTCGTGCTAGTAGCCTCAGCGGTGAATGCCGGTGGACAAAAGAATTGTTTTATGGCAACATTGATACATTTCGAAAGCATCATCAACATTGCGTAAAACGGAGAGCAGCTCTTTCTGTCCAAGGTAATCCTAACTGCCAAAGCAAGCATCAAGCAGAAATGATTGTTCAGGAAGTATTTGCTTCATGTTTTCGTGATACCAGACCTTTTGAAAAAAGTATGTTGTTATTTTTTTTTCTATTTTCCATTAACCTATCTAGTTTATTAATCCTCAAAACCATTTTTTCAACTTTGCAAATTTTGCTTTTTGGAGTTAGTAGTCTTTTGACTGCCTCAAATTAAAAAAGTATCCCTCTATTTCTCTCCATCACTTCAAAAAAAAAGAGTTTTTTCTTACATCCTTCTTTCCTCTCTCTCTCTCTCTCTCTTTATACCATCAAGTCCCCTTCACTTTCATTTCCACCTTTCCTCCCTTCGCCTTTTATTACAAACCTTGAAATATAATGCTCATCTCCACCATAGATATACGTCTATATAAACACCGAAATACAAGCTCTCATTGAAAAAGTATCAAAAATCATTATTAAAAATTCGAATATTAATGTGATCAAGGAAAGTTATGATAAAACATCACACAAAATAATTTAAACAACCTAAAAAAGCCCATTTCTTTCCATCTTATTGATCAGAGCTCCAAGAAGCTTTATGTTTTAGCATCCACGGGTGCTTGACGACCTGTTCTAACGAAATCCGTTGTTCAGGGCTGTGTCGCAACAAGCGAGTAATCAAATCCTTTGCTTCTGGCGAGACAAAGCTAGGAATCTTCAAATCCACTTTTGCAATACGTTTGTATGTAGCCGAGTGACCAGAAACGTCCTCAAAGGGTGGCGCGCCCACGATAAATTCATAAGTAAGCACACCTAATGACCATAAATCAACCTTTTCCGTGTGTTCTTTACCTTCTACCATTTCAGGAGGAAGGTAATCTAGAGTACCACATAGCGTTGTCCGACGATTAGAAGGTGCATGTACACTCCATCCAAAGTCAGATAGTTTGATTTCACCATCGATTCCGAGCAAAATATTTTCAGGCTTTATATCTCTATGAATCACATGTTTTTTATGTAAATAGGCTAATGCGTTTGCCATTTGATAGATATATTTGGCAGCCGTGCTTTCGGGAAATCGAGATGCTCTTCGAAGATGCTGGTATAATTCTCCTCTCCCAGCGAATTCGAGGATTAAAAATATTCTTTTTTCGTCATGAAAATGACCAAATAAACGAAGGATGTTTTTGTGTCTCAAATTCGATTGGATTTCAATTTCTCTTCTCACTTGCTTTTCGATTCTCGAATGAATGAGTTCAGATTTGTGCAGCGTTTTTAATGCAACTACAAACCCAGTTTTCTTTTCCTTTGCTAAATAGACTCTCCCAAACTTTCCCTTTCCAAGTGGCTTTCCTATTTCAAACATGCCAATATGAAAGTCCCGCCATTGTGGTCCCATCGGCGAAGGAACACCTGCAATTGGCTCATCTTTTTGCTTAGAAGAAGAGTACCGTTTTCCTTCTAATACTCTACTGTCTTTCTTTGTCACAGGATAGTTTACCTGGCGTTGATTGGAAACTGCCAGTTTTAACAGCTGCTGACGTCCGGGATTTGCACTGCTTGGCAAGGTCGACCCTGAAGAAATTGAAAGCTGATTTACAGACCCCGCAAGTTTCGAATCGCTCATACTTCCGAAACCTGTTCTTCCACCTTGATGATGGGTTTTGGTCAACTGCTTTCTTCCTTACTTGTTGTTGTTTACATTCTGCGGTGACATGTTGCTTAGTTCTCATTCATTGAAATTCAAAGTTCTTCCATGTAAACAAAACAATACAAAGACTTTGCGCTCTATCTACCACTTTCTTCATATCTTCTTATGACAATTCTTTTTATGTGTTCAAGCTTAAAAACAAAAGGTGTTTATATCAATGAAAGAGAAGTTTTCACTTCAATAATCTTCACGTGATTGCTATATAGCAACACAGGGGCACGTATATTTAGTATAAATAAATTTTAGCATGAATTTGATTATAGAGTCGATTTTATTCCAGTAACGCATCTGACATAAGGTACAAATGCTTTTTTATTTATTTATTTATTTATGGAAAAAGCATTACGCACTTCGTTATTCTGATTTGCGAAAAGAAAATCGACTCCTAAGTTATAGGACAGGTTAGGGTTAGTGACTGCTATATTCGAAACACAAACCCGGTAGGGAAATATTTTTGACTATAACGACCACGAACAACAAGGCATAATGAAGGTGGAAATCTGCTCATTTTCCGGTGCTAAAGTTTACCCAGGAGCTGGAAGACTCTTTGTTCGTGGAGACAACAAAGTTTTCCGCTTTGTAAACAAGAAGTCTGAGAGCCTCTTCCTCCAACGCAAGAACCCTCGCCGTTTGTCATGGACTGTCCTCTACCGTCGTATGCACAAGAAGGGTCTCTCTGAAGAATCCGCCAAGAAGCGCTCTCGCCGTACTGTCAAGCACCAACGTGGTGTCGTCGGTGCTTCCTTGGATGTCATCAAAGAGAAGCGTAACCAACGCCCTGAAGTTCGTGCCGCCGCCCGTGCCTCTACTTTGAAGCAAGCCAAGGATAAGAAGGCTACTTCCGAATCCGAGAAGAAGGCTGGCAATGCTAAGTCTTCCGCCGGCGCTGCCCGTGGTCAAGCCATCAAGAACGCCAAGGCTGCTGCTCGTCAGTAGATTGTTTAAAAATCAATAAGCATGATTTCTTGGGTTATGGAGTTTATTTGAGTTTATACTTGTAGGTGTACACAACGTAGAAAGATCATTCCATTATCTCCAATAAAGTAGTAGAAATACTAAACGTCGAGCCTTGTTATCCGTTACGGAGGGATTTGTGGACGACCGCAATCCAAGGTGTACGACAACTTTACATGGAAAGTGGATAGCAAATTATAGGTATTCTAAAATTGATTTATGTTACTTCCATTAGAAACATGAAAGTAAAACCATTTTTTTATATCTTTTAATCCTAAAGAAACGAGTACTCCACGTCCGCCGGTGTGCACTCATTAGGCTGATGTTCCAAGGGGCACTCCAACTGTTTTGCAACGGTGTTGGCCTCTTCATTCTCCCGGATGTCAATGGATTGCCACTCTTCCTCTTCCGTTGCCCTAATAATATGTGTCGTTGACAATTTGGGAGCCTCCGTATTTTGCTTAGCTGTCACCTGGATGGCACGAACGGGTCCACGCGAAGCGGAAGCGTTCGATTGTGATGTTGTCGAAGATGTACTGGAGGTTTTTACCCTTTGCATATGTTCATCTACATGCCGCATAGAAGGCCGCAATTGGGTTAATCCACGCAAAGGAACGATATGAAGCTGTCCATTTCGAATTAAGCCTACCATCAGGTTTGTTTGCGGCTGCTGAAGACGACCAGCAAGCACTTGTGTCCTCAATGGCTGGTCTTCGGCACTGTATTTTTTTGCTTTATCTTCGTCAAAATACTTTGCGGTAGGAATTGGCACCTCCATCTCCATCCACCCAGTTTTAGGCTTGATGCGTGCATTCATCGGTGTTTCTCCGGTCCGGCTGCTGTATTCACGATTCTTTGGTCTTAAAGGATATTGATTCAACAGTAAATGGTTTCGAAGTGCCGGTGAATAATATACAGGTAGAGTCCGCACGACAGGATCATACTGTGATTCTCCAGAATCGCTTCTTTCATTCATGTGTAAATCTTGCTCAGACATCCTTTTTTATAGTAATAGTAATAGTCCCTTTAATAGTTTTTCTTTCAATCAAATAATTACCCTATGCAAATGTATATACCCTGTCCCCACAGATGTACCAGGATTCTGTCGTTCAAACAGTTTTTTTTTCCACAAAAGACCCCAAAACAACTCAAAGTATATATTTCTTCTCTATCATTCAAGTTTCATTAACTGTTTCTTCACGAAATGCCCACTTTGCAAAACACTTTCAGAAAAAGTGAATGGTTAAATTCATAAAACATGTCCTAATTGAGATTCGAACCCTTGACGACATTATTTTCTCGTTGTAGTACGCTCCATCTCGCTTGATTGGCAAGTTCCGAAGCTGTCGTTATATCCTCCAATAGCTGGGTTTGGAATTCCATTCGCTACAAACCACTAGTTTATTTTGTTTTTGTGAATTTGAGGATAAAACAGGGTCAAATTCGCAGATAAAGGCTCTATTTTTGCTAATTAAAACGCCAAAAAAGAAACATTGAAGTTTGGTTACCATATCTACCTTTTTTCATCGACAAAATTTGAATGATGCTCGCTACCCGTATGTTCCATTCTCTTTCTCCGGGCTTCTTCCGCCCTGCTTCTCAATTGTTGCGTCCTTCCAGCATCTCTTCTTCCTCTTCATTGTTGAGAAATGTATGGAAACGATCCGTCGCTACTGAACACATGACGGAAATAGAAAGCGGGTCCCGTCTTGCTAATCAGCGTCTTCATCGTCCCAACTCTCCTCATTTGTCCATCTATGAACCTCAATTGACTTGGTACCTGTCCAGTATACACCGTGTTACTGGTGTTGTTTTGGCTGGTGCTCTTTACCTCTTTGCGACTGGTTACTTGGTTGCTCCTTTGGCTGGCTATTCTCTTGATACCGAAACCATTTCGGGTCTTCTTCAACAAGTTCCTACTTGGATAAAGGTTCCTGCCAAATTTGCTGTCTCCTATCCTTTTACCTTCCACATTTACAATGGACTTCGTCACTTGGTTTGGGACACCACGAAAGAATTAACTCTTAAGGGTGTCTATCGTACTGGCTATGCTGTTCTTATCCTTTCCGTTTTGACTTCTGGCTATCTTTCTTTTGTGTAAATTCATACATGCTTGTTGAGAGGTAAACATCTCTTTCGTACTTGCGTTTCCTAATTGTTTTATGAAGCTAGTAAGTGCTTTTTTCACGTTAAATGTTTAATTGCTATATTTTTCCTTCCCCATTTCATATTTTACAATTTTTTACTCTGTTTTATATCAGTCTTGTGGTAAGGAATCTCCACCCCCTTTTTTCTCTTTTTTTTTTTAGGAATACTATGTCTGATTCTTTGAGAGTATGTAATTTCACGAAACTACTCATCTATGGTGTAAAAATAATGCTTTGAATTATTACAACCTTTCCCGATAGTTAAATAAATTTCGTTCCATATCCATTAAGTAATTGCCAGACAACCTAGCACGAAATAAATAAGTATTTTATGAATATTCTCATCATGCACATTTTTTTATAAGGATAATACCTTCTGATTCTAAATTACAGACTTATTTACCGATATATTCGGCTTTTACCCTTCTTAAAACTTGAGAGAGGAATATCAATAGGCTGAGAGCTTGATTTACCGGTGGAAGCGCCATTCTTTCTGTCGCTTTTCTTTGGCTTTCTTCTTTGAGAAGGGTTTTCATTCGATTCCTTTGATTTTATCATTCCGAGCCCCTTTTGAACCCTAAGACTTTCCTCTTCCCACCACTTTTGAAATTCTTCCTCCTGTTGGATTTCCTCTATCGTTTTTCTGCTTGCCAGTCGTCTTTTACGCTCCTCAATTTCTTCTTGCTGCTCATACATAATCGCCATCAAGGAATTTGGCTGGGCTCCACTCTTAGGCAATGATGAAGGTTGTTGAATGGGCGGTTTTCCTAATAAACTCCAACTAGACGGAGAACCGCTGGATATACGCCTCTTTGGTTCCTTATAAAATACCTGGCTAGGTGTTTCATCACTAGCTACTTCTCGAAGAATCCCATTAAACGGTTTTTTAGTAGCCGAAGAAACGGTAGGCTTTTTGGTTGACCAAGCGTTTGTTGATGTTTCAACAGGTTCCACACTCAAATCGTGCGCTGTTCCCTTGCGAATTGGCTGTTGCTGCTTAGATAACTCTTTTTTCTTCTCTTTCTGCGACCTCTTCATTAAACCTTTCATACCACGAAACTCATTATTAGTTGTAGACGGGCTCACGTTATTAGCTTCTTCAAGCAACTCCCTCAGGTTGGCTCGATTCGGAGGCTTCTTTGCATTGTCAACTAAATTTGGAGTTTTCCAAGGCCCTTTTCTCTCATTATTCGAAGGACTTATTTGATGATCATCATTCATTACAGGTGATCTATTAATGTTTCCGGCAACGGGTGTCCATGGCGATGTGATTTTTCCACTGTATGAAGGCAACAGGCTTGATGGAGGTTCCAATGTTTCCGGGCTTCCCTTGTCCAGCAGAGGATTAAGATTCTTCTCCTGTCTTGACTCAAGTTCAACAGCTCTGACTGGTTCAACCTTTTGTTCAAATAAGTCCTTAGCGATTGGCGGCTGCGTTTGAATAAGAGAAGCATTACTTTCTTTCGTTGTCCTATAAGGAGACTTATCCCAAAATTCTGTTGATTCACCTGAAAAGAGAAACTCCCGCAAAACCTTTAATTCATATGCTTTTTCCTCTAAATATTTGGAATTTCTGAAAAGCAGCTTATTAAGCACCTTACTAGGTTGTGTGTGGAATCTTTGTTCTTGCAAACTTGAATGTAAACGCTTTGATACATTGGCAAGATGTTTGTTCTCCCATTCACTTAATCGATTTTTTTCCAAAAAATAGCCTATGTTGTGACAGGCATAATCAACACATCGACTATATAATGATTCTGCGTGATAGCAAGAAGATAATTCTAGCATATCATTCAGTGTTTTCAGATTTAGAAATTGAAGCAAAGATTGCTCACAAATTTCCTTTAGTCGATAAAATAAAAGTTCATCAGATATACTCAACATAACGGTCATCGTCTCCAACCAGCTGTAAAAATCATGATCCTTAAGATCATTAAAAATTTCTAAACTTCCATTTCCATATATATGTCGAAGGATGAGTCCAAAATGGAAAGTATTCTTATCTGGTAAATTAACTACATATTTTTCTGCTTTATGTTGTGCTTGCTCTTCTAGGAATGTATAAAACGAATCGAAGTAATCACTATGAATCCTCAGTAATAAACTGTTCGCTTTCAATTCACCATCCTCCAGTTTAATAACCGTATCAGATGAATCATCAAAGATGCTCTTGCTTAAAAAGAGAGCATTTATGTCTCTGGCTAAAGACATTGAAGGCTGGCGAGGGACTGTGAATGGTAAAACCTCTTGTAGGTGGGGCAAGTCTAAAGACCTGCTGAGTTTTAGTAATTCTTCTTTAACATTCAAAAACTTTGAATCCCATTGCCAGGGTTGAAGAAGAGAGTCTGAGTAAAGATAGTGCAAAAGTACCGCAACGCTTGTAGCAGATACATCATTGAAAATTAAAGTAGATTCCCCTTCTTTATCAACCCGAAAATCCAAAGTTGTCTTTTTTACATCCTTATTCGTACGAAACATCCGACGAAGTATGGATGAACGAGCTGACAAAAGAAATTTATGGCTCCAAAAAGTCTCATTAACGCATATAAGACGTACATCAGCTGATGAAGCTTTAAAGGTCCTATAGCTATTTACTATTATTCCCGGATTAAAAAATAATGTTTGAATCTCATCTTCCGTGGGATCACGGTCATCGTCAAAATAAGGTGGGCTATCTTCGTCTTCTGCTGGTTTAAATGTAGGGTTTCTCTTATGCAAAATATTCTTATATGGAAGAAGAGAACTGAATACATCGTTCAATTCTGGAACCGTAAAATGAATAGGGGGAGGACGATAATCATTTCTGATTGTGAATATTCCACCAGAAGCATTAGTTCGAACATTCGTTATCATTTGTATATTTTCAATACAAGAGTACTTATAAGTTCCTTTAGTGCTTTGCTTTAAGGAGGCTTTCTCACGTTTCTTAGAACGAATTTGACGTATCCAACACGTGCCATTTTTCAGGCATAACAAAAGACTACTATTGTCAGCCCAAGCAACATCATTCGCTGCACTTTCTGGAGACAATACAGTCCAAAACGAAGTAATCTTGAGTGAATTTTTGCTATTACTCTTCATAAACAAAGAAGCCAACTTTTGCTCTTTTCCTGACCGCAAGGGTATTAAGTCAATAACAAAAACCTCTCCTTGCTCAGTAAGTATCGCCAGATTATCCTCACAAGCCACTATTTTTCTTACATTAAACCGTGATAGTGATAAAGCATGTTTAGTAAAAGTTAATGGACTTTCTAAATCAACAGCCACGGGAACCTTCAGTTGCTTATAGTTCGATAGGATTAGTATACTGTTATTCTCCAATAATAATATAATGCTATGTGAAGTACAAGTAGCCTTCACCACAGAGGATGTTAAACCGGCCACTCGACGTGGAGCAGATATTATGAAGGAATCATCTGGATGACCAAGCTGCCCCTCATTTTGGCCCCAAGTGTACAAATCAGAATTCGTCCATGCAGCGCTATATGTGTCGCCTGCGGCAATCCCGATGATATACAAGTCTTTTAATGCGGAAATTCGTTTAGGGGATACTTGAACAGAATCCTCTTTTTTTGAACCATCAACGTTGAATCCTAGGGCAGAATAGGAATTTAAGCCCCATGCGTACACATTTCCAATATCTGTTAAAGCAAGAGAGTGATTTTGACTTACGGATATTTGTACCACTTTATAAGGTAAGTCTGACACAGGAGTAAAAGTATATTGGGCGTCTTTTCTGAAACCAAGTCTACCACCAGCTCCAATACCACATGAATATACATTTGGGCTCGGCTCATCCGTGATAACCAGACTGTGAAATTTTGAGGACTGAATGTCAATGATTTTATCTGGGGCAAAAAGTTGACCAGATAATGAATCGGAAGTTTGCTTACGATAAAGAAATACTCTTTTAGCCATTTCCTGACTTCCCGAAACCGTAAACCCAAGAATACTATTTTCATTATTCCCAAGACTGTAAAGCTCATTTCCTAAGATTGGATAATTAATTTGTGGATGAGCCCCAGGGTAAATTCTATACAGTAATTGAAAAGGAGACAACCCTTCATGATCCTTAATTTTCAAAAGATTAGAAGATTCTTTCGAGAGTAACAAAGAGGCAGCTTCAAGATTTCCTACGTAAATAGCACGATGCAAAGCGGTATAACCAGATTCTTCATCTTGGATAAGCACATCTATATTTTTATGTCGCAACAAGGCTCTAACAAAGCTGTTTTTGTTGTCGAATGCAGCTATATGAAGAACGGTGCGTCCATAACGATCTTTTGTATTTACATTCAACTTGGACGAACTTTTCTCGGATGCACCCTTTCTTGCCTCTCGTAATTTTATATCATCTTGTTTCAATAACGTCTGAAAAGAGCGTATGTCGTTGTAAACGTAGTAGGCAAAAAGCAAATGACTCATTGAATTAACAAAATTCGACTATAATTACACGGAAGCAATTCAGTATGCATTTATAACACAAATTACAAAATAGTAATGCCCAATTTCAACTTGCCACCAGTGTTTTTCTAACTGATCTGTCCGTAAACGATATGGCAAAAGGATGCTGTGTCTGTGTATCCTGAAGTAAGGCATTTTCAGTCGAGTTCGCGACAAGCTCAGAATAAGCTGTCGCTTAATTATGGGGAAATAATAAAAAAAATGAACATAAACACTGCTTATAGTTGAATTAAAAAGCAATAATTTTTAAATCATAATTATAAAGGAAAACTAATTAGGAGGTACTGAATCGCTTGAAGAGAAAAGGAGAGTATAGGCTTGATTTTTTGTGTGAAAGTAAAGTTTGGGTTTATTCAGATCCCCCTTTTTTCAAAAGCAAACGCCAAGTAAAAGCTGGCTGCTTCTAACTCTTGCGGATCAATTCCTCTCTTTCCGTTACTGTCTACTACTTTCATGCGCTCCATCAAATTACCAAAAGCTTCAGAGTTTTTTTCCTCATTGAAGATGTCCACAAAGGGTTTTTGCCATAACAATTCCAAATCATACGTCTCCGCTATTGCACGAAATGCCTCAAATGGAACAACATACTCAGGAACATCAGTTACGGCATCTTCCAAGTAAAAGAAGTATTGAATGCCAAAAGGAGGACGGAAGGTGTGAGACGGTCGCTGTGTAAATCGTACGCTGTAAATGTCATTACCCCAAGAAACCTCAGAAGGTGGTAGCTCTTTTAGGCGCTGAGAAATTATATCTGAGTTTGGGATTGTGCCAAGCATAATGCCGCCACGAGGCAAACATTTTGAAACATTTTCCAAAAGTCTTCTAGCCTTCAATTCACTTTCAAATGCATAATGCAAGCAAAACTGTAATGATACTATATCAAATTGCCGCTGATCTGGAGGAAGGAACTCGCTAACGGAGCGGGAAAAACAATCTCCTGCATAAAATAGAGCATCAAAGCATGGTTGAAGTTCACGATATCGTCTTTTTGCTTGGTCTACAGAGTTCTCGGCGATATCAACACCTATGTAACCATCGATGCCAGCTTTATCCCATTTAATTAAATCACCGCCTTTCCCACAGCCTAAATCGAGCACAAGTAGGGGCCTATCATCAACCCTAGGGGTGAATTTCTGAATAAGTACAGATTTAATCCAATTGTTAAAACGTTTCAACTGGATAATAGGTGAAAACTGTCGTTTTCTAGTACCCATATCGGGTCGAGCATTATAATGTGTTCGAACAACATCTCTTACATCTTTACGAGGATGATCGTCTGCTGCCCTTGAATAAGTTTCTTCTTCGTTATTTGTATAGTAGTCCCTTCTTCTGTATTGGCCTGATCTCCTCTCTCCTCGAATGCTAGGTTGTGCCTGTTTTCGGCTGGGTATCTCCTGTTCTTCGTTGCTTTTCCTTTCTCTGTTAATATTTTCATTTCTTAATGAATTTCCTTCATTCATTTTCAATAATAAGATATGTTTATGAGCTATTCAACCCTTGACTTATACGTTAGATCTCTTTCCATAAGAAACGCTACTATACCTTTGAATATATCTCTCTATAGAATATGCATTTGATTTTTAAATGATCTATATAAAACACAACTCTAAATCGCCTTTTTTCGTTTTTTTTAAGGATAATAGTGCGTAGTATCAAAAATTGAGTCGTTGGTTGGTTATTTCTAAGAGTATGCGATTCAAGGTGAAATGGCACAAGTACTTATTAATCAAGCTACTATGATTTCAAAGTAGACTCACGCATTTAAGTTAAAAACAATAAAATGTAATCAGTATTATCAACATACTCATCAAACGTACTTTCTCATAGAGCACTCGACGCTTTCTTTAAAACTTGATTAAGCGACTGTTAGTTATTAAATAATAAAATATAATCTGCGTTCAGACCAACTTTTGAAAGCATGAATAAATATTATTCTCTAATGAAATCTATTAAATTTGTTTCATACACTTGATAACTGCATATGAAACACCGATTATCCCAAATAACCATTTTAATTATTGAACCAAAAAAAGCCTGTAAGAAGCTTAGTATTAACAACATAAAACCCAATTTTTGTTTACAATTTTCGGAAAACATTTTTGCTAGCAGAACGACGACCTTCAGTAGTTTGCTTCTTTTTCCCGCTGGACGTTTCTTCATCTTGAGAGCTTGGCTTGTTCTTCTTTTTCTTTTCGACTTGAAATGTCATTTCCATTCCGGAAGGCGTACTGCGAATAGTTTGTTCAGTTCCCTTTTGTTTCTTATCATTATGCTCGGTTTGTCTCCTATTCAATAGATTATCAAAAGTTTCATGCTCTTCCACTTCTTCATCAGACGACACTTCTTCATCAGAACTCAATTGCACACCTCTTGTGTGCTCGCGTTCTTCATCCGATTCTTCAGCAGCAGTGAGTTGAGGTTTAGTTGATTTGGTTGGATTAAGTTGTTTAAATTCTATTGTATCCTCATTAACTTCAAAGTCCTTATCAGTGAAAGCATTCTTGAAACGGTCGTCTTCGAGAATACTGGAAGCATTTTCGTCTCCAGTCTTCTTGCGTAGCTTGGCTTCTTGGTGAGCAAGACGAGTTGCCAAGGTAGCATTAACCTTGGGCCGATTCTGGGTACGAATCTTACTGCTACGTTTCTTCTCAAGACGTTCTTTAATGGCTTTCTTTCTATGCTCTTCGTAAGAGAAGGGATTTGCAATCAAACGAGCCTTTTCATACAAGCGTGAGTCAATGAAAAATCCATGCATATAAGCACGGATAACACCCGTTCCGACAAGATGATCCAGACCAAGACTGAGAAGTTCCTTTTTGGTAACAAATTTGTAGTTGTCATAGATTGTGGGAGTACGGTTTTCTTCCATTTCTTCTGTAATGTTATCAAGGAAGGAACACCAGCGAGGAGCGGGATTAAGCGAAGGAACATAAAAAGCATGCATAGGAGATCCTTCATTTGCGGTAAAAATTAAGCCAGAGTTAGGAACTGGACATACATCATTTAAATCCACAGTAGGTTCAATAGCTGTAAACGGTTTTCCCGTATCTTTCTCCCAGATCTTGATGATTTTAGAATCTGCAGAAAGGACACGGGCGCTACCATCCAGGGCACTGTCCAGCCAACTAAGGTTCTTGACAGGCAAGCTGTAACCTTGATCTTTAGTCATATACGGTTTTGGTGAACGCAAATCATACAACAGAGTAATACCATCAGACAAACCTGCGGCAAGATTGAGTCCATCATTACGATAACTTAAAGCAGTGACTGCACGGTTGGCACTTGTGTATGGGGAAGAAGGAACATTAGAGGGCATCTCCAAAATGCCGACACGCGAACGATCGCGAGGGTCCCAAAATTCGACAGTACCCGCATCGGTACCAAATGCCAATAATTGATGCATGGGATTAATATCCAACACATTCACACCAGAAGTAGGGTCTTCGCTAGTAGCACTTTCAATCTTGAATGGGTTCAAGAATCGGCCTTGTTCCAAATTCAAACGAAAAACTTCATCTCCAGCAGCAGCCAAATAAAGATCACAGCTAGGAAAATGATACTTCAAATCTCTTCCATATTTGGGAATCCTTGTTGAATAATGTATACCACCTTGACTATGGAAATCCACCGTACGGTCTGCTTGTAAATGGACACTCTTCGTCCAGTCGTCTGATAAAATTTCAAATTGAACATTTTCTGTATCCGTGTGACGTTCAAATTTTAAAGACATTTCAGCAAAATCGAAAACTTTGATATGAGGCTTGTAAACGCCTGTGGACATGGCATATTTACCATCTCGTGTAACTTTGATGCGGTTGCTAGCTTCTGGATAATCAAACTCTTGAAGAAGCTCAATTCGATGTGACAAAGCATAGTCCTTTTTCAATTTTTTCTTGCTGATCCACTCAGGCAGTTTTTGTGTTATGCCTTCGCCTGATACTGTGTAGACGCGTACATTGTTCGGGTTTTGCACTTTAAGAGACATTTTTTCTTTTCCTTTATAATAACTTGGTAAATTTATAAAGAAAACAGCCCCCTTACTCCTCTTTACCCTTCTTTTTGCAGATGTGTTTTGCTTTGAGAAAATTGGAGTTTACAGGACCAGAATGTAGTAGCAATGCACGGACTTTAACGAAGTATAGTGGCGTATCCTGCCGTATTGAACAATGTGTAATTAATGAATTAACGAAGTGTGCTATTTATATAGTATGATATGTTTTTATATGATATATCGTATATAAAATATTGTACTGTCATGGTGTCTTAGACATTGTGTTTCAGCATTGACACTAATGCGAGTAAATTCATCATAATTTTATTGTGAAACTTTTGGCTGACCTGGCAAGCTATGCCTTATACAACTCTTTCTGGTGCTATTCTAGTCTATGGCAATTTGAAATTCATTTTTCCCTTCCTTGGAATTTTATGAATTCCATCTTTTGGTCGACGATGATCATCAAAATATGACTTCTACTCATTTACAACTACATTTACTGTACTTTATACTTTATTCCATTGTTTTTTATAGCGCCTATTTAAGCTTGCTTTTACCGAACTTAGATAGCCCTTTCTCCACATGTACTTGACGTTTTGAGAACCCAAGTCCAGCCTTCAGCGATTATTGATTCATCAAAACCAATCCGATTCTATGCCTTTATTCTAGTCAATGCTCTGAAACGGTAACCGGTATCTTATTTGACCAGATTATTCCCGATATAAATATTTTATGTTCATTTTGTTGTTTTCCATCTAAGCGATCCTCGGTAAAAGATATCGGTCCATTTGCCTACGTTACATACCTTTACAGCGTCTGTCTATTGAAGTAAAATATCTTTCTACATTACTTATTCATTTTAGTCCAAAGTACTTTTATTAATGTCATAGACCCTGTTTATGTCATGCTGCTTTGGTGGTTTAGTGGTATAATGCTTCGTTGCCATCGAAGCGACCCGGGTTCGATTCCCGGCCGAAGCAATCCTTTTTATTACAGCAATAGATTTGAGGAATATTTTTGCTTAAAGAAAACTGCGGTATACGTACAGCACCACTGCTTCGATTTGTCGTTTTCAAAAGAATGTTTACTAATGATCCGTAACAGTTCGTTAGTAAACAAATCGCCAGCAACATTACCTTCGTAAAAGTTTGATTAAAATAGATCAGCTGTGTGATTTTGAGAATGTACGTTACTATCGGTGTTGGTTTTTTTTTGTTTCTACATACGAAAACAACACTCATAAATTGGGATATATATCGACATCAGAATATTCATATATACACTAATTGATCCTATTCCGTTCGTGATTAGATACCTTGGAAACAATTTTTACCTTTCGGAATCACGAATCAATAATCAAGGCAAAACTTGCTTAGGATGGTCTCATTAGCAGTATGACGACGGCTTTGGAATTATGTGCTGCTTCTAACCAAATATCTTTGACTGTCGATCCTGAGTTGATGCCAATATCATTATTTACTAGGCAGGCGATTCTGTTCTAGTTCTTAAAAGTACGCCTCACTGTCCAGATCAGCCAAAAGTGTGGGATGTGAAGGCTTCCAGCCTAAACGTTGCTGTGTCAAGGTACTTGAAGTTGGATTATCCAAAGAAAAGAATGTGCCAAGGAATCCAAAATGGTCGGTTGCTTCTTCAGAGGGTTTGGAGACAATAGGTAAATTGAGTCGTTTGCCAATCACGGTTGCAATATCTTTGGTCGGAATACCTTCATCGGCAACACCATGGAAGATGTCTCCAGGAGTTCCTTGTTCAAGTGCCAATATGAATAGATTAGCGGCATCTTTTCTGTGAACGGCAGGCCATCGATTCACACCTTCGCCAATATAAGCAGAGACACCTTTACTTTTAGCTGTATCAATAAGCTTTGGCACGAACTGATAATCTCCGGTCCCATGAACACTTGGTGGAAGGCGGACAACTGAGGAACGCACTCCTTGAGAAGCAAATTTCAAAGTTGCTATCTCCCCAAAGTAACGTGGAATTGGCGATTGACTAATTTGGGTTACCTCTGTGCCTACCGTACCAGTAAGGGGAACCACCGCAGTTCCAGAAGTGGTAACGAAAGGACGATCAGATCCTTTGAGGGCTTCACCAATCGTTTCAATCGCACGAACATCAATATCGCAGACCTCTTGATACTTGTTAAAGTCATGAACAAAAGCTGTATGGATAACGCCGTCAGAATGTGCTGCTCCACTCTTCAGACTATCCAGATCCTCAAGTGTACCAAGATGAGGTATGCCTCCAGCAGTTTTGAGTTTTGCAGCGCTTTCTTCAGAACGCACTAAACCGACCACTTCATGTCCAGCTGCGATAAGCTGTCTCACAATTTCAGAGCCAATAAACCCTGTTGCTCCAGTAACAAATACACGCATAATGTTTTTTTTTTGTTAGTGATGAGACCGTTCTGGTAATGGCTCTTTATATATAATTCCTAAGAAATGAAGGGTTATCAATAAAGAGTTAATACATGACTAAGAAGATAGCAGGGCAGGCATTTTATTAGTAAGCGCATTACGATTTCATTAGGCAATATCAAGTCCGAAAACAGAAAGCAAAATGCGAAATCGTAAACTCTTTGACATCAATGGTGTCCCACTAACCACCAGTGTTTCTTACCAATTTCTTCGACTAATGTGAGAATTTGTCCCCCGTAAACACAGAAAGGGAAGAAATAAAAATCAAGATCAATACTTAACCTGGCCCTTGTTGTCCTCCAAATTCTTTTCTTCCTTGTTTTGAACAAACATGATGTCTTACCTAACAACAAATGAAACCACTTTGAACCTTTGAAAATTGGATAATGATGATATGGGGCAATGAGGAATCAAATTTGAACAGGTCTTTCTATCGAGAGAGAGCTTTTAGTCTTACTAAGACTAATGATCCCGATAATTAAATAAAATCATGTGTTAGTCCATGTTTCACGTTCTTTTGCTTTTTTTTTGGTAATCTTTTTGGAGGGTACAGAAAATCTCAAGCGTTGATAGTTATGCTTATGTCCATGACCGTTCGCAGCAGCTATATTAAATCGTTTCAGTTAATTAAATAGATATTGTTTATTTAATATCCTCAAATCCTAGTGTGTTCAAACACTATCATAGTTTTTTGGTCTTATTTATTTATCAAATTGCATTGTTTAATAAATCCGAAAAACACATTTACTAAGGGTTGGAAACATTAACAAAGTACCCATAAAAAAACTGCTATGTATATGACTATCGATCATTACAATTGTCTACGGCCATACCTAGGCGAAAACACCAGTTCCCGTCCGATCACTGCAGTTAAGCGTCTGAGGGCCTCGTTAGTACTATGGTTGGAGACAACATGGGAATCCGGGGTGCTGTAGGCTTTCCTTTTTGTTGCTCTTTTATTTTTTAATCTTTTATTTATTTCTTTTTTTTTTTATATACTTTTCCAGTTACGGCTAATATTCTATTTAAGGTTGTTTACATAAATCTCAGAATGATGTAAATTTTTATAAGGATACAAAACAAACGAAAAGGACTAGTCTTATATAGGTAATTGTTCAGTGGAGCTGAAACCATCAAATTCAGACATTATCGAGTTTATTCAGAAGAAGATATCATGGGAATTCGTGGAGTTTAACGACTTTTCAAACATTATATCATTGTTTGGAACAAATTATTTGGTCAATACAGTTATTTATTTTCGCTTACTTTATATATGTTAAATTCATCTTTAACAAGTCAATAGAATTTATAACTTATTTGTTAGTGTTTTCAGATAAAACGTTAATCATATTTATAGAAACTATTCATTTCGTATGTATATTACTAAAATTTCTTATACTTGTTTCTTTTCATCAATTGTTGTAAGGTTTTAAGAATCCTAAAATGAAAAGCGACCATAAACAAAGGGCCCGTTTAACAAACATCTACTTTTGAGTTAGCAAGGTGGATCCCTCAAGAACAAGCAATATCTATTTTTGTCTCTATCCTCCTGTATTGATTGCACTTGCTATTTTGTATGAAGGAAATTCTAAAGTCGATTGTTTATCATGTATAGTGAATTGTAGCTACTTAAAGTATTTTTTATTAATTCCTTTACTTATTTTGTTGGTATCAACAAAAAAAAGAGTAATTATAACTTACATAAATTTGTATTTTTTAGAAAAAAATTGGACAAGCCAGAACTCGAATCTGGGACCTCTTCCATGCTAAGGAAGCGTGATAACCATCTACACCACATGCCCGTATTATAGCATCAATTAATGTAACGTAAAATTATAGCTAGAATCCTGACATCTTACAATGCTACTATGGTTAGTAGCCGAGTTTCTGCAGTTGTTTCCTAAGATTCAACCTTGACGAGAATACTTACCATTTTAAATCATTGTGTATTACTCTCCTACCAAATTTCCTGCTTTTAATGTTTTAAAAGTTTTCTGCATATTTCATTCGCAACGATGTAAAGTAACTATTAGGTGAACAAAGTATTTTCGTCAGTTTAGGAGAAAAGTATTTGACAATTGTAAGTATTCGATTTTTCTTTCTTTACGAGCGCTGTGTTAAAGACATTTCTGCCTTTTTGTAGGGCTTCGTTGAAAATGTCATAGCGATGTTATAATTATTACGAAGACACTTGTCGACAACACATCTCTCAATAACAACCTCCTAATAATTTTTTGCTTATTTCGATTTTTCTTTTTATGCTAAAAGGGTCTCTAAAATAGTTTTTTCTTCGCGATAGACTACATTACTCTTTCGAGATATCCAAATTGACTTGTCTAACCGTGTTTTCATTACTCAGTTTTTCTCTAGAAAATTCGCTTATTCTAAAGAAGCTAGTGAAAGCAACTGTATCTTCGACTGTCTAGGTGTCGCTTTGGACGGAAAAATTTTCGGAAGTCAAAGTGTTCTACAAATAACGTCAGCATTAGTATATTAATATTGGGCTCACGTATTATATTTGCATCAATATCCATTTCTAACTTTAGAATTATTTGATTTTTTTTTGGTTTTATCTGCTTTCAACTTATACTTTTCACTATTTCGCTGATTCTTCATCATGATTGCTTCAACTCCAGCAGGAAGCGAGTCTTCCTCGAATCACTTAGATAAGGACTTTGGGATATCTGAGACTAAAAATATAGACCATCGACACTGCAAGGTAGCTTACCGCCCTTTAGACTACAGTCCTACTCCTTCCATTTTTGCCCGCACGCATCAGCGTAGTAATGTAGACTTTACAGGATTCTTTGTTCTTTTCTGGGTATCTGTTGGCACAATGATTTTAATACATTCTTTGGACAATATGGAAAAAACAGGTAAGCTCTTTGGAAACAATATCATCCAATTCTTTAAGATGAATTTATTGGATCTGGCAAAGGCAGACTTATTTATGTCTTCTTTGTTTTTTGTTTCATTTCCATTCCAGAAACTGTTTTCTTCAGGTACTCTACGCTGGTATGGTTCGGGTATTTTTCTTTACAGTGCTTTGGTTTTGGCATTTCTCATGCATAGTGTATTGCGATGCTGCTTAAGTGACTGGCCCTGGACTCATCGTGCTGTCTTTATCCTACATTCTATGGACATTTTAATGAAAATTCATTCATACAACACGGTAAACGGTTGGTTTTCGTATTGCTATTATCAAGCCCGCAGACTTCGAGCTAAGTCAGATTCTCTTTCGGAACCAGAAAAGCAAAACTTGAAGCTGTGTGAAGAGTCGATAGTTGAGCATGGAAAACGCTATCCGAATAACTTGACATTTAGCAATGCACTAACGTTTTTATTTATGCCTATCTTATGTTATCAGCTCTATTATCCTAGAACGCCCCATATTCGAGTTACATATTTACTTGAATGTGCACTCGGGACTTTCGGTTGCATTTTCTTATTAGTAGTCATATCGGAAAACTACATGATTCCAGTCTTACTTCAGGCTATAAAATGGATTTTAGAAGCTCCAGAAGACGCATCTACCTACTACTTTGTGCTTCAATTAGGCAAGACTGTCACCTATCTAATGTTTCCTTTCATGCTGAGCTTCCTTATAGTATTTTGGGTTATTTTTGAAGGCATCTGTAACTTCAGTGCTGAAATCACTCGTTTCGCTGACAGGAATTTTTACGACGATTGGTGGAACTGTTGGACTTGGGATCAATTTGCTAGAACATGGAATAAGCCAGTCCACTATTTTTTGCTTCGACACGTTTACTGTCCTTTTAATAATAAATTTTCCAAATTTACGTCAACTACGCTAACTTTTTTGGTCTCCTCTATTTTGCATGAGCTAGTAATGGGATGCATCACAAAGAAAATTCGAGGTTATGGCTTATTTTTTCAAATGACTCAAATTCCTTACATGTTGATCCAACGACAGAAGTATATTCGCAAGCATCGATTGCTCGGAAACGTTTCATTTTGGGTTTCTATAATAATTGGGCTTTCGCTGATTGGTGTTCTCTACATTTTATACTAAAGATACGCAACTTTGAATGCTGGATTTCACAGGATTGCAAACACGATGAGCGTGCATCACATTTTCTTGTACCTTCTTCACTTGGAATACGATGCTCTTAAGTAAGAGTTGTTTGTCATTCTATAAATGAAAAACTAAAATTTACGATGAATAATGATTATATTTCAACAGACGACTTGTACTGATATTATGTCAATGTTCCTTTGCATTACTTCAACTGTTCTCCGATGCTAAATAACATGGCATGTTTATAAAAGACTTCTGTATTCATAAGTTGTTAGCACATCTAGCCGGAAAATATAGATTAAGAATCCTTAGCTTCTTTTCTCATTCATGAATAAACCTGAAGGCTATTGGAATTACTAACATAGACTGTATCAACCTCTTTTTGTTAATGACGATACCAAACGTACTCTACCAATTGCTCTGGACTCCCAACCAGCCTATATTATAAAATGAACTATTTAGCGATATCTTTGAAACTCGTTATTCCACTTAACATCAAATAACGAAAAAATGTAAAAACGGAGTCTCACCTCCCACATATGTTAGTTCACAAGAACATATATCCTAGAATCAGGGGAAATTACAATAATAGCACAAGTTAAACGCTCATTTCATAAGTTGGCAATCTTTTAACTCGTAATTTATTTTTCTGGAAGGAGCACGGGATGATGGCGACTGAGAATCCATTTCTCAGGAATGCAAATTTGGGTCAATCGTCCACACAAGAGTCGCCTGTTGATCCATCAAACATGGAGACCTATAACAGCAAGAATCCGTTTTTGTCTCCAAATTTGGTTCGCACGAACGATCCTTATATGGAGTCTTTGGCAGATGATTTGGTAAGTCTTTGAATAGAAGAGGAATTGAGGTGGGTAGAACATGATATGGTAAAACTGTTGAAATGAAACAAACAGGAATATTATAAACTCGATATGACCAGTAGGCATCAGTTTATATATACAAAACTCAAGCTTCTCTCATCTTGTGTTTACATGATGTATACTAACTACTTGTTGCAGTTCAGTAGTTTGCAAAAGAAACCCGTGCGTTCACCAATTTCTACAACATCTTCTAGCCCCGTAAAGACAAGCCATGATCTATTAGATTTCCGTCCTCATTCATCTATGAGCACTACTCGACCTCCCTCTTCCATGAGTGCTGACCGACCTCCTTCGTACCGATTGTCGCGTGCTCGTAGCACTCATGTAGGATCCTCCAGTGGCCACTACCGGTCTCCTTCCAATGAGTATTCTCCATCCATTCAATCTGGTAATTCCCGCGCCAAGGGTAAAATTCGTCGACATAAAACGGTTCGTGAAGGCCAACGAAACAAAAACTTTACGAAGGAGCCGTTAGACCAGATTGATCGTTTAGATGTAACGGGAATATATGGCTCAGGAAGTTTCCATCATGACGGTCCCTTTGATGCTTGCCGACCTCACCGCAATCGTAATGTGAAAAAAGCTCCAGTGGCTGCTTTTCCGAAAGATAGCGTCGCCAATTCCATTCCCAAAGTGGGTTCTAATTTTAATGATCCTTCTGCTCCAAAGGATTTTAGTAGAAAGGCCATCCATGATACCCTCCGTACGAAAAAAATCCTTCAGTCTCCTTTCAGCACTATGTCTTATGACGAAGATGATCCGATTCCCGCTGGTACCTCTGAGGCCCCTGGCTTAACAGATTCGACCCGTATTGAAGGCGCCCTTGCTTCTAAAAGTGCTATAGCTCGCAATGAAGAGATACAGGCCATGGAAAGGGCAGGTCTTCGCAGAAAGAACTCTTTAATGCGAAAACTTAACTTAGGCCGTTCAGGCAACCTTTCTCGTTCCTCTACCTTGCCCAGTAATTACCGTTCAAGGTCTGCTCTGGAAGTTAGGAAATCTCCTATAACATCTCCCCGAGCTCTGAACCCTATTTCCAATGCAAACGAGTATGACAGTGATGATAGTATTTCCCAATCACGAAGTCATGAAACAAAACCCTCATCAAACAAGGCGCCTCCTCCACCAAAGAGACGGAATGGTGGTTTGAATACCCGCCCTTATCCAGCACATACCCAGTCACAAACATCTCTTCCCTTGACGGCCAAAGAACAATCAAAACCCAAAAAAATGAACTTGTTTCGTAGACTTTTTAGCAGACGAAAGTCTTAAAGATGTATTCATATCTGGCAACTCAGGGCTTTTATTAAGTTATTATCTATTTTATTATCTTTGACTTATCTTATTTTTAATATGTGTGCTCTTTTCGTTAATTCCTTTTTTTTTGTGGTTACATTTTTACTTTTATCTTCTATTACAAGTATCTTTATTTTATTTCATTCTATAATCTCTGCACGTTGGGTTTATTTTCTATTATATTTATGCTTTGCATATGGACTTCTTTCATTTTGGTTTTTTAAACTTGAAGTACAATATGCCTGTAGGGAATGGCTTCAGTAAAGTCTTCTCTAACTCTTCTTCCTGATTTGATTCCTTTTGATTTGCAGCCTAATCAAGCCAAGTAGGTTCAATGATTGCATTAAACGATTCCATTAAGTAAATTTTATTATGAAATTTGCTTTCATATTCATATCATTTATGCGCATGTAATATAGTTATTGGAAGATAAGCCTCTGTCAATCTTAACGTTTGTTAGCTTCGCAATATCAAGGACTAGTTTTGAACTTACTTTGAATGTAAAACCGTTTTTAAAGAAACCTTTATTGTGTAAGATATCCGGACCTGGGCGTTTGTTTCTATGGTTCTACAGGACCCTGGTAAATTTAGGAAAATGTATATTTTTCCCAATTGAGGGTAAATATGATATCCAGTATCTTGAGGATTTACTTTCCACTTTGAAACAACCTTTCCTGTCTTCTTTTTTGGTGCTGCTTGTGAAGCGTGGTATTGGCTTGAGTCGGTTTTCAACACTTGAATAGACTCTAGCAAACAAACGTTAATATACCGGACCTGGATGGTTAGTATAAAGGGAATAAAAAGACAGAATAGCATACGATGGATTGCGATTTGCTATTATACTGTATATTTAGCCCAACGTCTTGCCCACTAAAAAACAATGATCTGGATATTGATATTCTGAGTGAAATTTTAGGGGTGTCGAGTTTTTTTGAATAAACTGTGTTTTCACAAACGATATTATTATTGATTGAAGCAACATTTTCGTTCATGGATGGGAGTATTGTTTTTTCAATGGATGTTCTAGTAAATTGAGCTTCGCCTGAAAGAGAAGAGAAAAATAAAGTTCTGCTCCTGTTAGTATCAAATTTTGATATAAGCTTTGCTTACGCAGAAAAGGAATAAGAAAATTGTAATTTTTGCGTTCTGAACGATCCAGGTCCCAAATCTAAAGGAACAACAAACGCAAAAGGAAAGCTGAATTTACAAGGCTCCTTCAGCAAGAATCCGAATTCATTTGAGGAAAATGCACCTAGGTTTGTTGGAGTTGCAGGTAATGCATGCTGAAGAGAGTACTTTTCGGACACAGAAAAGATGGGCTCTATTGCAGATTTAAGTTTTAATGTACCAAATAAATCAACATAGAGTTGTGTTAGGCAGATAGAATCATCTTGATTGCGAAGCGGTTCATAAGATACCCAAACGTGTCCTTTAATAAACGTGCCGGCGTGCAAAGGTCCTTCAGGTAAGGTAATTGCGAGTTTTAAATTTTCCGTGTCTACAAATGGATTTCTCGATAAGTCTAAAAGTTGAGGTTTTGACTTCCTAATTGGACTCTTAGTTATTGGGAATAGTGTTTTTTCTCTTTGGCCAGTATAAAACGGATCTCTCCATTCTATTGTTGAAGAAAAACGCTTTGTTTTTCCGAAGCCTGTATCCTTTTCACCATTATAAAACCCGTCTGTAACTGTTTCGGTTTCAGATAGTCCCCAGAGAGATTTTGAACTTCCCAATGAACAAGTTTCACTGTTGCTTTCCTGCTCAGATATCACTGACTCGCTTTTATTTGTAAAGCATAGAGGCAATTTCTTTAGAATCTTCATTATATTTACGTGGTTTTAGGCTAATTATAAGTCCTATTTGCCTGTTTGCAGATTTTTAACTATATAACCAAAATAAATAAACATTGATGGAAACAATAACAATCTATATGCTAATAGATGATGTGTGTAAATTAAAATAAAGAACGTGAATTTTATTCATAAAATAAAGATAACATTTTTACTTTTTGTTATCCTTTTCAGTAAACAAATCGTGACAAAATCATTATTTAGTAGTTTTATTAGGATCCGTGTATTTTCTATATCCGTCATCAGATGCCTTTTGATACTCTTTACCTGCTAATAATTGATTCATTCTTTCTGTGATACTTACGAATGGAGGATCAGTCTCCTCTTCGTTTCTGGTAGACGCAAACTTTTCGTCGGACTTTTCTAAACCCTTATCACTAATATTTCCTTTTTGCAATTGCGTTTTAGGTTCGAAAGATATTTTTTTATGTCCTTTAGGCTCAATAAGTAGGTTTACTGGCACAGAAGATTGAGGAGTCGGTGTACTCATTGAGGACCGACTACTTCCGCATAAAAAACCAGGTTTACGAGGAACTTGTGGGACGGATCGCCGACCTTGTAAGTTTGGTAATGACTGTGGACGTGAAACATTGTTCCATTTGCTGATAAGTGAGTTTACCTTTGGTGGAGACTCAGATCTAGCTATATTTGAAACCGGTAAAGAAGATACCAACCCAGAAGACTTCTGGGTATCAATTGGATTTTTCAACATTGTTTCACCTATATCCTTTTCTTTTTCTTTCTTTTCCGTAGGCTTACGGGACGTGGAAGAAAACACATTATCTGCTATATCCAAAGTCGCTTTAGGAGGATTGGCAGCTTTAACATCCGTAAGTTCCTGCGCGTTTGTAGGTGATAAGTGAAAATTTCTGTCAGGATAAATAGATGAAACGTTTTTACCAAGAGCGGGTTGAAATGGTTTAGGTGGAACATTTGGGAGTGATGCCCCTACCTGTATTGGTTTTGCAAATGAGAAGGGTGGCTTTCCTGAGTTTAGTTCTGAGTTAGAAGGTATTGGGACAGGTGCAGCATTGGGAAGGCCGTGAGGGGCCATAGGCGGTAATCTTGTGTGTATTGAACCACTCGACTCGCTAGGGTGCAGTCCACCATTTTCCAGATTTGAAGTCATTTGCAGATATTCAGAACCAGAAGGATTACAACTTGACGAATTTTTACCACTATAAATATCCCTTATTGGAATGGGCATATTTTGCATATGACAAATCTCAGCCAATGTTTGATATATGTTTGGCCGCTGCCATGGATTTTGTTGGAGTAAAGCAGATATTAAACGTTTTAAGCGAGTAGAATAGGAAGGCAAAGGAGGGAACATGTAGTTCACGTTTAAAATAGCAAGAGGACCTTGCTGTTCGAAAGGAGTCGTATAATAGCACAATTTGTAAAATAAAATACCTAAAGCCCATATATCTATAAAAAGCATTAGATAATCTTGCAATATAATTTCAAAGTTTGTACTTACCACTTTTTTCATCAATTCCAAATCCTCGACGCAAATCAAGCATTTCAGGACATCGATATTGCCAGGTTGTATATTTCTCAACATTATACTCGACTTGCCGAATTTCAGTAGCTGTTTTAGGGCTCGAAATCGGATGACAAGCACTACCAAAATCGCAAAGTTTATAGGAGTTTGGAGCTGCTAGCAAAACATTTTCGATTTTTAGATCTCTGTGTATTAATGGAGGACGAAGATAATGCATTGAAGCCACAGCTTCGGTGACATGAGAAGCAATTTTCAATATTTCTGACTCAGTCAATCGAATTTGCAGCCTACTATTCATGAAGTCAATTAAGCCTCCTCCAGAGCAGTACTCTAATAATACAAGAGACTCATACTGGCTCTTTCCGACGGAGAAAAATTCAGACCCGTAGTAAGAAACGCATCGTTTATGATTCGAAACCAGTTTCTAGTCAGGGAGGGATTAGTTTTCATTTACTGCTTATAATGATATTACCATTGTATTGACTTCTTCATAAACAGCCTTAAAAGCAAGAGCATCCGTAGCAAATATGCGTTTTAGCACAGCTTCCAAAGTAGCCTTACCAGGCGCATACATTTTTACGAGATAAACATGAGAGAAGCCACCTAATCATGATGGTTAGAAGCAAAAATCCCGTATTGAATGAAGCAATTACCTTCAGCGATGTATCGTACTATAGTAACATCGAACTTTTCCACTCGAAACTTATAGCCGGGAGGTAATAAGCCTGCTGGAAGAGGCGTCTTAGGGAGTAAAGAAGGATCCCGGGATGGATTCATCGTAAAACCTGACAACAACGGGCTTTTCTTTTCTACCAGCCAGTTCGTGGTTCGTGGAAGGAGAAATTCATTGCTTAAGCAGCAAGCATTAGGGAGGAAGCCACAAGCCTTGCTCTTCTACAAAATAAACTATTTTCAAAATTATTTTTATTAAAAAAAGGATGTTTTCGTGAGTCCCATGATAAGCAAATGTCGACTACAAAATGATTACTAGAGAGGCTTTTCTTGTGGAGATACTGAATGATCTTTATTCTGCTTGAAAAGAAAGGTCTTACTGGTAACTTCCTTGAGTCTTTGCTAGGTTTGACTTCCCTTTGCATCAATTGAATGCCCCTGGAAATATTTTCATTACAGTCAACGATGGCTCATTCACGTTTGATAAATGTAAAAAGAAGTCGGGAAGAATGCACTCCTTCGTCAAGTCAGAGCATAGACTTCTTTGTAGGACCCATGGAGGTCCTACTTTGGTGACATTGAAGCCATAGCTTACATATCATGAATCCGACATATGAAGCTCCAGTAACAATTATTCATAAAACCTAGATGCGCTTCTACTCACCATGGTATGCTTTGCTTTAACTTGTGCTCCATCTATTTTCAATGACCCAATTCTTTTGATAGGAAAGGCCTCCCATAGATTGTTTACATTCTGCAGAGTTTCATATTTTTCATAGTGGGACAGGAGATATCTTTTCCAAACCAATTCTTTTCTTCTTCTTTCCTTAGGTCTTTTCAAATTTCACAGTAATCGATTCAGTTGACGAATTCCCTTGAGAATACACATAAATGGTGATTTTAGACAATATTGAGCACAAGAATCTCTTTCCATTTTCATTTACTTCAATATTATTATATAGCTTATATAACTTTGAATATGGTGTTTTTCAGAGTTTACCCTCTTATGACCTTTGGCTTCACTACTGCAAGACTCTATAGAAAAGTTATTATTCTTTAATTCAGGTTTTAAGCTTCATTTTTTCTCCTTTTAAACGTTTATCCAAGCGTAAAAAGCTATCATTCACCGTTAAGAAGTTAATTTTGGCTGAAGAAAGGACAGGTCTCTTTCCTCCTTTACTCATATGTCCAATGTCGTTGAAATCTTAGTAGAATGAAATTTGGAAAGTAAATAAACTGAATTCATATGAAACAGCTATTAACAACAACAGGGTTATTGAAAACGAATTAGTAGAAGGTAAAGTGCTTATTGGCAATGATGGTTCAATTCGAAACTAACAAACTAAGAATGGGCATCTACTTATTTTGATTATAAAAAAGGAAAAAAGATAATCGGGTCGATTCTGAAAAACCCCGGTGAAGGATTGCCTGCAAAGCCGAGTGGTCTATCTGCAGATAGCACCGATTTTTATGAAAAGACAATCCAAAGGTAGTGTTTTATAGATTTTTATACTTTCTTGTTTGCTAATGGGATTTGCAGGCTTGGTGAGAACACTATATTTTGCTTATACCAGAGTCCATTCTAATCATGCTTAGCGGCTGACTTTAAGTTTCATCCCATTTTTCAAGAATTTCTTGATCAACAGTTAGCGAAAATTCAAAGTTTCTACGAATCCTTGACAAATGAGGCTCGAGAACGCTTAGACCTGATTTACGATCAAATCCATATTTACCAAAAGCTAAAAAACAGCAAGAAAGAGAACGAAAACGAGAATGAGAACGAAACAAATGTAATAGTACAGAAATATCAGTCAAGTCTTCGGCAGTATTTGGAACCTCTTCGGAGATTCTCTAGATTTCAGCCAGTCTTTCATATTCCTGCTCGAAAGGGAGTACCGACAGATGCATATACTCCTGGTGTGAGCTATCGTAAATTGAAGGCTAAACTAAAAATGGTAAGCTTTTTTATAATAAAAAAGCAGAATTTTCTAACACTGTAGGTACTTCTGGATTTTTACGATTATTTAAAACTGATTATACAGTACCAAAGCTTGAATGAACAAGCTTTTCGAAAGATTGTAAAAAAGTATGATAAGATTTTTCATACAGATTTACAAACAAGATGGATGAAATACCTTTCCAATTTTTCTTTTTCAAATACCTCTGTAACCGAGCAATGGCAAAGTAAGATTGAAGACACATATGCCAATCTTTTCTCAAAGGGAGACAGAAAGATTGCTGTTGAACAACTAAGATCTTTACGTCAAAAACAGGTACGACATAGGCGTGGAAATCTAATATAAATTCAGCATGTATACTAAACTTTTTCAGGATTACTCATTTAATACGATGCGATTCGGAATCCTTTATGGAGCAGGAATTCCTTTAGCTATAGAAGCAGTTTGTTATTACAAAGGTGATGAACAGCATCAGTATCTTCTTCAATTATGGGGTGGATTTTTATTACTTATCTTAAGTTTTGTTTTGTTTTCATTAGATTGTTATTATTGGGAGAAAACCAGAGTTAACTATATCCTAATTTTCGAATTTAATCAGAGAGAAACTTTAAATTGGAGGCAGCATATGGAGATTTACTCGCTCCTGTTTTTTATTTATGCACTTTTCTTTTGGCTTTGCATGCGAGATTTTTTTTCCAGGATTTACGAATTATTTTCCGGCTCTTTATTTAGGGGTGGCAGGCGTGATTTGCATTTTTCCTCGGTTTGTTCCGTATTGGCGGACAAGAAAATATTTCTTTACTCAGTTTATTCGGGTCTTGTTATCTGGGCTTTCTAGTGTCCACTTCCAGGATTTTTTTTTTCGCTGACCAAATGGTAAGTCTGATTTATACAAATGGATGCGTTTCTCTTTTTTTCTGTTTATATAAAAGGCACTGGAATGAACCTTATCTTTGCAATTCATCACATTCCCCTCTTCTTGGGTTTTTTACGGCATTTCCGGCAATTTTACGTACCTTTCAATGCTTTCGAAGATATGCCGACTCCTTGCAGATGTTTCCTCATTTGGTCAACGCTCTCAAGTATATGTTTACAGCTTGTACACAAATGTTATTGAGCTTGTGGAGACGAAATGCTGGTTTAAAGTATCAAATTTGTTATACAGTAGTTGCCGCAATTAATTCTCTCTTTTCATACACTTGGGATATAACCATGGATTGGTCTCTTTTTATCCGCAAAAATCATCGCTGGGAATTTCGTAAGCATCGTTTATTAAAAAATATATGGCCTTATGTTTTAGCGATGATAATCAACTTCGTGATTCGAAACTATTTCATCTTCTACTCTATCTTTCCTAATCATATTCAGCATTCTTCAGGTCTCAGTTTTTTCTTCACGCTTGCCGAAGTTTTTCGACGATGCATGTGGAATGTTTTGCGTGTTGAGAACGAAGAAATTTATAATCGTGTATGTTACTGTCAATAGCTTCGTTATGCAACTACTAACTTTCTTTTATAGGAAAACCTGCGTGCTGCTCGAGAGTTAAAGTTGGATTTCATTAAATCGCCTGCGGATAGATTCCCGCAGCCAGGAATCAGAAGAAGGGAAACTCAGACTAGTGACGGTGACGATGACGATTCCATGGATGAGCAATCGGTAGATCACACCGAAATGAACGAGTCTTACGATCCACGAGCGGAAATGAGACTTGAACATTAAATACTACATCTTCTCTTCCTTTGATATTGTACTTTAGTCTTTGTTTTATTTAACGGAATACCCAATCACGCTTATGAAGATTCCAAGTAATCATCCATGCTAACTGTTTCTAACAGATATCATTCTTGGTTCGAAATCTTACTTATAAAAGTTTATATTAAAAGGATGATACAAAAGAGTCCTACCTGCATCTTCTCTAAAAAAACATACCCAGAAAATTTGCCTACGATGGCACCTACTATGCCGACGATCGAAAAGGTAATTGCCAGTCAGAAATGGTCTTTTCTACTGTGCGCTATAACAGCTACAATTTTTCCTCGTTGAAATAGAAAGCTTTTCGAGTTTCATTTCATTTCATTTCGTTTAGTTGTTTATTTATATTTTTCATCCTAATAAACATTGTCTTGTTTACTAACGTTCGTTTAAGCATTCGCTAAAATATCTTACCGCGATGTAACGATTTGTAATTGATCTTTGATTCCATCTCGATATTGAAATAATTTCTCAGCTCTTGTGAAACCTGCTCAGAACATATACTCATCAAATATTCACAGACAGAAAAATGGTTGTTAAGAAAGTAGGAGTTCTCGGTGCTACTGGTAAGTTCAATTGCTTATGATTGATAGGGTTGGCTGCTGTTTGATCCAAGGCGATTCTCATTCTCGCTATATAAATTGCATAAAATTGCTTGTTACAGCAAGAAAGCACGCCTATAGAGGCAAAAAAGATAATTGTACAAGATGAAAGGAAATTTATGACTTGCTTTCTGTCTGAACCTGTATTTTGAGAAGGAGAATTCGCTAAAAGATTTACCAACTGTCAGAAAGATTCAATTGCTAATTGTTTATAGGTACTGTTGGTCAAAGATTTTTAACCCTCCTTGCTGATCATCCTAATTTCAAGATTGCAGTCCTTGGTGCGTCTGCTCGCTCCGCTGGCAAATTGTACAAAGAGGCAACCAAATGGAAGCAAACCTCGCCTATGCCCAAGATGGTTGCTGACATGACTGTCAAACCCTGCGAAGTTAAAGAATTCACTGAATGTGACATTGTTTTCAGTGGTTTGGACTCTGATTTTGCTGGTGAAATTGAAAAGAATTTCCGTGATGCAAATCTGGCTGTCGTTTCCAATGCCAAGAACTATCGTAGAACTCCAAATGTTCCTTTAGTCGTTCCCACTGTCAACACTGAACATTTGGATGTTCTTAAATCTCAGCGCAGGGAAAACAACTTAGACCATGGTTGCATCATTACCAACTCGAATTGTTCCACTGCAGCAGTCGTCGTGCCTCTTAAGGCTCTTCAAGATGCTTTCGGCCCCATTGATAAGGTATCGGTAGTAAGTATGCAAGCCATTTCTGGTGCTGGCTACCCCGGTGTTTCCAGCCTCGATATGTTGGATAATGTTGTTCCCTATATCAGTGGTGAGGAAGACAAGATTGAATGGGAAACCCGTAAAATTTTAGGTGGTGTTAATGAAAGCGTCTCTGCTTTTGAATTAACGGACACTGTTGTCTCTGCTCAGTGTAACCGTGTGCCTGTTATAGATGGTCACTTGATGTGCATCTCTGTCAAATTTGCTAACGCCACTCCTTCTGTTTCTGATGTCCATAAGGCTCTTAATGAGTATGTGTCTGAAGCTCAAAAGCTTGACTGCCATAGCGCTCCTAAGCAAGCTATTGTTGTCTTTGATGACTCTTGTCCTGATCGTCCTCAACCCCGTTTAGATCGTGAAAACCAGCAAGGATACGCTGTCTCCGTTGGTCGCATCCGTTCTGATTCTATTTTTGACGTCAAGTTTGTCTCTCTTGTTCACAACACTGTATTAGGTGCTGCCGGTGCTGGTATTTTGAATGCCGAAGTAGCTGTCAAGAAGGGTCTTTTGTAAAATGATTTACATCCCTTTTGTTCTTAGATGCATTCATTCTTTCGTTTAATTATTCTTTGTCTTTTTGGTACCTTTTTTTATTAGAAAAGGTGTGAGTGTTTTCACTGCTTTAGTTCTTTTGATTCCCGTCTTGTTTTTCAGGTTTTTATAAAAAAAAATAGCGTTGAATGAATTATGTAGATATCGATTAGCAATGATAAATAACTTCAAATAGAAGTCTTAAAATAATTAAATAGAGAAGCAGTCGATTACTGAGTAAATTGAAAAGGCAAACCTACCGATTTCAATTTTATTTAGGTATGCTTCTCAAGAGTAAGGATGTGATATAGCGTATCCCAGTGTATCATAGTTAACTTTAATGAGACTCTTCGTAATTTGGCGTATGATAAAGAAGTCCGTTATTTGAAGGAGGGTATGTCCTTACTGAAAAAAATTCAGTTTAGAACCAACACCATTAAAAGAAGAAATGTCGAAAACAAAGCAGCCTACAAGGGCTACGAAGAGTAAGCAAAAAGGTTGTTTTGCACGATTAACGATATTAACGCAATTGATGAATAGAGCAACAGAAGGAGTTAAAAACAACTCTTCACGACAAGAAGGTGGATAATGCTGAGAAGGCAGAGCAAACTCCTTCTCACGGAAGTGTTGAGCAGGAATCTGTAGATGGAGAAAATGAGAACGTAGAAACCTTGAAGGGATTTGAATCTTCTGGGGACGAGGATGAGGAAAGCGATGTGGAAATAGATACTTCGAATGGCGCTTCAAAGCCAATTATGGCATTAGGAGACGAAAAGGAGAAAAAAATAAAAAAAAGGTTTCAGAGAAGAAGGGTTTGAACAAACAGCCAGGTGTTTTATACGTTGGTCGTCTTCCCCATGGATTCCACGAAAAGCAGCTGAAAGGTTATTTCTCTCAATTTGGTACCGTTCTACGTCTCCGTTTATCTCGTAGTAAAAAGGTATGGTTTACGTTGTTTACGTTATATGATAACAAAGTTGGGCACTTGCTAACCATAATAGACTGGCAATAGCAAACACTATGCTTTCATTGAGTTTGAGTCTCTTGATGTGGCCAACGTTGTTGCCGAGACTATGCATAACTACCTCTTATATGGACGATTATTGCAATGCAAAGTGATTCCGGCTGATCAAATTCACGAAGAAATGTTCAAAGGTGCTTCCCAACCTTTCAAACGTATTCCCCGTGCTACCATTGCACGTTTAGAGCATCAGAAACCTTTAACCGGTGAAAAGGTAAAGAAGCTGGTCTCTCGTCATAACCGAAAGTTACAGTTAAAGAAACGAAAGCTCGAACAACTTGGTATTACTCTCGATTCAGATGTAACACAGGCTAAAGCTGACGCTGTCAAAAAGGCTGCTCCTTCTAAGAAGTCTAATAAGAAGAAAAAACAAAACAAACAGGTTTAGGTAAATTAATGTAATCGGGTTTTTTTTGAGGTTTATAATTTTTTGTGCTTTCTCCCTCCCTATAATAGAAATGTGAACTTTTATTCTCTCTTATCTTTGCTTTCTATACATTTATAATTATAACAGTATCTTTTTCATAAAATCATCATTCATTGTAAAATCTATCTTTCCATTGCTTTATTGTTTTTGCAACCGCTTCATAGCTGCCGCTGCTCGTTTTTCACGCTCGATTCTTCGCCGCATTTCTGGATTTAGAGACTTTAGATCATCTTCTTTGCGTAATTGATTAATTCCCAAGGAATGTCCTTTACCAAATTGGGAATCGTAACCTTTCTTCTCTTGTTCTTGAATTTTTTTTATGGCTTCCTGACGTCGTTGTGCCTCTTGTTGTTCACGCTCTTCTTTTTGGCTTTCTAAACGAGCTTTCGCTTTTTGTCTCAGTTTTTCTACCTGGTCTCGTGACTTTGCTGTACCAACTTTGGCCATCTCCCAGTCGTACACATTTTCGCCAAGCTCATGTCGAGCTATTGAAAATTCATCTCGCACTTCTCGATTGCTCGAGCTAATTTCATATGGAGTTTTACCGTTTCCATTTTGTATAGTAGGGTCTGCCCCCTCACGAAGAAGGTTCGCTACTAGCTTTGTGTTTCCTTGAGCAACAGCATAATGTAAAGGGGAAGAAGTATGGATATGAACATTCAAAGGGTGAAATCTGAAATTGATAGATAGACCATTTGCACGAAGATACTTTAAAACTTCTTCTAGATTATCTGCTTTCAAACTAGTAAGCAATGCATCAGTATGCTTTGCCAATATCCTTTTCTCGTTTTCCTGCTTTTCTCGAAGTTCTTGCTCTGCAATTTTTTTTGCTTCATTCTCTTTTTTAAGTTCCTGTTGGTGAGTTTCCAGTGCTTGAGTGTCGATATTACTGATTTTGGGAGTAATTAACTCTTTATAACATCGAAGCAATTCAGAATGTGTAGCACGCTTGGTAGTAAAAGGAAATGTCCTTAATCTATTGTCTTTAGGATCAACTAAAGGATCTGTATGAGAAAAGAATATGGAGCGATTTGATGCACCAATTGCTCGGATAAATATCAAATCACACTTGTCAAGTAGAGATTTCCACTCTTTAAATAGTTGTTGGATATCCCGAATCAATGCTAATTCGTTATATCGACGAAGGCTACTACCAGCTGAATGTATCCCACCTTTCGAATTATCTGCGGCACCTTGGGATCCACCTTGTTTCCTTCTTGTCGTATATCGATGGATAGTCTTTTGGGCCAAGACTTTGGGAATAATAGAAGACTGAGGAGTTTTCGCTGAAGGCTCGTTGGTAGCTATCATTGCTGCGAAATGACCACCACCAAGCATGAACATGGCTACTTGAAATGGTTTCTTTTGATTCTCGGTTTGGACTGCTAAAAGTTGATCTTTTGTAATGGCGGAATCTAATGGAAATAAGTGTCGGTAAATACCAAGGAACAGCGGGTTTGTTGGGTCTTGATTTTTTATTTCAAACCAAACAATTGGTGATTTTTTGTGACCTGTTAATTCTTCGTTTTCTTGCTGAGGGTTCTCTTTGATTCGAAGAGAATTCTGAAATGCCTTTTCCCACTGGGCTTTATTGACTTCTTCCTCGTCTGAGCTATCATCACTTTCTGACCCAGATATGGATTCAGTTAGATTGTCTAAAAATTGCTCAAATTCATCTTGAGAGACAGATGAAAGACCGGCCCCTGTACGTTTCACATTAAAGCGGTGCCAATCTGATCTCACATGTTGCTTTCGATTATCTAAATTACTTAGATCATTGATTCCACATATGGTACATGACAAAACATTTTTTTGGGTAGAATCAGTAATCCGAGATTCTTTCTCATTTTCTGCTTCTTCATTTGCATCAGGTGTCACAATATTAGATGAAAGATCTGGTTTGAGATCGATAGACGAAAGTAAATCGTCTGGAAGGGTGAAAATACTAGACTTTTGGATGTCTTGCATTTCTTCACTGATTAAGTATTGAATCGTATAAATATCGGTTTTTTAGAGTAAAAAGAATAAAAATAAAAGAGAAATACTTGATAAATTCCAATAAATATCAATGCTTGCTAGTTTCGTGGAGTTTGAATAAAATTGACTGTTTGCTATAAAGAAGCGTTATATCAAGTTAGATTTTCCCAGGTCATTATATGTTAACAGAAAAATTTTGAAGAATAAAGAAAACGTAATTTAATAGTGAAAGCGAATTAAACCTTTGCTTGAAATTTTTTGGAATCGAGAAGTTGAATGTAAAGTTTGAACACTTTTACAATGAGTAGCTTTGAACCATGTAAAGACTTGTAATGTTTTGCTTTTTTGGTTTAAGGTTGGTAAGGGATCAGTGTTGTTTGATAAGCCAGAAAGAACAGAAGTAGAACAGTGTTCATTCACAAATTACCTGAGAAAGATATAAAAGAATCATAATCTAGCTTAATCGTCAATAGGAACGTGTTGGAACGATTCATTCAACAAAGGACTTCCACTCAACAAATTGACCAGTAATCTTATCACTTGGGTTCATAGCCAAATAAGTAAGAGCTTTCGCAACGTCATGAGGGGACACCAGCTTGCCGGAAGACTTGAGTTCTTTAAAATAATCATGCATATCTCCCATGGCTGATTTGTTTTGCTCGTCACGAATGATTTCTTGCATGGGAGTGTCAACAACACCGGGGCGTACAGCAACGCTCATTATATCTGGCTCCTCACTTCCAAGACTCGTAACAAGCATGTTGATAGCAGCTTTTGAGGTGCAGTAGGCCGTCCAAGCTGGATAGGGTCGAACAGCGGCCCCAGAAGATACAATGACAATAGAACCTTTTGTTTTGCGTAGATGAGGGATCGCTTGCTTGACCGTCTCGACTACGCTAAAGAAATTGACCTCAAATAAAGTGCGCCATTGATTTACATCTGCATCTTCAATTTTCGAAATGGGATTAACAAGACCGGCGTTTAAAACAATGGCATCAAGACGGCCGAACTTTGAAATAGCCGTTTCTACACTAGACTGAGCTGTCTTTGTAACATCACCCTGCACATGAACGAAGGAATCTGGATGTTGTAGAAGCAAAGCTTCCAATTCTTTTGTCAAACTTCGACTAACAGCAACTACTTTGGATTTGTTTCGAAGAGCCTGAGCAGTTGCGAGCCCAATACCTTTGGAAGCACCAGTCAATAACACAACCTTCTCCGTCATTAGACTCATTATAAAGTTTAAATAAGCTACTTTTTTTTATATATATAATAAGGTATAGTATGTACGTACTTTATCGAATTTAGTAGCTAGGCCGTCAACACAACTAGTGGAGTGTTTGCTTTTGGAAAGACGTAACAGTTCGAAACGTATACATTTGGTTATAAATAGCCTTAAACAAAAGTGCATGGCCACTTCTCATTTTCTTTTTATGATAAAAAATAAAAATAAAAATGAAAGTACATTGATTGCATTGGAAATAGAGAAGCACATTGGAAGAATACTTGGGCAAAAAAGAGAATGATAATCGACGTGAAACAACAAATTGAATTACGTCTCTAACAGTGAGATTGAGTTTTTTTTACTGAAGGTGATTGAGTCAATCAGTAGCAAGTCATTGACGAGTACAACTTGGTGCTTTTGTAAAATTTAAATTCCTCTGACTTGAGGGTTGGATCAAAAAAAAAAAAAACTGTCTTTCAATTACTCTTATGATCTTCCTATCCCATAAATTCGTTACTATAGAACACCCATGGCTTTAGTTGCCATGCAAAGGGAGAAGAGCCCTTCGTTTGACAGAACATAACGAAACAGTATTTCTTGCTCTACCTACCAATTTGATAGTCTTATCCAAGGAACCCTCTCTTGGCTTTACGAACCCAAGGACCCACAATTAATAAGGGTTCCGAAATCAGGAAAACATCTTTGCTTTAAGGTTTTAGGACTCTCATTTCGTTTCCTTTTGCTATGAAACAGGGGAATTCATGTATCTTTGAGGAGTTATTCTTGCAACAGTTTTGCTACAATGAAACGAACTGACTAATTTCTGTCTTTTTAGATAGTACCCTTACAAGTTATGTTCCTCAAGTACAAATCATCGACCTATTACTTCTTCATCTGTTTATTCTTACTGATTTTGTAAAGACATACAATTATTCGCATTTATGAAGCTCGGTGTCCTGTTGGATTTCCTCCTTGGGAAAAACCCATGGATCTTGACAGCATGAACAAGTGAAGCAAGCATCGTTTGTCGAGACTTCACTATGGCCTTTCAAAAGCAAATCTATGGACTACAAAAGCTTTTACAGTTGACAAGCCTTTCTTTTGTTACATTGACTATCATTTGAATGCTGACAATTAAAAGTTCACATCTTGTCTTTACATACATTTTCTCGCTCTAGTGTCTATTCAAAATAAATAACCTACAAGAAGAAATATCTAACACTTAGTGTTAATTATAAGCAAGTCCCGGGTAGCTCAATCGGTTTAGAGCGTCTGACTCTTAAGAAGGTTATCAGAAGGTTGCGAGTTCGAGTCTCGCCTTGGGAGTTCTTTTTGTTCCATCATGGAGCTCATCATGGAGTTTGAAAAAAAAAGGATTTTTAAATATAAAAGGGTTTTTGAAATCGAGTTTGTGTAAACGCCTTTTAATTTCGAGGATTGATTTGATTTTTAAAAGTGTTTAGTATTATGGTCTGTACTCATTATGTTTAAAAACCATATGTTGAGTTTAGAGATGTAGAATTGCAACTTTTGCTTTTTCTGATTCTTCTCTTGGTTTTGTTTACTGTAACTTCGCCAGTAGAATGTCGGTCAAAGCAATAGTAATAAAAAAAAACGCAATAGGAATCTAAACTCTTTTTAACTTCTTACTGCGTGACCAAAAAAAAAAAATAAATAAATAAAAACGAAACATTTCTCATCATTATTTCTAATTTTGCCAACCTGGTTTTTCCAATTTCTCTTCCTATTTATCTTTGCAGGAGCATCAGAATCGCCCTATGAGTGCTGACCATTTTCTATTTCACTGTCAGTTTTTTCCTGGCTATATCTTAAGTATACTTTCCATGAGAACCTGTAAAGATACTTCTTACCAGTGAAATCCCTCCTTACGATATAGGAACAAGCATACGGAAGTAGAGTCAGAGAAAGACAGAGTGAGTATATGGATATGAACACTTTAGGAAATGAAATGTATTCTTCCTAATCGACCGATTGCAAAAACGAAAAAATTAGATTCATAAACTGTTTCGATTGTCTTGTTTCAATTGATTATTCTTAGCTACAACGTAGTCAGCCGTGTTTGTTTATCAATGCTATACGTTATTTTACCGTAAAGGCTTTGAAAAAAATAAAAGAAACCAAGCATCTTTATGAAGACAAGACGATTGAATATACTATAATATAAAAAATCAATTGTATGGGTTTCTTCGTTTAAAGTGTTCCTTTTTCAAGATCTTTTCAATTATGACTAATCAGTATTGTAATAATTACTAATTATGACTAATCAATATAAATGTGAATTTAGGTCAAGCGTAAATTGTCTTTAGCACATTTCCTGAATCATCGCGTTTTACTATTGTACAATGGCTTCCTGCTGCCCTACTAACATTGGTGCTGTTCCTCCTAGCGGAAAGTACACTTTTCAAGGTAAAGAAATAAATTTTGGAGGTTTAAACACCTATGCCGTTGGCAGCATTTCCAACAAAAAGGTCATTCTTTCCGTTTTGGACGTTTTTGGACTTTCTGAGCAAATCAAAATTGGCGCTGACAAGCTAGCCCAGGCTGGCTTCACTGTTTATTTGCCTGACTTTTTCAAAGGTTCTCCTTTGCCTGTAGAATCTTACCCTCCTATTACTTCCGAGCAAAAAAAAGTTTGTAGCGAGTTTTTTTCAACTCGTGTCTCTCCTGCGGATCATTTGCCCAATCTAGAAAAGGTTTTGGATGCTATCAAGAGCACCCATGGTAACGATGTCCAAATTGGAGCACTTGGCTACTGCTGGGGTGCTAAGCTTTTAGTTACCTATCCTCACACTTCTGAATTTGTTAATATTGCTTGTTGTCACGCAGCATTCATTGACCCTGCTGATGCCAGGAATGTTCACGTACCAGTTTTTTTCTTATCTTCTAAAGATGAGGATGCCAACATCATTGATGGTTTCGAAGAAGAATTCAAGAACAATCCTGCCTATAAACAATCTTCTTTCCAAACTTATCATGATATGCATCATGGCTTTATGTCCGGTCGTGCTGACCTTTCTAACGAAAACAATAAAAAGCGTTATGATGAGGGCTATGAAAAGTTGATCGCCTTTTTCCAATTTTTGATGAAATAAAAATGTTTACTGTATCAATCATGGTTTGGGAGTATAAATATATATATATATATTTATATATATTTGTGATACGTTTTATCTTTCCTTTTCTTTTGGTCTCTCATTCTGAACCTATATGTAACTTATAGAAATTGGTTTTGTATGTTACTACTGATTTCTTTTCGATTTTCGTGTTTTGTAGATTTTGTTTTGATCTGCAATAGTCATCGATCTCTAATGCTGCCAAGGAAAGGATTCGATGGTTTGCTTACATTCATTTTTAAAAAAGAAAAACATGGAAAATCCGAATATTCGTACTCTTCTCTGTTTTGTATAGAGACGGATGATGGGATAATATGAAAACGTTCAAGTTTTCTTCATAAAGCCTTAGGAACGAATGTCTTTTCACCCTTGCAGACAAATCAAGTATGAATTATTCGGTTCTTTTATTATATTTTATAAACAAATCAAACCAACCTTCATGAATTTTTTCAGTAAAAGGAAGTTGAATCGTTGCACTTGTAAATTCCAAATGAATCTTTTTTACCTTCATATATGAATATACTACTCCTTGTTGAATGAAACAATTCCTTTCTGTAATTTGATTTCTCTACCACAATATAAGCAATGAAACTGTCCTGTCAATAAATTTTGTGCAAAGCCAGTTTTCTCTCAATAAAAGGTTATAAAGGACAAAGCAAGAAAGATTAGTAAAAGGTCTTTTTTATTAAACGTCTAATTTCATAAAATAATTTGGTTACGCTCTCGCTTGCTGGTTTTCTTGACTATCTTCTCTTATTATGGAGAAACCTTAGCTAAGATAAGAAGCAGGAATTCATTAGAGTACACAATTTACGGTGAATCAAAGGTGTGCCGTACCGAGTGTAACAATTTAGCCTATTCGTAGAGATTCATTTTCTAACCACTAACTACCTCATCTCTGCGGACTTGAAGCATCTAAACAAGAACAACCCGATTTTTTGTGGTTGTTGGTTTTTTTTGGACAAAAGAAAGCATCTATAATACTTTTACAGTATATTGAGAAAATTTATCTTTATTTTGCGCGAGATTTGGATTCATAGTCAAACGATACTCTCTTGGTTTTTCCTCTTTCAACATACAGTATCATTTCAGTTTCCTTCTTACTTTATAACCTACTTTTTTATTCAACTCTCTTTCGTTGGTTGCCGCTGAACTGACTTGTTTCTGTTTATTATATAAAAATTTAGATTGTTTCTGTCATGTCTACCGCTACACTCTACACGGCTTTGCGTGGAGATGCTCACGCCAGGGCTTTGGTCGCTCCTTCGGTTTCGGCAGAATTGTCTTACAGTGAGCTCCGAGTCGCCATTATGGATCTTCAAAGACAAATAGCCAGTTTAGGTATTAAGGCAAATGATCCTGTAAACATTGCAGTTCCTAATGGTTTGGAATTTGTCGTCAGCTTCTATGCTGTTTCCTGGCAAAGAGCTGTCTGTGGACCGCTTAACTCAAATTACAAGCAATCGGAATTTGAGTTTTATATTGACGACCTAAAGAGCAAGCTTGTTTTGGTCAACAAGGGCTCTATCGAAGCCAATACTCCTGCTGTGCGGGCAGCCAAAAAGCTTTCGGTTACAGTCGCAGAATTTGCTTGGTGTCCCGAATCCCGTCTAGTGAAGATTGTTCGTGTTGAAGGGTCTAAGTCTTCTTCACCTCAGCCCCTTGCTCTTCCTCATCCTGACGATATCACACTTGTTTTGCACACTAGTGGTACTACAGGACGTCCCAAAGTAGTTCCTTTAACCCATCGAAACCTCTGCCGAAGCATTCAAAACATCAGTGCTTCTTACCGCCTTTCTTCACGTGATACTTCATACGTGGTAATGCCTCTCTTCCATGTCCATGGTCTCCTGTGTGGACTTCTTTCTACACTTGCATCTGGTGGCTCTGCCGTCGTCCCTCCTCGCTTTTCTGCTCAAACATTCTGGAAAGAGTTTGGTCAATATGGGGCAACATGGTACACTGCCGTACCAACAATTCACCAAATTTTGTTGCGCACTCCTCTTCCCAACCCACTTCCTCATATTCGCTTTATTCGTTCATGCTCTTCTCCTTTGGCCCCTCCTGTTTTGCGAAAACTTGAGAATGCCTTCAAAGCGCCCGTTCTTGAGGCGTACGCCATGACGGAAGCTTCCCATCAAATGACCACGAATCCACTTCCTCCCCTTAACCACAAACCCAAGTCCGTTGGTGTGCCATTTGGGGTTGAACTAAAGATTCTCGATCCTAAAGGTAAGGAAGTTCCTCAGGGATCTGAGGGAGAGATTTGTGTCCGTGGATCAAATGTGACTAAGGGATACCTTAACAACCCAGAAGCAAACAAGTCTTCTTTTACCGAAGAAAACTTCTTCCGTACTGGTGATGAAGGTAAAGTTGATGAGGAAGGCTTCGTTTTCATTACAGGTCGTATTAAGGAACTTGTCAATCGTGGAGGTGAAAAGATTTCTCCAGCTGAGATTGATGCTGTCTTGATGCAGCATCCTAGTGTTGCTGAAGCCGTTTGCTTTGCTGTCCCTGATGAAAAATACGGACAAGATATTCAAAGCGCCATCCATACGGCATCTGGTAAGTCGGTTACCGTCAAGGAACTACAAAACTTTTTGGTTCAAAAGATCGCTGAATTTAAGGTTCCCAAAAAGTTTTACTTTACAGATCAGATCCCCAAGACTGCCACAGGAAAAGTGCAAAGACGCCTTGTTGCTGATGCCTTTTTCTTTCACCCCAAGGCCAAGATGTAATGCTTTTACTTTAATAAGTGTGATTTTCGTGTATATAAGAATGATCAAATTTTGTTTTTTTTTACCGTCTCACTTCAGTTTTATGATACTTCTTCTCTAACTATATTAATTGAAATAGTATTAAAGTGTTCAATCCACAATTTTTTTTTTTTATATATGTAGAGACCCTTTTTCGTCGTTTTCATCACTGAGGAGAACTTCCTCACCACAATCACCTCTGAAAAGGTGTTGAAACAAATATAGGTCGCCTTCAGTAAAATTTTACTATTCGTGTTTTACTATTATTATTATTATTATGGGAGAAATAGAAACAAAAAAGGACGAGAATGCAAAGCGACCTATTGAGAATGTAAATTTTTCAGAAGATGAAGAGTCGATGAAGCAACATGCTAAAAAGGCCATAATAGATCCTGTGGAACCAGAAGAAAAGTCAGAAAGTAATCATGAATGCGAAAATTTGAAGGAAGAGTCCAATGAAGAGGAAACACCTCGTTCTTCTCCAGTTTCTGATACCGATGAAGATGAAACCCCTACTGAAGTGAAATTCCAACAACAATATTCCCAATTTAATTATCCCATCAATGAACCGCCGAATGATAGACCCGTGCGTGTTTATGCAGATGGTGTATTTGACTTATTTCACATTGGCCATATGAGACAATTGGAGCAAGCAAAAAAAGTTTTTCCCAACGTTCACCTGATTGTTGGACTTCCCAACGATATGCTAACTCATCGACTAAAGGGTTTAACCGTTATGAATGACAAAGAACGAGCCGAAGCACTTCGCCATTGCAAATGGGTAGATGAGGTCGTAGAAAGCGCTCCTTGGGTGATTACACCAGAATTTTTGGAAGAACATGAAATTGACTTTGTCGCTCATGATGATATTCCTTACGCATCTGATGATAGTGGTGATATCTACCTTCCCGTTAAAAAAGTAGGCAAGTTCATACCTACTAAACGTACGGAGGGTGTTTCCACCTCTGATTTAATTACACGAATTATTCGTGATTACGATCAATATGTTATGCGTAACCTAGCAAGAGGAGTTGATAGAAAGGTTTTGAATGTGTCTCTGTTCAAAAAGAATGAGCTGGACTTTCGCCATCATATCAAGATGCTACGTGACACAATTCGTAACCACTGGGTATCTACTAGTCGTGATTTAAAGGCAGACATAAAATCTTTCCTTTCAATGGCTACTACTGATTACCAATTGCAATATACCCCTTTGCATGGCTCAAGCGCACCGCCTAGCCCTGGCCCTGGAAATCACCAAAATAGCTTTTTGGGCGGCCTAAATCGCTGGATGCAACGTCGCTCAAGTAGCCAATATGATTTGCGTTTGGAAGCCGATTTGTCTAATCCATCTAGTCAAAATGATGATACTGTAACTATTAAACACAATCAGTAAAGCTTTGGCCTTCTCTAGTGATTGATGGCTCGACCATTCCTTAATACATTTAAAAAATCTATTAGACGATTAAGACTTACCTTTACCTTTATCTTTCATTACTATTACTATATGTTAATATGGAATGTGGCGGCAGTATGGGTTTGACCTGTAATCATGCAACTTTACTGTTCATGAAATCCTGTCCTACTATTCCCAGTTGTCTGAACTGTATAACGATTGTTTGAATTCATGCTAATACTATCATTTATGAGACATTCCATAATCTGCTTACGTTTTATATGGCCGCCGGATATTAAACCTTATGCATTCTAGTGACCTTAAGTCTCACTTAATACCTTACTATTGGCTTTACCTCTCATTCACGTTTTGTTTAATACAGCAGCTCAGTTGACCAGCGGTTGTTGTTTTTTTGTGTAGTTTTGGAGGGTTTTTTCCGCCTTTGAATTTACAGCTTTGATGTTAAAAGTTCATTTTCTCTCCTTCTAATTGTAGGGTCTGTCAGGAGAGTGTCTCTTAAGTAGTATCCTTGGGGGTGACTTTAGTCTCTTGTAACATTTAGTTACATTTAATTTTAATAATTATAGTCTTTTACCAATTTCTCTCTAATTTTTTACTCAAAAATATAAAAAGAAACGTAATAAATTAGACCTCTTAATTTACGATCTTTTCGTCTACCTTTCTCAATTTCAACCAAAACCTATAGATGAACTAACCTTTCAAAAAGGTAAATTTCAGGGACTCTATGAAATAAATACTTTATAAAATTACTCAAACGTTGCATTTATTGGAACCGTGGTCAAAAAGATAAAAAAATTGAAGGGAATTTTACTTTTCATAAATCATCACAATGGCAGGTTTTGGCAACATTGATGAGATGTCAAAAGATGAATTGGCTGGAAAATCATATGAAGCTTTATTATACTTGATGAATAGTAAAAAGAAAAGAAAACCCGAGAAGGTTTCTGAAGGCGACGACTTGCCAAAGCATAAAGAAAAAAAGAACAAAGTCATTGAAAAGTTGGATGAGCCAGACACAAACGAAGAAGAAAATGAAACCAATGAAGAAAAGGAAATAATTGATGCTCTTGTTCGTGAGGGTGTGGATAATCCGAACTCTTTACTTGATGACCAAAAGGAAAATGAATCATCTCAAGACCCTTTTTATCGTCATTTTGATTCTCAAGATATGAAAGTCATTAATGACTCAATTTCTTGCATAAAGGCCATGAAGTTGTCTCAGTCGTCTGAGGAAACAAAACTCGGGATTTCTCAAATTTTTACACCAGATATAGAAGAGAAAGTTTCAAATTATTGCATACCCAAGAGCGATAACGTTTCTGATTTGGGTCTAAAACAGCGAATCTTGGAAGCTTATAAGTCGCATAAACCATCCGGACATTTAACTACTATGCAAACGGAAATTGCCAAACACATGTTTAATTACCAAGATGTGTTTTTCACCAACATGAACATTAAGAGTCATAAACTTATTGTTTCTTTGTATGCTTTGCATGCTCTCAATCATGTTTTCAAGACAAGAGACCGCATCTTAAAGAACAGTGCCAGACTATCTCAAAACCCTGAGTTAGAGTTTCGAGATCAAGGATACACTCGACCAAAGGTATTGGTTCTTTTACCTACAAGAAATAGCTGTTTAGAGTTTATAAATACTCTTATATCTTACTCAGGAGCTGATCAAGTGGCTAATCGTAAGCGCTTTGAGGATGATTTCACAATTGAGAAGGAAGTTATCTCTGAAAAGAAACCCGAAGATTTCCGTTATTTGTTCGCAGGTAATACTGACGATATGTTTCGTATTGGCGTCAAGTTTACAAGGAAAACTATCAAACTGTTTTCTCAATTTTACAACTCTGATATTATTGTTGCTAGTCCATTAGGTTTACGATTGGCAATTGGAAATAAAGGTGATAAGAAACGAGATTTGGATTTTTTGAGCTCTATTGAGGTTTCGATTATTGATCAAGCCGATTCTTTAGACATGCAAAATTGGGAGCATATAGAATGTATTTTTGATGAAATCAATAACTTGCCCAGAGAAGCTCATGATTGTGATTTCAGCCGTGTACGACCATGGTATCTGGATCAACAGGCCAAATATATGCGACAAACTCTTTTGTTTTCTCAATACAATGCTTTGGATATCAACTCGTTTTTTTCTCATTACATGTTGAACGTTGCAGGAAAAGTCAAGTTTCGTACTTTACACCGTGGAGTTTTGAATCAATTAGGTTACAAAATTAAGCAGACCTATGTTCGTGTATCTAGTGACTCTATTATAAAGCTGCCTGATGCTCGTTTCTCCTACTTTGTCAACTCAGTCTTGCCTCAGCTCGTCAAAAGTCCCCAGGGTGGCATTTTAGTATATGTTCCTTCCTACTTTGATTTTGTGAGAATACGAAATCATATGGATGAGGAAGCGGTAAGTTACAGTGCCATTTCTGAATACTCTAGTACATCCGATCTTACTAGAGCTCGTACTTTATTTTATCAGGCAAAGAGTAAGATCATGTTATACACTGAGCGTGCTCATCATTTCCGTCGTTTTGATATCCGTGGAGTAAAGGCTGTTGTTATGTATGCTCCTCCTACAAATCCTCAGTATTATGTGGAGTTAGCTAGAATGCCAATGCGTTCAATTACCGAAGGAAAGTTAGATCAGGATGCTGCAAAATGTAGGATACTTTTTTCAAAATATGATTCCATTAGCCTTGAAGGAATTGTTGGTTTCCAACGGGTTCCTAACATGTGTCATGGAAGACATGAAGTTTTCGAGTTTGTTTAACGATCGAAGGGAAAAAGCATGCTAAAGAAAAGATCTAAAGCTTAGACTGCTGGATCTGAATTGAAATGTCACATTCGCCAGCCCAGAAGATATGTTTGGTCTAGTATAAAGACAATTTTCAAATGTTAGCGAACCGGCTTGATTCGTCGAGTTTCTATAAATTATATAGATTGTATATTACCTAGGTAAAGGAATGGTTCTAGCAATATCAATTAATAAGTGGTGTTCGTATTTTTTAGAAGTTTATAGCATATACTCCTATATAGATCTGTTAAAGATGTCAACTATGAGCTACAAAGGTTTATACATACAGCAGAAAACCTTAACATGTGTATGTAACGAATATATATAGCTAACAAGGTTTTCATGAAGAATAGTGCTTCATCTATGCTCATACAAGTTCAATAATAATAAGATTACACACAATGAAACATGTTTCTTTTGATTGTATATAAGTTTTAATCAAATTGCAAGGCCCTTTACGGCTTAACTCGAAGAGACGAAAACTGAAAATGTGTCGAGCCTTCAGTCATGGTCCGTAATATTCTCTAGATTTTTTCAAGTAACCCAAGTGATTCAGCTTCTATTTAATGAGTTACAGTGACCGTACTTGGTTTCATTCCTGGAAGCAATTTTTGAAAGAAGTCAATTTTATCCTTTGACACTTACAGAGGTCGAAGCCTTTTATTTTTAAAATAGTAAAACATTATTAATAAAATACATTAGGTATATATTTCGTTAGCTTATGGCTTTGACATTCACATTCTTGAGCGCCACTTGCATTCCCTCCCATTGTATTATACCCCAGTATCTGATTTTTTGCATTAGAAGAGAAATTGCAAGCAATTTTTCTAACATGAACTAACCTTACATAAGAAAATCACTAAATAACTGTTTTGGGATGGAATCCTCTAGCATTGCTTAAGTATTTAGAGAGTTGTATAATATACGATTGTACATAGTTGAGGAACAAGTAACTTGATTTTTTGTTGATATTTTAGGGCTTTATTTTTGATTAAATGGACGAAAAGCGTCTATTGAACGACCTTGAAGTTTGCCCTGACAGTGGCATTCTCAAGAAAGCTTTAAGTCATTATAAAGAAGCTGTTGAATCTGAAAAGGAAGGTGATATTGGTACCTCTTTAAACAGGTATCGTTTGGCTCATAAAGTTCACGAGGATGTGGAGGTAATTTATCGTCGATTAGAGCGTTTGGCGTTCCAAAACAAAAAAGAGCAGAGCGACGGGGAACAGAAAAGAGCTTCCGAAGAAGAATCGATTAAGAGCAGTCAAGCAGATCAACTCTCTAAAGATTTAACTCAACCCTCCGTGACACCATCACTCATACCCAAACTTCCAGACGAGGTTTTGCTTCTTATAGTAGAACAATGCTTTGAAAACCTAAATGACTTGTCGTATCTTCCTCTTATAGCTCAAAGCTGTAAACTGTTTGCCAAGGCGTGCCGAGTCGATTCACTTTATCGCCAATTTTGTTATTTCAGTTACCAACAATCCGAGTGGCAGCAAACAAAGGAAGACATAGAAGAAGAATTTTCGTCTGTATATCACCGAAGCTGGAAGGAGATGTATTTAAAAAAACCACGGATTCGGTTTGATGGCTGTTATATTTCGGTATGCAGATATTTTCGACCAGGCGTTAGTGATACCAGTTGGAATCAACCTGTCCATTTAATCTCTTATTATCGTTACCTTCGATTCTATCCAGATGGCACTTGCATGGTTTTTCGAACCAATACGGAACCAAGATACATCGTTAGGAGCTTTGGCCGACACACGTCTGCTTTTTTTACACCCTCTTCTTCGAATCCTACTTTTAGTAATGGTGAAGTCGCTTACATGGCTACATGGTCAATGTCTCCAGCTGGCCAAATTTTGCTTTCACATCCCGTTGGTCGAGCCTATACATACGCGCAAAACTTACAAGTCAAAGGAAGCCGTTTGAAATGGGTCTCCTTTTACTCCGTTGACAATGAAACTTTTGAGACGTGTGATTTCCCTTTAACGCATCATCGAGATTACGTTTTTTCGCGAGTTTACAGTTATAATTCAGAAAAAACAGAGCTATAGTTTAGAAATATATGTGAAATGTTGACTATTCAAGAATAACCGTAAGTGAATGCGCAAAAACAATAGAAATGAAGATAAACCTTTTATTACTTTTACTTGTAGCTACTCGATGCCGATTCAAATTAAATTATGATCAATAGATTTAAATAATATAATAGTCGTACTAAATTAGACGGGCATAAATGAAATAGAATAAAATAAAAAATAAATCAAACGTCTTTTGATCAAAAGCGGAAAAAATAAATACATTAATAAATTCATTAAAAACCAAAAACCCGCAAAATATTCATATCATTAAGAATCGTCTGTAACTCTGTCATAAAAAGGAACAAACAACTCTAGCTCGAGTTCATACTATTAATCGAAGATTGTAGAGCTAGAGTTGCTGGTGTAAAATAATTAAATAAATTAACAGTTCATATAGAAACAACGTAAAGACTTCGTACATATAATACCCGTACCAGTAATCGAATAAAGGTAAAGATTCAGGAAAATTCATCGTTGAAGCGGTTTAAACCATTTCCTCTGGGGGCAAATAAACTGGAGGAGGAGACCGAGGTCTTTCGTGCCTATTTCTGCTAGTGGTTTCTTCTTGTCCTCTTGGACTCTGCGTATGATCCGACGTCTCCGAAACATTCTCTCGGATAGCCGCTGTGTATGGAGGAGGAACTTCATCAGGTTGGTCTTCAGTAACGGTTGTCGTTGTCCTGGTCTGTGGATGGCGGTATGTGGCATAATAATGTACAGAAGGCGGAGCAGGAAACCCAGGGACAGTATCTGTCTGTAATGGAGAACCCGGCGAACGATTCGGCATATTGCCAGTTTCGGTGGCTCTACCACGTGGAGTGGGTTTGGCTTGCCCAGCAGCTTTTTGTCGACGTTTTAGGAAATAGCTATGAATCATCGTAACAATAGTTACTACGAGCGCTACAAGAGCAAATCCAGCAAAAACAAAGAAAAACATTATAAATTGAAGTGTATATGTATACAAATGAGCGCTTATGCTGTTTTGCTCGCTTTTTTGTTATGATGAAGTGAGAGGCGTTAAGGGTAAACGACAGACTTAGTAATAACATAGCGACGAACTTATCAACAAAGTATGAAAACATAGAAGCCAAACTGAACAAAGTAGAGAAGAGCCATAGTAAGTAAAACAATCGAACGCTTGTGGAATTGAACGCTTACGGAGGACGCACATAGATGTTCTTTGACGTAAACGAGCAGGTAATTCATACAAGCATATAATCTTCCATTTAGATTTCAATCTTTGTGGCCCAAATTCTCTGAAGAAAGAGTCAGAAGAAAAATGCTTCCCTTCCCTGTCTTTGTCCGTTGGTGTCAACCGTCCATAAGCATTCGTGAAGCACATGTCTTGCGAGTCCACTGATCATTTTTTCCTTCCTCTTAATAAAAAAGACAACGATTCTTTGGAGAGATTTTTGGCTTCTTTCAGGTCCTTTGAAAGCCTTGTCAATTCGTTTCACTATGAAATCTCAAGTTTAAATCGCGTCAAAAAAAAAGGAAACTTATAGGATCCTATTCCATTCACTTGATATATAAAAATGTTACTTTATATGTCTTTGGTTCTGATCAAGTTGCAAAATTCTGCTTCTTTGTTTTAAAAATTGGCTGACGCATGAATCTTGTATACAAAGGAATCGCGCGCGAAGGTCAACTTGCCAACTACCAACATCTTTGCATTGTAGAATTTTTAGAAAAAAGTTGAAGAGAGTTGTTTAGAAGAAAATGATGAGAGTGACAGGACCTGAATCTTGTGAATTCGATAATCCGTCCCTTCCATTAGTAGAATTAGAGCCGTATGCTCGTGTAAATCGTGAATCTACGAAAATCCGTAAACAATATTTGAAGCGAGACTACTCGGGGAGAAGTATTTACCGTAAGACACTTACCTTTTCTTTGAAGAAGAAAGCATAGGAGTAGTTGTGTACTGACCGTGAAATGGTGATTAGAACCGGACTCCAATAATCCGACGCGTTGGAAATATGAAAGGCCTTTAGAAACTATACGTGCATGGAATAATGTTATCGATGGAAAAAAGCCTGACCAAAATATGCATGCAGCACGAATGTCAAATTTGAAACCGAGTCCTTCTTTAAAAGATCGTTATCCAGCTATAACCAAGCAACAAGACCCTTTGACTTCTGCAAAACAGCATTGCTCTGTTAAAAGCATTTCGAGGCCATTGAGCCCGATACTCTCTGTTGCGTCTATTGACAATCATGACTGTTGTCAGAAGACACCGGAGCAGGTGGAAAAGAAACAAGAGGGAAAGCATGCGCCTGCTTCAAGCTCTATTTCTTCTGACATGCTATGTGCAGCAGCAAGCAATGGTTACTTCCGCAAACCGGCTGTTTTAAATCAATCCTTGGTGCCTTTAAACTCGGTCGCACCGCCTCCACATAAGCATGAGTTAAAACATAAGCTGAAACAATTTGTTCAAAATGTTTTAAATTAAGTATCTAGGAATTTTTGCTGTAGAAACGAGATATTTATGAAACTGGGATTATTTTTAAACGGAATTTTGATAAACCGCTGCGCTGCACATATGCAAGTTTGTTTTCAAATGGTCTTTCCATTAAACGATGAACTAGACGATATGAATGTTGTTATGATATGTCAAGATACGCTTAAGGTTACAACGCACTGTGATAATGAATAGAAGCAAGCAGTTCAATGAATGTTGCTTGTATTGTAATGAAATTACGATCAATAATATATTTCGAGAAATGTCTTCAATTGTTAGTAGGATGCTGAAATACATTCACAGGACAAAGTCGTTTGGAAACCATTAATTGTTCTATTGTTTACTAGCTCATAATAACAAGATTTCTTGGATTCTAACGATCACATATCTATTTATTCTTTCTTTAATGACTTGTTTTTGTTGGGGCTTGCACTACACTCCAGCATAGATATGCTTGAATCCATAGAATGTTTGGCTAGTGGATTTTTTTGTTTAAATTGGATCATAACTCTGTGATAGCTCACTGAAATAAGGAAGAAAGGAATGCATCTCTCGTTATCAACATCTCGCTGGTGAAACTTTGTTTTAATATATACAACGTTATCCTCTCAATGATTGTGGACATGGCAATCGAATGGTAAAAACTAAAAAATGTTTTAGTACTTTAATATCTCAAAGTTTACTACAGAATGCATTTAATTTGGAATAGTGCTTTGCTTACTTGTCGATAGCAATGCTATATCTTTAAAACTCGCCAATACAAGTAATATTTTGGGTTATAGAGCAGAAGTTCGATAACAAATAGCTCCATAAGAGAATTGACTTAAAAAGAAAGTAATTTCATAATTCAAAAAGCACTGCAGTTAAAACCGACTTATGCTAGTACCAGATGAGTTTATTTACCGTTACTTTTTGAGTAACAGATATGTAAACATAACTTAGTTGTTCGGTTTGTTTATTCCTCTTTTGCAGAAGCGTGAGCGCCATTGGTGAACTATAGATGGTTATACACTATGTGAATATAAAAGGATATTTTTTTGGTGCCTTAGCATTGAAAAGCAGTATTTACTGAGAAATGGGTCACCAATCAACAATTTGCCCGGTTCAATAATTGCAAGCACAAGTCCAGGTCTCCATCTTAGAGAATACCAATATTTATAAAGTTTTAAGTTTGTTTTATTTATTAGCATGTTTCTCTCTTTTCAACTCTTCCATTTTTTACTTTTGCTTTTCAAATACTAACAGCTAATGACTTGCCTTTCTTAAGGATTCTTATTGCACTTCTTTATCGTTCATGATCTTAAATGCTTATACTCGGTTTTGATAACCATAAAGGAACTCGAATAAAACATTACGCACATATTCTCAACGTAACTTACATTCACCTCAAGTATAGGCCTACAATGGGAAGAGACTTTTGGTAAAAACAGAGCAATTAAATGGCGCAAGAGTTTCTAACAATGGTTTTTAGGTCAGCTGAAGCGTACCAAAAAAACGCTGCTTTTGTTCCTAAACTCACTAAGGAGATCGTCCAAAAGCTAGCTTTAACTGCATCGGATGTTGTCCTTGACTTGGGATGCGGTGATGGAGTCTTAACTCGAGATTTGGCATCACAGTGTAAACACATCATTGGGATTGATTCCAGTTCATCAATGATTCAATCCGCAAAGGAAAAAGGATTAGAAGCATATGTGATTCCTGGAGAAAATCTTGCAGGCGCAATTGAATTTCCATCGGAAGGGTTTGACGCCGTCTTTAGTAACGCCGCTCTACATTGGATTTTGCGGAATCCCAACCAAAGAGGTACTGTGTTTCAGGGAATAGCTCGTGTTCTTCGTCCAGGTGGCCGCTTTGTTGCAGAATGCGGAGGTGAGTGATTTTCGATCACGACTCCACATACTAATTAGAGTGTTTTTAGTATTTGGAAATGTTTCAGAAGTAATTACTAGTATCTATACTGTACTATTGGACCACGGCATCCCTAAAGAACAGATCGATGAAGCAAACCCTTGGTATTTTGGCACTGAGCAAGGTAATGATATAACTTTTACTCTTCTATGACTTTTCGTTCATATTAATTTCTGGGTCTTTCAATACTAACTATGAAATAGCATATACGAAAATGCTGAAAGAAGCTGGGTTTGAAATCACCTTCATGGAAAACGTCAGTCGTCCAACTTATTTAGATCGCGACGTTCGCCAATGGCTGGACACATTTGCGCATACCTTTTACGATGCATTTCCTGACTTAAAGGAAACTCTTCGAGAGCGCGTTTATCAAGCCTTGCGATGGGCGAATTGCACAGAAACTGGAGATTGGTACTTACTATATCGTCGTTTACGCTTCGTGGCAGTGAAGAATTAATTGAATTATAGTCTTGCTTCATTTTGACCTACCTGTGAAATCGAATGTTTGAGCATCTGAATTGACAATTGTCGTAACAAACTAGTAGTACGTTTTTTTTATGGAATATATGACTTTTAAAGATAGAAGATAATCCCAATTATGTGGAGATTTGGGTGTCATAAAGATCAGTATCCTAGAACGATTTATCATGAATAAACCTCTTCTGCAAAGTATATGCTTCATATCCATGATATAATCAAATCGTTATATTTAACTTTTGGTATTCTATAAGCACCCGTACCTTTAAGTGTCAAATCCCAGATCCTCTGATTTATTTATTACCATGTGACCTTTTACGATCTACTATTTAAACTCATCTAAAATCTAGGTTACTACGACCCTTTGTATTATTATTCCTATACGTTCTTTTTCAAGTTCTTTTTATTTTTTTTATTATATAGTCCTTACGGGTCTGACTGTCTCAAAATAACTAACATTACAAACTTAAACTTTTGGTGATGAGTATTCAAAATAGAGGCTCTTTAATTGTTATTGAAGGGTTAGATCGCTCAGGAAAATCTACTCAGTGCCAATTATTACTGGAAGATTTGCAAGCAAAAGGCAAAAGGGTCCAGCTCTATAAATTTCCAGGTATATTTCTCTAAAGTTGAATTTTACATGGAAGTTTTTGCTAATATTTAGATCGAACTACTGCTATTGGCAAGAAAATTGACTCATATTTGAAAGAAACTAGTCAGCTTAGCGATCAAGTCATTCACTTACTTTTCTCCGCAAACAGATGGGAAGTTATTGAAGATATCCAATCAAAAATTCAATCAGGAACAACGTGCATTTTAGATCGGTATGCCTTTTCTGGAATTGCTTTCTCTGCAGCCAAAGTATGTTGCCCTACCAAAATTGTACGCCCTATGGAAAACATTGTACTAACTCTCTTAGGGACTCAATTGGGAATGGTGCAAGAGCCCTGATCGTGGTTTACCACGTCCAGATCTAGTTATTTTTTTGCATGTTCGTCCTGAGATTGCTGCAAAACGCGGGCAGTATGGAGAGGAGCGTTACGAAAAAGTAGAAATACAGAAAAAGGTTGAGAAAAACTTTGAACGAATTGAACGCGAATATATGGAAGAAGGCATGGCTTTTATCACCTTGGATGCTTCTACTAGCGTGGAGGCAGTTCATTCTCAAATTATGAATTTAGTAGATAAAATAGATACGTCAAAAGCATTAGACACTCTTTAATAATGTTGTCTTACCTTTGATTATTACTTGGATTTTCATCTTCATCTTCATAGAAAGGACTTTTTATTGGTTTGCTAGGCCTTACAATGCCCATTAAATTGATGTGTTCTTAAAGCGTGGTTTAAATTCAATAATAATTTAAATATCCCAGATTAAAACCGTAAACAACAAACAAGGAGACCTGAATATGAAAACTTCCTAACTTGGACCCGTGTTTAAAAGAGCACTTCTTTTGTATTTCTTTGAATGACGCCTCTGTAGCTTTACATTATCAGTTGCAACGCATATGATATTTGAAATTGGTATGCGAGGGTGTTTGGTATTAGCGATATATGAGAATTGATTGTCCATTGGTAAAGGATCTATTCAGCGGGTTAACCAAAGCATAATAGGACACAACTTACCATGTATTAATATTCTTTTATTCAAAGCCACCGACACCGGTTGCTCGCCCTTAAACGCAATTTGAAGACCATGACTCTTACAAATTTTTATGAGATCCTCATCATAAGGAACAGAAAGAATTCGCGAGAGGTCAGTAAAAGGAATATTAGCATGAGCTGAAAGATATGACTTTTTCATTGCCTTCAACGCACCGGTACGTATAGAAGGAAGAAACAAATCTATTATGCAAGCCATCAAAAAGGTAGTTTTAAAACTTTTAGTAACTTTGAAAAACCTTGTATAGAAATTCGGAGCACCTTCAGTGTTAATAGAAGATATCAAAGACAAATCAATATTTTTTGATTTTTGCTCAGTATGATTATTTCTTTGTGCATAAGAATGAAGGGTCAACGCCGTTCGGACAATTGGCTTTTCTAAAATCTCTGCAGACCACGTTAACGTCTCCATAGATATTGCTGGATCACCTAAGCTTAGCAAAACCATATACGCGCGAAACTCGGGTTCATGCAGACTAACTCGGTTTTTTAACCAATTGTAATCATACAACTGCCCAAGGGTATAGAGAACTAGTGAATTGTTTAGTTAAGTAAAGAAAAGGGTATAGTTTCATACCTTTTGATAATTGCTCAATTTCTTGTTGACAACTAAATGCCGGTTGATCCTTCAGTTCATGCAACGAAACGATGTGAAATCGAGCAATAAGTTCATGACAATGTATTGATTCGTCGGTAAAGGAAGATTGAACAGAAAAATCCTGACGTACAGCGCGAGTCCGATCACGCACAAACGCGTGAGCCTCAGGGAGATGATGTTTTCCCAATATTTCTCGAAAAAGGTATTCAGTTGTTTTTTTCAAAATGGCTGGAGGTCGAACGTCGGAAGGTAAAATGGGACCTTTTCCAGCAGCAGGTCGATGGTATGCTTTGACAGTAAAATTGGGATTAGGCTGTTGTGTTTCTGGATGTCTTTCATATGGATGGATGGACTTTTGAATCGTTCTTTCGGCAACTTCAAATTCTGGACACATTTGAGTACAAGTGCCGACCAAAATAGTGCTTTCTTTCCAATGCTTGGATTGTCGAGCTTCAAATACTTCTTGTTCTTTAATCCTTTTTTTTTGCAAAGCTTGGAATTTCAAATCAGTCCCCGAAGAAAAACGAGCTGATCTTGCAGCCCGACGTTTAACAGAATCCGATCGGTCCATGGGTGGTTTAGGTCGCGATTTTGCTTTTTTCGTAGAAATCATATACAGTTCCTAGGATTAAATGATGTTAGAGATAAATCTTGAAAGAGATTTCGCAACAGAGCACACAGTATCCCCCTTGGAAAACCAAAATTTGAATACTGAACCGGCAGGAAACGGACCTATGGACAGATGACGCGAAAAAGAGAAGGAAATAAATGAAAAGCTTCTTATATGTTTAGAAGACTTTTGCGTCTCGCAAGAAATCCAATGAACATGCTCTTTTACTATCGCTTGTTTTCAGGCCATCAAAATTCAAAAACGTACCTAATTATTTCTAAAAAAAAATTTTCTAGATAACATACAATTATGATAGATGAGAAGACACCACTTATTGTATGAGACAGCCAAGTATGAACTGCGTCAAATAATAGAAGAAGTCTAGGAAAGCGAGTAAATCCAAAAAGAAAAGTTAAAATGAGATTATAAATAATTACCGATGAAAAATACGAAACAATTGAGATGGTTTCAAGTTCTATAGAGAATAGAGCTTGGGAACAGGTGGTATGGATTCAGCTGATGTAGGTGGCTTTTTTTTTTCCTACTGCTCATACGGTCTATAGAAGGAAATAAAAATAAAAATAAATGAAAATGGAAAAGAAAAGAAAAATGTTTGAAAAAAGTATGGGAGAACTCGGTGGTAGGTTCCTTGGTGTCGTATTATCATTAGGCAGAATGAATTGTAAGATCATTCGAAAGGGCTAAGAAGATAAACTTAATAGAAAGAACTTAAAGCATGAAAAACCCGGGCTAGAAAGCAAATTTTCATTGTTTATACGTATGCACGGCAATTCTTCAGCAAGGATTCGCCGAACGATGAACAAAAAGCCTTCAGAAAATAAAAACTGAAGGATGAATCGCATCTAATACGAAAAAGACCAAATGAGTAAGACGTGTTTGCCTGAGTGTTTAGCTGATGCCATCAAAGTTTTTGTCTAAATAATCAACATGCGGCTCTCGTTCTTGGATCGCTTTTTTTCTCTTTCTCCTTAGTTTTTCTTTCAAATTACTACAAGTAATGTTTGAAAACAGAAATTCGAGTCGAAAGATACATACTTTCGGGATCGTAAACAAACCCTCGATTTGGTAGAAAACGTGGATATGACAACGATAAGGATAGTTATAACATTTGTCACCAATTACCAATTGTAAAATGGAAATAAAAAGGTGCTTCCAAATGTTTCTTCAGACTAAAACGGTTCAGGTATGCGAAAAAGCATGCAACCAATACGAACCAGCACTTCCAATCCCAATCTCAAGAAATTACCATAATTTTTGTTTTAGTTAAGAATTCGTCGATTCCTTTTCGCTTGTGTGTAGTTCGCTCTGTCTCTTTTTTTTCTTTCCCTTTTTCATTGAACTGTACTACCCGATGAACAAGCAAACAAATATATAAGCCAAATGGATTTTTCCTTAGAAAGAGGTTACCTACAATACTGGAGTAATACGATGCCATCTCTGTCACATACTCTTGTAGCAGAACAGGATGGTTTCTACCCAGTAAACAAACAATTCATTGAAACAAACGAGAAGCGATTCCAGTCATGAATCAACTAACAAAAGAATCATTGGTTTTGTCTACTCTTTCATCCTGAATTTACCTATCATCAGATTGTGGGTGTTTGTTTTGGGGATTGCTCATCGCTATCAGATTATCTCTTAGTTAACTCCTAGTCGTTTTCTCTCCAGGAACAAAAAAAGAGCTCAATCCACCAACTACCGTTCTTTTTCGTTCTCCTTCTTTTCTCTTTCTCCTCCAAAAATAATCACTCTATAACCCTTACTTCCTGCGAATTTTTTACAGTGCAATAGTCTGCTTCCTCGCTTTCACCTCCTTTCCTTCTCTATTTGTTTCCTTTTCCTCTCTTGTTGCTCTCCACTCGCTTTTCTTACGTTTTTCCCAGAAATCTCACTCTCATCACTCTACGTCAATTTGCACATCTTACTTTTTCAGCCACCCCTTGTTACAAACCGCTTTTCCTATATACTTCGTGGATCTCTTTCAAATTTATTTTTCACTATTCAATTGGCAAGCTTAATGAATTTACCTCCAGCAATGACCTTTTTGCTTTTGTTTATATCATAACGTCATTGTTTCGTTCGCATATTTATTTCGCGGTTCGATTTTCTGTTTTTTAACTTCCGTTTTTCAACTTTATTTCTGTATTCTCTTTCTGTCTGTCCTTCATTTCCTCTTTATTGCCTGTTTTCTACCTTCCTTTTCCTTACCGTACCTTACTTAACGCTACTCTTTCCTAGTTGGTTGCTTCCACCAAGAAGACGTCAACCCTAATTATCTGGTGTTTGCATAAGAATGCACTTTAAAACTACCAACACATTTGTCGTCAGTGTTTTCCTTCCTTATTGTTGATTATTGAGCCATAAATTGCTGAGATCTTTGAAGGTTTGCCGTATTTGTTGGACTTCTGGCAAATTGAAACGCTGAATTTGCTCTTCTTTTACGATTTTCTTTTTCACTCCCGTTTCTTCATCGCTTCTACCTTTTTGCTGATTAGGCTTTCCTCGTGCTTTTTCGTGTTGCTTTTCTGTCGCTTGTTTTTCAAGGACTTAAGCAATCTATTGTAAAAGTATATATATATATCAACACGCATATACATATATTGTATATTTGCGGCATCTTTTTATTCATCTTTGGTGCATGAATAACACAATCATCTGTTTTTTATTTGGAAACTTTACTCAAGCTTTCAGGAATTAGTACATTGGATGTTGCTTATCTAGCAGCGAAACCTCCAAAAGTTCTTATTTACTCTATCTTCCAGTCTACTTTTTTCCAAAGTCAGATTTCGGTTTCTATTTTCCTCTTGTTCTTTTCTCCTTATTTTTGTTGTCTTCTCTTGAATAAATCTCTACAAACGTCTCTTGTCCTTGTCTGTTTTGTGTTTTCAATTTGTTTGTTTTATTTTTTTCCTGTTAATTACTTACTCTTCCCGCAGTCCAAAGCATCTCTGTTTTCTATTTCTTTTTGAGCGGCAGCCTCTTGTTGATTTTAGCTTGTCCTTTTGTTTTTTTTTTTCATTTAGAAATTTTAACCCCCATTTCATAATAGAACGGTTATAGCATTTCCCAGATTGCATCCTTTTTTCTAGCTCTTCCTGCTCAACCCGTGCGTTAATCTACTTTCTATCAAGTCTTTTCCTTTGGATATTCTTGCTTAATACTTGCTGTCTTTTTTTATTTCTATTATTAGTTATCAATGTCTGGAGATAAACCTTTGTCTGGTGGCTTGGGTAGCCAGGGAAGCGTTCCTGAACCTACCGATGCTGAATCCATTTTGAACAGTCGAAATCAATCTAGCACCCCTGTACCTACGCCTTTGCGAAAAGGATTCTCAAAAATAAAAAAAAACATTTTAAGTCGGAAAAACTCTGGTCAAATGGGATCAAGCTCGGTTGATAAGCAAACTCCTCAAGAAACTCGCTACAACCATACGACCGACTCTACGGCTCATGTTCCACAAACTCCTCGTGAATCTCCTCCCAACCAACCCTTAGATACACATCAGCAAACACAGAATCCTGTCGGACCGGTCCCTGTGCATGCTAACCCTTCTGGAAGCTCGCAACACCAAACTGGAATGAAGTCTTTATTTGAAAAGGCTATTCATCCTTCTAGGAGAAAATCATCGCAAAGCCCTTCGAAAGGTATTGGCTCCTTCATTAACCAGCATATTCTTCATAAACACCCTTCCTCTCATCCTTCTTCTCCTGATCAGAAGACGCCCCAACCTTCCCAAGGTATTCAGAAAAGTAGCTCTCATCATTATGTGCAAACAAACACAAAAAACAGAAACAACACTCCTTCGACTGGTCAAGAGGTACCCAAACGTGCCAGCTCGGCCATTCACACGAAACCGTCTAGATCTCCACTTGGCTCCGCAGAAGATACAAACAGGATTTCTCATTCCTCCGAGTTTCCCACACCTTCGAAACCTGTAGATATCCGTGGAAATGGGAGAACCAGGCCATCTACCTCTCGTGCTGGTGGTTTTTTTGACACTCCTCTGCATGCTTCCCCTACCTCCAATGCCTCCCCTGTCGGCACTCCTCGTTCTAATTCTAAGAGCCCCTCTCAATCCTCCGTTACTTCCAACGGTCATCGCCCAGGTCCTGGGAAATCACTCATGCCCCGACAGAGAAACCCTTACGATAATACTTCTTATGAATCTTGGCCTCATTCTCCCGAGTTCGACTGTTTTACTTATGCTGTTAGCGGTAGCCTTAACATGACACCACAAGGGACAGGTTTTGAATGTATTAATCCTGCCAATCCCTTTAGTCCCGGTTACAAGTCAGGGTCTGCTCCTGCAGATTCTGATAATCAAGGTACTGGCATGGGACAAACAAGTCAGGGGTCAAATTATAAGCTCGTAAAACCTGAAAGCATTGAACACGTACCTAGGAAGTTACGATCAAACTATGTGCCACCTTATGCCAAGCGCGTCGTTCCTCGTCTAAGCTCAAAGTATGTTTTACTTGATGAAAACAAAAATATCGGAAGTGGTGCTACTGCAGTTATCCGTTGCGTAACCTTGAAAAACCCGAAAGATAATGAAAAGAAATTAAAATTTGCAATTAAAGCATATCGTCGAAAGGCTGATGATGAATCGGAAAGCTCTTATATTGCAAAATTAACTTCTGAATGGCTTGTGCAATGTAGAATGGAACATCCTAATGTTGTGAAAGCCTATGATCTTTGCCTAGATTCTCATATATTTCCTCTTTATAGTGACACATGGTGTATTTTGATGGATTTTTGTCCCAGAGGTGATTTGCTAAGCTTAATTAGCGATCGTCATGACCGTCTGAACCGAAAAGATTTTGAATGTATGATTAAGCAAATTTTACGAGGAGTCGCTTACATCCATTCTCAAGGAATAGCGCATCGAGATTTAAAGCCTGAAAATATTTTAATTACAAGTAAAGGTGCCCTTCGAATTACTGATTTTGGAGCTTGTGATGTGTTATGTGATCCTGGCAACACAGAAAAGCTTCCTTCTGCATTGTCCCAAAGTAACGGCGTATTTGGAAGTGATCCGTTCATGGCACCTGAAATTTTAACTCCTGGATCTTACAATGCATTCTATGCAGATATGTGGTCGTGCGCCATTATATTACATAACATATACTTCCGCACATATCCTTTCCGAAAAGCCGTTACGACCGATCAGCTTTACAATAAGTATCTAAAGGCTTGGCGCGAGTATAATCTTATATGTGATGTTCAAAATATTAGGGTTTCCAAGACTTTACCATACTTAAAATCTGTTTGCGATTTGCCGGACCCTATGCAGCGTCTTTTCTTTTGTTTAGCTAATCCTGTTCCTGAACAAAGAATGTTGGCTTTGGAGGCTCTAAGTATGGACTACGTACAAAAAATTGAATGCTGCTGTTGTGATGAACACGAGGTAACCACGCATGAGCCTGAACAATGTTTAAAATGGAACGATCCTCCGATGTGCCAAACCTCTTCCTGTCATAATCACTATTAAATACCGTTATACATAAAACTGTAAATATTAGAGTTTATGAGATCTTCATGCTCATACTTTTTTTGTCTTGAAAAATTTGACATGCTTTTTCTTGTTGAATTAGCACGTATTCTATAAAAGAAGGAAAAAAATCACTTGCGGGCCTTTCATGGATCAAGAAGTCTATATTTGTTTTCTAATCGTTTTTTGAAGCCATTGTGATTTTGCACAAGAGAATACTGTTTACCTTTATAGGTAGACTTTGGTCAATATTTTCATTGATTGAGGAAACATACTGAGCAATTTATTGAAAATATCGTTTGCAAATGAGAGGCTTTTAGTATAGCTGGTTCCACGAACTCAATTGGAGCCTAGTAATAACAGTCTGCCTTCTTATCCCTATCAGGAAGAATAGCAGCTCGTCCATAACTAGCTACAATAAAATAATGAAAACGTTTCTTGACTGTTTAAATTAATGTTACGATTATATTGTATATGTGATCATGGGGTTCGAAATGAATTATTGATTTCCTTTTTACAAAAACCAGGTTGACTTGTTACATTATATATGATTTTATAAATTTCTCATCACCAACTATATTTCTTCTTTATATTCTAATATAAAAGTATTCATTTAGTCCATAAATATTAATTTAAACTATATATACAAAAAGAGGAACATATTCGGAGCACTTGGCTGAATTGAAACGTTTTGTAAGAGTTGAACATATTATACAGAAAACTTAAGCGAAACAAAAGGAAAATCAGACAAGGAAGTATCTAGAAAAAAGTATGACATGCCAACTCTGCGTAGTATCAGGTAAAAATGTTGAGATTTAAAAATGGTCTTTGTTGTACTTCATAACATTTCTCGTATCTGCAATCATCTTCTGAAGAACCAGTAATTCTTCAACACGGCCAAGCTTTTTAGGATCGTTTCGAAGAGCAAATTTAAAGTCATCCACTTTTACTTTGTTGCGATTGCCAGCTATGCGAGCCGCTTCAAGACACTGTACATATCTTAGCACTTTGAATAGAATACAGACGCCATTGTTGAGTAACTTACCATTTCATTTATATAATCAACGACAATTTCTTCCAAGACATTTACACTGTCGGCAGCAGGATTTATATCATCTCCAAAAGCATACATAAGAGATTTTACTGCTTATGAGTTAGAAGTTTTTGTCACCTAGAGTACATAATATCGCACCAGAAAGCCGTGAGCTGTGAGGATAACCAATGCGGCTTTAAGCATACACTTTGCATGTAGATAGATACATGAACAATTTTTACTTACAGTCTTTTGTGAATAGATGCTGTCTCCGAGTAGGAGGGCGTCCACGACGAGATTCCATACTCATTTTTAAATATATAATTGAGAGTTCTATTCAGGTCTTTTTTTTTCGTCCTACTTAGAGTGAACAATTAGGATTCAGACGAACTTGCATTTGTGGATATTCTGTACTGTATATATATATTATATATGTCTAAACTCTCATAATTTTCACCTCTATTATAAAATATAAGTATAATTTGTAGTAAATAAATTTCAAAGCGACACTAAATTATGTAAAGCAATTTAATGCGCCAGAAGGAGGGAATGCTTAACCCTTCCATCAGTTGTCGATTCGTTTCCATCATCAACCAACATAAAAGGTGTAGACGTGAGGGTCTGGCTTGACCAGAAAGGATATTTGAAGGGAATTTTTTATTTATTTTAACAATAAAGAACAGAAAGGAATCGCTTAGCTGTTTTGGAAAGTCCAGTCAGAAAATTGAAATTAGAGTAATTAGAGTTTGAGAACTACCTTACTAAAAGAATGACGACTGGTGATGATGCACAGTTCTTTCAAACGTTAGCAGATCAATCAAAGAATCCCAATGAACGCCCTCAATTTCGAAAGTATATTCCAAAGGCATTGAATAAGTTAAGAGACATTTCGCTACATGAAGGTATTTACAAGCAATGTCTGAGATTTTTGGCAAACTCTTGTAGCGAGGAAGATGACAATCGTGCTACATTTTTTAGTGATGGGGGTCTTGACGTGTTGAAGACGTATTGTGCAAAAGCAGATGAAAATTCTGCTCTTGCTTTTGCTGTAATTCATAACTGTATCTTAGATTCAAAAGAATATAGAGCAAGGGTTGCTGAAACCGAAATTCTGCATCTTGCGATTACATACTGGATTGATTGGCAGCCTAAGCTACGTACTCCTTTCATTAACATGCTTTCTGTCATCTGTGAGTTGTTATATCCTTTTTCCAAAGATGCTGCTTTGGTTTTCACCGGGTTACAGGTTCTCCCTTCTATGATCCGAGAAGAAATCGATTCATACTCTATCTTTACGAAAGCGTTTGACAATCCAAGCATTTGTGTGTCGTTTGCAAAGAATCCTGCCATTCTAATTGACTCAATGGAGTTAGTTTTAATGCAACGTGATTTTCCTCAAAAAATTCCTATTTTAAATTTGTTTCCCCGTATCGCTGAACACGATGGTGTCTTTTCTACTGATCTTCATAAAAACGCCTCTTTTCTAGAACTTCTTAAAACCTATTTACTCTCTAATGATTCCCCTCGCATAACGATGGCCGCACTTTTCGTTGGAAATCTTGCCAGAAACGATCATATCTCAAAGGCCTTATTTCGCGAGAATTTTTCTGAAATTCTTGTTGCTTGCATTCTCAAAGAGAAAAAGATTGATGATAATGTTGGTAAAATTTATGCTTGTTCCGCCGCTTTACGACATTTTATGATTCCTCTATCCTCCCGGGCCCATTTTGCTGCTACTTCTTTGCTTCTTCAAGATAAGATGTTGCGTAGCAGCTATTCCCAATTGCATTATCTTTCTGTTTCTATGATTCGTCTTTCTATGCCTTACATTCTTTGTAAATTAGTAAGTGAGCCTGAGCGCTTTGAAAAATTACGCGAATGCACGAAAAGCCCTGATACAAATCTTGCCCTTGAAAGCAACAGGGCTATGTTGGCTTTTATTAAACACGCTTTAATATTGCCGAATTCATGCCCAAAAATTTCCAAATTTTTGCACGATAATATCTCTGTTTTCCAAGACAGCGTTCTGACTACCATCACTATGGTTAACAATTATCCCATAGTTACTGGAGAAGCTGTATTTGTTGCGATTTTAATGATTAAACACGGGTTTGCCGGTTTGTGTGAAACAATTCGTTTGTCTTCGGCTTATGGGATATTACAATCATATTCTAAGGATCCAAAATATGCCCATGAGTTGAAGCAGAATGTTTTGGCTTTGCTCGTCCTGATGGATAAAGACTCCAAAAAGACCGAGTAAATTTACAATTTTCTATACTGTCTCCGTTTTTTATTTAAACTAAAACTAAGTCTTATATAAAAAAAGGTTTTATTTGCCTCTTTGGATTTCCATTGTTTTCTTCTGCATTATTTACTTATTATGTCAAAAATCCTTTCCCATTTTTGGTTTATAAAAAGTTGAAGTGATTGTTCATCATCGCTTTTCCTTTATTATATTTATTTTTTTGATAATTACAAATTATATTCATCATCGTTTACTTCCTAATACTTAATGTTTCCATAGCGGAATGAATAAAGTCTGTCGATTTGTATGTGTTTCACTGTCCAACCTTTTCAGAGCTAGTTTAAGAGCATTCTTTTTTTTTTTTTTTTTTTTTTTTTTTTTTTTTTCCTTATACCTATAAAACAACCAACATTGAAGACTTATAATATTATGTAAATCAGCTTATGCCGTTTTTTTGAGGTTTTCAAGAAGCTTTTTTATCATGGCGTTGCCCACTTTTGTTGCCTCCTCAAATCTAGGTCGGAAATAATCTTGAATTTTTATAAATTGTTTTTTGTAATTTTCAAAGTCACCTTGCTCAACATGTTCAGACCATGATCTTGCGGAAATTACAAACTCCAAATCATCAGGACAGAATTCATTGTGCTTAGTAGCTGTGTAGATGCAGCTGGTCAAAAGGTCGGGATTGCAGAAAACATATTCTGATACGCCAACCCAAAGTCGAAACAATGGAGTTGAGCATATCATATGCTTTTGAGGGTGAATTCCTAATTTCCACCAAGAATCAACAATTGCTAAAATGCTTAGGTGACTATTACCGACGGACTTGTCATTAGGAACATTAGATATACTGTATTGATCCAGAAGCTCATCACTCAACAATAATCCACTCGAGGAGGCAGTAAATTGTTCGCCAAATACAAATTTTCCAGCTGTACGTACTCTACTTTCAAATTCTTGTGCCTTTCCACTTATAGCAAGCTTGAAAAGATCAGTGACTGAAGTCGCGTATTGCTTAATTTGTTTCCTAGCATCAGGGTTAAAAATAGCAAGACCCGCATAAACATGCCATTTACTAGAATAAATTCGCATAGATAAGTTCATTTTTATATTTTCAATACCTCCGCACCAGCGATTTATTTCCCAGGGATATTGATTGTTCGCACGCCATGCCATACCCATTGCGAGAAATGCAGCATGAGTTACAGCCTGAGTATCTGCAGTGATCCGATCGTGCTCTTCGGCTGATAAAAAAACAACTGAAGATTGAAGACAAGAAAGAATTTCTCTTACGATCATGAAGCTTTTATCCTTTGCACGATGGCGAATAATCACTAATGGCTGAGATTGAGGATTTACCCTTGGGCCGTGCATTGAATGACAGGAAATAATTTCGACATCTTTCGGAAGGTACTTTTCAAAAGCTCGAATTTCAGGAGATTTGCAGGACGATTGTCCTCCGACAATGGCACCCACCTTCGTTGCTGGTCCGTACATACCAACGATGCGATCAAGATACTCAGACTCGACGCTATATAGAATATAATCACTCTTCCTTGAAACCTGAAACCCATCTTGCAGGGCATTTATTGTGGTTCCATCGCATTTCTCCTTTACTGCTTCGAAATTTTCCTTCCGATCACACACATTAACACTATGAAACATGAGTATTACGTAGAATCAATTTTTAACATAACGTTTCTTTTTTTTTTACTTACATCCATCCAGCTTGACTGAATCGTTCTGCGTAAAGGCGACCCATATCCCCAAATCCTATAATTCCAATCTGGAATTCCTTTTTTATTTCGTCAAAGCAAATATCCATTGTGCCAATATTTAAATTAATTATTAATCCTTTTATAAACGATTCTCAAATTTCTCTAAATTCGTGTCAACTTTGGGCCTTCACCCTAAGCTGGAAAATATGTTGTGTTGATGTTTCTAATGCCAACTCAATGAAACGCAAGCTATAATAATTGTTACTAATTTAAGCTAATGTCATACAAAACTATAAGAAAAGAAGGAATAAAGTTATAAACAAAATAAAAGAACTTGATTGCTATTTTCCTACTTTTGTTCGTTAGCAAATGTGGCATTGATCAAGCTTATTGAAAGTATGTGATAATTATCACGTATTTAGTGTTCTTGAAACTTGCAATAATGCCTATAAATTGTCTCAATTCATCTATATAAACTTGATCTGGAAATTGATTCAAACCTTTCAATACATCAATAATATCCAGAGACTTTGCTACATTCTGTGTACTGGATTGCTGTATAATTGAAATATATAAACAACAAAAGAGCTATAATAAATGTAATTTTACTTTTTTATTACCTTTTTAAACAAGATTAGAAAACCGACGTTGATAAATCCACCCAAACAAGTAAACACTTTTTAGCCTGTAGAAATAATATAAAGAAAAAGAACGTTTGAATCAACGGTATAAGTATTTTTGAATTATAAGTTATGTCGATTTTCTTCGATAAAATAATAAATAGGCAGCAGACGTTATAGTTTCCTCAGGCTTCACAGGTGAAACTCTCGAGTCATCATAACAGTAAAACTGATTGTCATCTGGGTTACGAGCGAAAGATGTGTAATGCCCACCGCCTAGGCCACCATAATGATTATCAACAGCGCATAGTTCATAAACACACTTTCCATTTTCATCTGCATCTACGAATTTTTGTGATTCCGTATGATTAGACAAGTCAAGGTTGTCAATAGGAAATTCAATCAATTCATCAATCTTATCACGGAATCGTCTCTCACTACTAAAGCGCTTTAAGTGAAAGATTAGGATTTCAGGAGATTTCCATATTCTCATTTCTTTGGATGCTCTACGGAAATCTTTACACTTGGGACAATACCAAGGATCCTCTTCGCCTAGCTGTTCAGTTTTCTCAAATTCATTTAGACAATCGTCAAGGGTTATCGTATGCGAACGATTGTCCTCTTCCTTTGTCTCAGACATAATTCTTTCCATGTCTAACCATAATGAACGACCCATATCAGGAGAACTAGGTGACTCGTTAAACACATGGTGCTGAGAAGCTTCCGGCCACTCACAAACCAAAAGGTCTCCTTGGACAAGAAGATTGGTATTCTTCTGAGTAGTTTTCTCAATCTTTGGAGGGTCAGGATACGAACCAGGAGCGGCCTCGTTGGCTTGGTTTTCACCTTCATCACCATCGAATGGATCAATATTAATCGATGGCTCTACAGTCGCTTGTAAAGATTCCACATCTCGGTCTGTAAGCAGAGGAAGATTTGTAGGATGCATATTCCAACCGGTTGGTATCCGTTCATAACGATCATGGAATACCTTAGTATTAAACAAAGGTGTCTTTCTTTCGTTATCCTTGGAGGATTCATTAGACTTAAGGTCCTTACCTTCATTCAAATTGGAATTCAGAGACTCTAAACATTCGGCATCCTTCAAGGAATCAAGAGTCGTAAATTGACTATATTTTGTTTTAAGTTTTTTCTCAATCTCAGACGCGTTATTAATCTCTGCATCTTTCAATTGGAGGATGAATGGATAACCAAATTCACGATTATCGAGATAGCTGTTTGATGATTTAGGCGAAGGATTTATCGTGTGATAAACCGGCACTATTATTTCATCTGATGCTTCATCCAAAGGCTTCTCCAACTCGTAGAGATAAATTTCGTCCTCTTCTGAAATTTCCATTAAAAGAGATTTAGTGAGAGAGGTAAGGAATCGATAAAACCTTCCTCTATAAGTTTCGGTTACAAGTATTCTCTTATAATTATCACAACCAACTTTGGAAGCGACAAACTGCACGAGATCTCCGATTGTAGCAGATTTGTTTTCGAGAATAACGTCAACAGTAATCGGACGGCGAGTAACATCAGAGGGAATAAAAACAACAGGATGAGACCAAAACTGTTGTAAGGGTAAGGGAAGAGTCAAATCCATGAATGGGTCAAAAGTAATGGAAACAGTCTTGCATTCAGGACAAACCAGGGTGCTTCTGTACATCCCTTGAAACAGGTCAACAATAATAGAATCATTCCTAAGTTTATGCAATCTCCAACATTCATCTGCAGTACTTCGAATCTTTTCTTCATCCAGCTCATATAAATCAGGCTTGGAGGTATATGGCTTTTGATAAATACGATTCAAATCTTCATGTAAACCATCCAACAGAAAAGCTAAGAATTCTTGGGAATCCTGTTGGCCATACCCTAAGAACGAGTGATTAAAGCGACCAATTATGGCTTTGAATTGTCGGGGAGCAAAAGAAGTATGATCAGGATTATACAGAGACTTAACTAAGGATGCAAACGCAGCAGCAATTTGGCCACTCATACCCAAAGGATTTGATTCATTGACTTGATCCTTCCACTCATCCGAAAGGAAAAAGTCACGAAGCTCACGAGTATGAGTGAGACATTGCAACGCAGAATTCATATAGCAAGTATTTCCTAGGTTATTTAAACCGCACGTTCCAAGTACCTTACTTTCCCGGTTTTCCAAGGACACACTTGATTTTTGGTCTCTCTGACGAATCAAAAATTGAAGTCTTAAGGCACGGTCGACAGGCCATGTTTCATTGTACATACATTCAACGACTAATGCACAACTACTATCCATCCCGGACTCGACTAATGTTTTTTCCTTTCCCAAGGATTCTACAATCTCTTTCGAGCTAATCTTTATAAAAGAAGATGGATCAATAGTTCGTTGAAGTGGTAGTTCTGTGTCAACTCTCCAAAGTCGGAAGTTATCACCAGAAATAGACAAAGTGTACTTTACTCCTTCAAATAAGTCATTCAGTGTACTTTTCGAAGAAAGTGTAATCTTTAACGGTTTATGGGTTTCATAAGGATCGCTTTGTAAGCTCAACAAAGTCAACGAAAAATTAGGAGGGTAAACTTCAACTACCAAATGAGGATAATCTTCAGAGCCAAGATTAACAGTTTCCCTAGGGAATTCGTTTCCTTTTAAACCGTACCATTCAGTGAGCAAATCCCATAGTTCCTTTGAAATAATGGTGAAGTCAATTTCTTCTTGCAAGTTGCTTTTCAAGGAACCATCATCTAAATTCATAATATCTTCTTGGTCCAACTCTCCAGGAAATGGCCCCTCTTCAGACAAGTATGAGCATAGCTTCTCATACCAACTGTAAGATAATATATAGAAATCTGTACGGCCTTCCTCTAAATCTGGTTGATTATTTACAAAATCTGCAATTATTTCTTTTTGTTGAGAAATACTAGGGGGATTTTGAGCATTTTCTCCTGACTTCTCAGGTGTTAAAGATTTTTGAAAACCATCATCCATGTTAGAGGAATTTTGGGAATCATCACTTAAAGATCTTGGTCTTTTACCATGATACGAAGAAGTCGAGCTTTCTGATAGAGAATCCATCAAGAACTTTGACTTGATATCTAGAACAATAGAATAACTTACTTGGTTGTGGTTTGGAGCAGCTTTTTGGTTGTCGTGAGGGCTAACGCTTTTTACATAATATGTAATCTAAAATACCAAAACTGAATAAAGTATAGAAATGTGAAAATAATTAAGTCTTTTCTTCAAATATTGGTTTATAAAGTTGGGTAAATTGAAGGTACTTGAAAACTCTACATTAAACCAGGTTAGTATATGAACTGAAGACTACCCTTTTAATTAATCATTATCAAAATATGTGTTGTATCAACAATCATTGTTTGTTACTACTTATCTTTGACCTCAATAATAGTATGATCATTCTTACTGTTACAAGTGGTTTTCATTACATTATAAATGCTTCCAAAACAATTTTAAATATTAAACAATCCTAAAGGATCAATTCCTAAGACCCATATCCGCATGACCCTATTAATTGATCAAAATAAAATGAAGAAAGGAAATAACAAAAAAATGACGAGCCTTTCGTCCTTTACATAAATATTTTATTTAACCCTTCTCATCGAGCGCAAAGGATCATGACGATGTTTTGCGTTCTTCTTTTTCTTAGCAGCCCGACGGTTATTTTGCTTTTTATATGGGACGAACCCAACGTCTTTGTTAACAGCTTGAAGCCCCTTTGGCAAAAGATATTCTGGAACGTGTCGTAAATGCCTTTGAGTGCGGGCTAAACGAACGCTTGCTGCCGTATCGTGAGTCAAGGTCAATAATTCATCAGGATTTTCCGCGAAGTATGATTTCAATTTTTCAGAAGCTAGCATTTCCTGACGCAATTCAGCAGTACGGGCTGTTTGCACAGCTACGGAAGTCACTGATCGAAGAGCATCTTCCATACGGTATCGAAATGCATCAGTTTGTTTTTTATCAAAAGTATAAGGCTTGAGCTCAATGCCTTTTTTGTTCAATCGCCTCAATACGGATTCGTCTTTCTTGCAAGTAACCAGAGTTGTAGGCTTATGCTTTCCAACCTCTGACTTAGGAACAAAGAAAGACATAGCCGTTCCTGGTTTTCCTGCTCTTGCAGTTCTTCCTACACGATGAATGTAAGCTTTGGTGCTTGTGGGCATATCAAAATTGAGAACACAAGAGACATTTTCAAAGTCCAGACCACGAACAACACCATACTCACGATCCTTTTTTACAGCTTTCTTTTTCTTTGTTTTGGTTTTTTTGGCGTCTTGTCCAGAATCTTGATTATTCTGTGAGTCTTCCTCCATTTTTGAGTCCTCTTTCTCATTAGCTCCGTCAGTTGTTTCCTGCTGTTCTTCTTTTTCTTCGTCGATTTCAGCTACTTTATCGCTTTCGTCGGTTGCGATAATGATTTGGTATAGACCCTTATTGTATTGATCAACGATATGCATTCTTGAATTTATTGGCAATTCAGAGTTCAAAACCAAACTTTTCATACCGAACTGCTCAAGGTAAAGCTTAAGACGATAACAACGATTAATTTCGTTTACGAAAACCAAGATTTTTCCTTTGATAAGTCTTAATTTCATCAAAATATATGCAAGCAAAAATTTGTCTTGTTCGGATGTTTTTACAGCATATTGTGTTAGCTGTCCCCCTGCTTCTTTATCTTCAAGTCTTAAAACAACTGGATCACGACAAACTAACTGCCGTAACGAACTAACGCTTTCAGAAAGAGTGGCAGACATTAATAGTGTCTGTACCCCGCGTGGAAGTGCTTTGCTTAAAGTGGACATATCATCCTGATATCCAAAAGAGAGAATCAAATCTGCCTCATCGATAACAAGAAACTTTATCTTGTCGAGCGAAAGAGCTCCTGAGGAAAAATGAACAACAGAACGGCTTGGCGTGGAGATTACAATATCAGGAAAATCAAGGAGTAGAGGACGTTGTACCGAGTCAGCAGCATTTGTAGCAATATTCACAAATTTTATGTGTTTACCACAATAAAGAGTCAGCTTCTCCAAAACTTTAAAAACCTGTTGAGCGAGTTCTCTCGTAGGAACAAGAATTAACGTAAAAATCCCACGATCTTTCTCATCCAACAGCTTCTGCTTCAACAAAAGTTCTAGTATTGGAATTAAATATGCAGCAGTCTTACCAGAACCAGTCTTAGCTTGAACAAGCAAATCTTTTCCATCCAAGGCCAATGGAATTCCCTTCTTTTGTACTTGCGTGGGTTCCTTGAAACCACATTTTTGAATCGCACGTTGGATTCTAGGATCCAAATTAAACTGTGAAAAATCTTGCGACATTTGTATAGTTTTTTCCGAATATTTCGATAAAAACTTAATATTTTAATATAATTAAACGGCTTCCTTCTGCTATAAGTCTCAAAAAAAAAAAAGAGAAAAAATCTGTACCCTCTATTTTTACCGAATACTAGCTTTTCTGAAATTTAAAGTACTTTTTATTTTAGCATAATCTTCTTAGAACTGGATGAAAATGAGATTCAGTTAAAGATTGGTAACCAAATGGTTATTTTTCTAATCGTGCTTGGGATGGTTCTTGGCGCGCGCTTCATGGACTGCCATTCTCAACTTCAGTCCGCATCCACCACTGCTGGGGTCGTCCAATTGATTGCTTTTGGGTCTAATAAAATAAAATCATACTAGTTTTTTTTTCTTGTTTATTAAAAAAAAAATCCTTAAGCAGTGTTGCTAGTCATAAGCTCTCTTCTTGCTTTTCATACAAGAAAGCAAAATTTTGATGAGACTTCACGTTTGAAGTTCATCTTGAATAGGACGCCAACTTTACTTAAAATATAAGATTCATTCTATGGAAGAAAAAAGTGTTTTATCTATTTTTGAAGGCGATTACTCGCATTTGCAGTTCGAATCCTCAGTATTTCGTGAGTGTAGGGAGTTTTTCATTAAAACTCAGTCGAACTCCTGGACAGAGCAAGATGGCCTTTTCCTTCGGTCTTATCAATTTTTAAAACACTCCTTACTGCATCCTACGCTCGATGGTCCTACTCAACTTGCATGTTTTGATGCTACAAGTGTTTGGCTGCGGAGAATTTTTAACGCCTGCAAAGAAGACGATTTATTTAAAAAAACTGTTTGGGAGTCGATAGAACCCTCATTTTGGTCAACCCTTCTTAACTTGCCATCAACACGGACATCTATTCCTGGAGTCACAGGCGTTCAATTAGCTGTAAAAGACTTATTCTCTAAAACATTGCAACTTTATTTGCTTGCTTGTCCAAACGAAGAGCTAAAGAAAAACGCTTTACTCCAACTTTTACAGCAATCTCTAATTTGGGACAGACATGCAAAAGTTGTGTGTACTGCTATTCAAATCCTTGTCAAATATACGGGAGCGGAAGCTGTTTTTTCCTTTCAACCTGACTTCTTGTCACGTTCATTTAAATATTTAAAGGATTACAGTTATGCGCAGGCTATATCTACTACGGTATTTACTGTATTAAACTTGTATTACCAAACTTTATGTGAAAAATACGAAAACAAAGAAGTTGCAGAGAATGAATGGATGAATTTGTGGTGTCCTGAAATTCTTGCTGAGTTTTATGGAGACAATCGCCAGACTCAAAGTGGAATGTCTTCCTTTTTAATCCCATCATTATTAAGTGTTTCTCCTAATATTACTCCGAAATTTCTATCTTCTTTACAGAACTACCCCGACGTTTCAAAGGACGCCAAAGATGCTGCCTGTTTGTTCGCTTTGAAGATAGCAAAGGATGGAAAGCTTATTCAGCATCTCGATCTAAACAATAAGCATTCTTTCCTCCGTAACCTCATATTGCATAAAGATGTTAGAATACAGCTTGCTTGTTTCAATTTAATTGCTCTTTGTCCTAATATATCCATGCCTTTGACCGCTGAAGAATTTGATTGCATAGAATCAAGGATCCAATTCGCGTTTGGAATAGCAGATTCCGATACCAGGCAAATTCTGTTAAAATCAATGCATGACTTTTTCGTAAGGATCCGAGCATCTTGTCATGCTCTCCAAAGGAACATTAGATACAAGCGCAGTTCTTCCATACCTGATGATGCTAAGATTATTGAAAGGTCTCAGAAATTTTTGGAGTACTTTATTTCCATCTGTATTGGATATTTACATCCCACTAGTAATTATCAGCAAGTACTTTCCTCTCTTGGTTTTCTTGAAACATTGGTGACTTTGGGATTAGACGAGTTGGTAGAGGAATCAATGTTGAAAGAAAGGCAGCATACTTTTCCATTTCAAATTAATATTTTAAACAAGGAATTAACCCGAATTCTGATTGATCGATTAATCGATCCCTATGATACTATCCGTGATCTTAGTTTGAATATTTTACTATCCTATAAGGGTTTGCCTGGTTATAACACTTTAGAAGAGTTAAGCTTCTTGTTTAATCACGGTCTTTACTTGCTCAACTCGGTCAGGGTTCATGAGTGTGAAGGTGGTGCAAAGACAATATGTCTTTGCAATCATTTCATGGAAAAATTGCAGCCTGGAAGTACCTACAAAAGCTTAAGAAGAATTTTAGATATTTTACAGAGAAATGTTAAAGCTGCTAGAAAGTCATTACTTCAAGCGGCAATTAGTTATCCGATTCAAGGATACTTGATTCAGTTGTCCTATACATTTTCAACTTCTTCAATTTCAAATTTCTTAAAGACAGATGATACTGAATGGAAGAATTTAATCATTGAGGTATTGTTGTTGTCAGAATCAGTATGGTTACTTGTTAAAGATATTCTTTGTGATGATTCCCCTGAAGGGAATTTACCAAAAGGTCAAGATGATAGTGGTGTAACCGAAAATTTAGAGGATACGCCGGCTCAATTGATACTAAGTTATTCCTGGAGAAGTATTAAGGAAATATCATTTCTATTATCTACGATACTTATAAAATGCAGTTCTTTTTACCCAGACGTATTCAATTTGTCTAATTTGGATCATTATGGGTTCTTGATGATGAGTTGGCTATGGGAGATTAGACATCGAGGAGCCTTCACTAGTGTCTATCCTTCCTTCGTCAGCTTTTGTTCATTCCTCTTTGCTAAAAAAGATGAAAAGTTATGTCAAATGCCGATTCCTTGGTTGCAGAAAAACATAGACGTCGTTCAAGAAAAGTCGTCATTTATTACCCGCAGAAGTGGCGGTATTCCCTTTTCTATTACAGGCATTTTAGTAGCTGGTAAAGATAGAAACAAAGCTTTGTTATCTGAGACTATTTTGACATTGATTAGTTTGGCTAAAGAAAAAATTGATATAGCTGACTCAAATGCTGGAAAGTTTGAACTTCCACAAGTTCATGCGATGAACACCCTTAAAACAATTTTTACGGAACATAGGCTTTCATCTGTGTCATTGGAATATTTGGAACCAGCTATTGCATTAGCTATTGAAGGGTTCTCTCATGAATTATGGCCCATTAGGAATTGTAGTGTAATGCTCTTTACGGCATTAATGAATAGAGCATTTGGCAATAAACGTCCTAAGGGAGCTGTTAATCTTGGAAATACCAAAGGGCTTTCGACTAAAACTTTTTTTAGCAAGTTTCCTTCCTTAAGGCCATATTTGCTAAACGAGCTACAAAATAGTGTCAATACTTTACACTCTAGCAATCAAGCGAGCACCGGTCTATATCCAATCTTAAACTTGTTTTCTCGCTTACAGTTTGCTTACACTTATCCAAACGAGGAGGATTGGGAAGGAGTAGCTGAGTTTGAACCTCTGCTACTCCAGTGTACGGCTAGCAAGATCTGTAAGGTCCGAGAGATTGCGGCATTATCATTAACTTGCATGATTGATAGCTCACGCTTGACGGAGTTTGTTGTTAATCAATTAAAAAACGTTGAGGTTTTAACACAAAACGAGCTACATGGTCGTCTATTGACTGTCCGAGCGATGTTAGCTGGTCTTTTTTTAAACCTCGTAGGAGATTCGAAAAGCCTTTTTTATGACAAGGTATCCTTAACTTTGCTGAGCTGTTTCTCCGAAATTACTTCCAATAAGCGAAGCTTCTATATAAAAAAGCTTTTTTTGGAAATCCTTCAAAATTACTTTATGCTACATACTGATAAGAACGCTAAAAGATTACAGCAATTGCGAAGGATGACAATGGATTATTGCAAGCGTATCCTTTTTGAAAAGAAATCATGGCCTGTTCATGGGTATAATTTTATTGGATTGCCTATTCATCATCAAACGGCTGCGGAAATTTTCTTACAAAATTTGAAAGAATTTTCCGTACACAGCGATACCCACTCAAGTGGATTTCTCGTCTCAAAATTGCTCAGATACGAGTTTTACGAAGTACAAATCGCTACATTAGAGCACATATTGGATCATCCGAGGAAAAAGGTTATTGTCAATAATCCCGAAATAATGCGAGCTTTGGTGGACTTATCTATAGAACAACAGTGGAGTCAGCTTCGTGCACCCGCCCTTGCTTTACTTTCAGATATTTTAGAGGCGAGAAATTATAAATCTATGATGTTGGATTGTACCAATATGATCGCAGTCGTGCAGTCAAACGAAAGCTTGCCAGTACGTGAGAGTCTTTTGATATTCTTGGGTTCATACCTTAAACAGTTGTTCTTGGAGGGCAGTAATGAGTTTATGAGTTACTATGAAAGTTGGATTGATATTCTTCTCAACTTTACAAATGAATACATGGCATTCTCTACTAGAAAGGCAGCTTTAAGTTCGTTGGTTCATTTTGGGATTAGTTTTCCCAGCAGCCTGAATGAAATTAAATTCGAAGGAATTTGTAAATTACCTTTAATACTGGGAGATCTTTTGAATGATGATGATGATGAAATTAGACAAGACGCTGCAGCATACGCTTGTGAAGTTTTACAAGTATCGGATCTCTGCATAAACGAAGTTTGGAGTATGTGGAAACAATCAACCAAAGAAGTTTTCGGGGGTTTAGCAGAATTCCAAGCTTGTGTAAACAAGCGACTTATGATCCATAACGGCTCAGAAAAGGCTTCTGAACAACTGGAAAGCATTTTAAAACGTGATTCGGCACTCTTTGAAACTGAACGTCAGAATTTATACTATTCAGACTATCAAAAGTTACAAGATCTCTTGTATTTTGCTTCGTCATCAAGCGAAGAACTTAAAGAATGGGTTGAAGATGGGATTAATGCTATCAAATACTGCTTTTCCAACGTGCAGGTTGATGGTGCACTGGGTTGTACTTCAGACCCTAATGTATGGTATGTGATTTTTAGAATCATTCAGGTAGCGAAGCATGTACATGTATCTTTAGACGGCGTGCATGAACTGATGAGAAAGATAGACGCTCATCCAGATTTTTGTTAATGATTTAACAATGGTCATGAAAAATAGGTTACAAGATAGAAAATTACTTGATTGCTTTAGATACATGCATCTTATACTCTTCAAGAACGGATTTTGGGGTTAATAAAATAATAAATAGATTTTGTGCCTAATAATAAATAATAAATAAGGAATAGATTACACTTATCTTAATATTTAGTCTAGTGAAAAGGTTTACCTTTTTCTTTTTCACTTGGTAATACCCAGCTTTTTTGACGAATTTCCAAAGCAATCAAATTAGGATCAGTTGTATCATCCGGAATTTCCGATAATACAGGCCTTTCGGCCCAGCCAGATCCACCAAAAAAAAATGTCATCAACGATTTGTTTGGTGTCGTATTTGTTATTTCTCGTATGCATATGAAACATACTAGACTTTTGATTAAAATCCTTAATAGAAGTAAGCATTTTCTCAGCCCAGTTTGAGGCAAGACCAGGAGCAATAGCTGCTTCATCATCCCTGCGTTTTATTTCTTTTCCTTCTGTCAATAAACCAGTCAAACCGCTAAACACTTGAGGTTTTCCAAGCTTTTTAGCAACATGAAAGTTTTCAGTGCCTGATAGTTGTTTCAATCCAATGCCAATACGAAGAGTAGCATTTATTTTACTGTCAGCAAGTAAATATTTTCGAGAATCTAACCCGACCCCGACATATTCCGCTAAATTTATTTTCAAAACACCTAGCCTCGTTGCTCCAGAATTGCTGTAAGATTCACTGAGAATATGAAAATCTAAAAATCGTTCTCGAAGGGTATTAGTATTGTCTACGACAAATCGGACTATTGTCGTTGCGTCGTAATCCCAAACCACTTTATGTTCCAAAACAGGTTCTCCATTAGTTTGTCCGCTGCAATCACGAGCATGAATGCCATCTACATTCCATTTTATAAAGACTAGCCCAGTGACCAAAGGAATATTTGCCAAATCTTGGATTTTCAAATGAAGTTCGAAGGTTGGTCGCCGTGCCTTTGGAATGAATATGTTCATAGAGCTTTCGCAAGCAGAACGCTTACTTGATTATAGATATAACCAAAATTATTTTAGGTGTATTCCCTCTAATGTAAACAAACAGGTTAAGTTATCTTCAAATAAACTGTTTTTTTTAAAAAAAAAAATGGCAAAAAGTATGAACTTTTCAATAAAATATAGAAAATGAATAAATCTGCAATTGGACTTGACTTTGGCGGTCTGTTTAGGAACAGAAACTAAACTATGATGACGATAAGCAATTACTGCCCTAAGTAACAATAAGCGTTAGGTAACATGGTATGTAAACAAAAAATTGCATGAATTGCAAAAATAGAATAAAAATAAAGGGTCTCATACAGATTTAAATGGTAAATTTCGGAGAAAAAGGGCTCAAGAGCCTAATTTAAATTCTTGAAGCGTTTTGCGGGAAAAAAATGAAGAAAATGTCGGCTTGTTCTCTGGTGAAATATGCACCATGTACATAAAGATTCCATTGGCAATATGTGCATGAATTAAAAGAAGGTAATTAAAATAGAATTTATTTGGAGAAATATCGGTAGTTTGGTTCCTTTCGTTAGAAGACAAGTCCACGAGACATATTGTCATACATTCATGACCCTTAAAAGTCAATATCATTTAGTGTTCTTTCGAAAACAGAAGAGCATTCAAGTTCATAGCCTTGGACCTCACTAAGTTTGGAAATTACCACCATACGACAATTTTCCAAAAGGCTTTTTAACCGGATTGCATCTGTTGTGGAGAGTTTTCCATGCTGAACGAGTTTGAGACTCAAGCCATCTAAAACCGACAATGCTCGAAACATTGGTTCAGGTGCCGGTGGAAAAGCAACAATCGCATCAATAAAAAAGTCCAACCCTCGTAGAATAGCGTTGACAGCCAAGAATGAGTCTCTTTGCATAGGCATAGCATCCAGCACTTGAAAGTATGGCTCGAGATCACGAATTAATTCATCAAGTGATTGAAAGCCCCCAGGATGAAATCTGCGAATTTGATTAGTTACGATTCAATCGAACGTTTGCTCAAAAGAGCCTTTCTTGCGTTTACAAGATCCTACTTTTTTTGAAAGTTTTGAGAAACATTTAGTAACTGTTCATCCAAGTAATCTCTAAGGTGATTTAGCTGACTTTCACTCAATTCTTTCATTATTACAGGAAATTGAAGTTGTATGTAATATCATCGCAGAAAGAGTACAGCAAAGAAACATCTGCGTGTGCTAGCCAAGGCAAACACCAAGGATGAAAACAGTATACTTAAGAAATCCGATCAGGGATTTATGTTGACGATTTAAATAAGCGCTGAATATAAGAAGAATAGAAACAATTAGTAAAATGGTTGTTTGCAGTTTCAAGCGTCATTGGTAATAAGTATCCTCAACAAAATCAGTGCAGATTGTTTCTTTCAATACGTTTTAAAGAATAATTATTTTTGGCTGAACGCTATTCGTTTGAAAGCTACTTGTTCTATGAACGTTCATAAATACGTTACAGAGCAGAACATGCATGCTAAATACTTCGATGACAGTATATAAATTATTTTATTAAAGCATAAGTCTTGATTTTTGCGAGGACTTGGAAATGGTCTGTTTAGTATGCAAGTTGCTCAATAACCAATACATTATGCTAATTTTCATAATACTGAATACACATGGGTTATCTCTTTCTTAGCACAGGACTCTGGATCATTTGGTTGTTGAAGCTTTTTTATGGACTTGGGCGCATCGATGAGACAAGCCAAAACTTACCAAAGTACCTTTCTTTATCACCCTTGCCGTTTGTATACAATTGGCAAGCATCATGGACATGCCATGGGTACACGGGTTTGTTTGAAAGGATATAGCAAAGACAACCGTATCTTCGTGTCTTGCGCTATAATCCTAATAGAAACTAGCTACTTAATAAATTCAGATTCAGATTCAGACTCAGACGAAAAGACCCTCCGAAACTTTGTCAAGACTAGGAGAATGGACAAGGAGCATCTAGATACTACGATGTATTCCAAGTTTTGTGGCAATGTTCTACTCATTCTACAATCACTCATCCATGCTGTTTTTTGGATTGGCCCACTTGATAACCTTGCTACTAGTCTTCATTTCTTTATTTTATTTTTATTTTATTTTTTTTGTTTTTAGACTTTCAAGGATCCTTTTAGTAACCCAAGTAACCCAAATAATTATGATTCTGAGAGTAACCAAAAGTGAAACGTAAACAGACTTGAATTTTTCAAGGTTTCCCACTAGGCAGATTGAGGACCTTTCTCAGATCTGCTTGATCTTTAGGTTCCAAAAACCTAAAGGTAAAAAAGGTAATGAAAGGGGTGGGACTCGAACCCACGAGCTTTCGCACTAGTGCCTTAAACTAGCTCCATAACCACTCGGACACCCTTCCAGTCGTTGATAGCGGAACGACTAAACAATTACTGAACTAGTAACTGCTTTAATCATGCTCTGCTAGTGCAATCTACTGTATGTATGGTTCCAAGGATGAAAGAACGCGTATTATTATAACGATTTCTAGTTTTGTTGCTAAAGAAGAAGATCTTCCTTTTTTTACATTTTTTTTATATTTTTATTCATTTCCATTTCACGGCGAACCTTTCAAAACATCATGTCGACTATTACCAACAATTTACACCTTCTTTTAGAGTCAGCTCTATCTTGATCATGTTTTACGTAGCGGCTTATCTTGCGTCCAGATAATCGCTATTTGGATCTTTTCACTACGTTAACCCACAGAACAAAACAACAACAGCAACACAAAGATGAAATGACAAACCAAAGCTGAATCTCTTCATTCCATCAATAATCCATACCCCAAAACAGAAGCGTTGCTTAAAAACTTTCCTTACAACAATATAATATGGAAAATAGTACTCTCGTCTACTGAACTCTAATTTTAACGTCCTGTTCGATCTATAACGGTATTTTAAGAAAGAGGATTCTACAAATCATTATTAACTGATAATGACCATCCTTCACTGATAGTATCTATCAATCTATAGGGGATCAATATTCCCGTAAAGAAAGAAAAAGGTATAAATAATGTACAAGAGTCCACGGTTGAGCTTCATTTTGTTATTGTTTATATTTTTTTATGTTCTTTTTGATTTTGTTTTAATCATTGCTCTTTTTTGATCATAGGAACTAGAACTAGACATATTTAGAGTCAGTTCTTGTGCGGTATACAGAGTTTCAAGGCAATTGCGTACGAATTTTCCTTGCATCGACTGCTACCATTACTATACGTCTTGCTCTATTTGGCATAAAAAACGAACCATTGCTTTTTAAGAATAATACCTCTTAAAAATAATATAACACTTTTCTTTGTAATAGTGATTCCTATTCTCCTTTGTTGTCTTCAACAAAGACATTTGAAAATACAGAACGGGAAGATAGAGAAAAAGAAATAATTCTACAACAAAAAAGAGATCTTGCCTCTTACTCTTGTATTTTGTTAATCTCTGCTAAACAACAAGAGATTATCTGTTTTCTCCAGTCTTTTGGCTTCTCTTTGTTTTTATTCCTATTTTATATTTCCTTTTTTAAACAGAGGAAATGCATTTCTTTCGTTTGCGTTCAGGACTTCTTCGCAATGGCAAGCTCCTTTTGGGTATCGGCGCTGGTGCAGCCGTCTCTTTGAATAGCATGGGTTTGACGAACGAATCAGAAGCTTCATTCTTTCAGAAAGGCTTTTCCAAGGAATTGAGTCACCGTTCGTTCGGCGATGTTGCTCGCGGATTTTTTATTTATGAGATTTGCTCTCGAGCTTGGCTGGTAAAGACCTCCATAGCTGCAATGTCTTTGTGTGATACTCTCCATCTTTCTTTCCTCTATGCCCCTTTTTGCCGTCGTACTTTCTATCGTCATTTCTGTGGAGGTGAAACTCCGACTGCACTCATCCAAAGCATGCAATCTCTTCAAGCTTCTGGGATATCTCCTTGTCTCAATTCTTCTCGAGAGATTGATCTCCCAAGCGACATTGATCCTCGTCAATTTGTTTCCACGGCCAATTCTGTGCCTGAAGAGATCAAGGCCCCTAATGTAACGGTTCAACAAAAGATGCATGATATTGCTCAAGAAGCTTTCGACTCTTATTTGTTAAGTATCGACTTGGCTTCTAAGGTTGAAAACTCTTCTTGTGCGATCAAGTTAACGCCATTCATTAACCCCTTAGTTTTATTCCGGTTCAACGCTATTCTAAATAATACATCCAACCAACCTGCAGCTAGTTTTTCCCAAATTTTGAATGGCAGCCCTTTGCTATCTCCATATGAAAAAGAAGAGCTTCAGCGCTTCTGGTCCTTTTCTGAGAAAGTGTGCGAATTTGCCCAACAAAAAGGTGTCCTTTTATTCATGGATGCCGAACAAACTTACTTTCAAGATACCATCCATTCAATTTCTTTAGATTTGATGAGAAAATACAATAAGCAGGAAGCTATCGTACACAACACTTATCAACTTTATTTGAAAAAGACCAGAGGAATCTTGAATGAGCATATGAGACATTGTGCTCTCGAAGATTGGCTGATGGGTGCAAAAATTGTCCGAGGCGCCTATATAAACTCAGAGCCCCGTCATTTGATTCATGACACAAAAGAGGATACAGATCGAGATTTTAATGGTGCAATGGATTCTTTGTTCTTAGCCGCTTCCAGAGCAGCTCCTGGAACTAGCGTGGCTTCTCAGCTCCCTTCTAAATCCCGCAAAGGTAAATGGGGTATTATGGTTGCTACCCACAACAAATCTTCTATTTGCAAAGTGTTGGACCTTTTAGAAAGAAAGAAAATTGATACAAGCAAAACATCTTTGTATTTGGCTCAGTTGTTGGGTATGTCGGATGATATTACTTATGCACTTGCAGCTTATCCAAGAAGTGAAGTCCCTGAATTTCACATAGCCAAGTATGTCTCTTGGGGACCAATTTATCATGTTCTTCCTTATTTGGTTCGACGTGCCCGTGAAAACATTGATGCCCTAGGGCGTTCGACAGAAGAAAGAGCTTATTACCGTCAAGAGTTGAGAAGACGCTTACATATTTAATTGCTTCTATGATAACTACCCCTTATTACCATTCTATTTTCCAAGAGATCCCTATAAGTTTTTTCTTAAAAATATGGCAGTTTGATTTCTTGAAACTGACAGAGGTATGTATCTTCTGTTCGACATAAGAAACATGTAACGAAGTATATCTAAATTTTACATATCTCCCTTCTTTTTACTACACTTAGTTATTTCCTTAAAATGAATATTTCCCTTTGTTTATTAGATGATTTGAGATACATATTGTTCTGACATGAATGGTACTGTGAAGATATTTTACCTAAAACGCATTATTACATGGTTTAGCAAATTCACCAATAATGAAATAGAAAATTCGTTACGATAAAGTGAACAGAATATAGTACATCCGGATCATGGATAAATATGTTAACAATCATACTCATTGTCCAATTGCTTAGACAGAGGAAAGACAATAAATTGTGGATTTACCAAAAAAGAAACCCTTAATAAAGTAAAGTAAAGTATTTTTTCATATAATTTAAGAGATAATGACAGAAAACAGAGCTCAGTTTGCAGTAGCAAAAGATTGGGATTTTTCAATTTACTACTCGCCTGTTCTGAATCCAAAGAGCTATGGCTCTCGAACCATAACGTCGATCGGAATGATATCAGAGTCTTGTTTTAATTGAACAGTTTGCACGACGCGAAAGCCAAAATGCTCATACCTGGGGCGATTATTAGGATGAGTAGATTCAAGATAACAAGGAAGATTTCTTTGATCGGCAATGTCTAATATTGGTTTAAGGAGTTTTCGAAGGTATCCCTTTCCTCGGCTGTTTGCTTTTACACCAACAAACATAAGGTACCAAAAATTATCGATTCGATCTTTCATGGCTTCTGGCATTACTCTGTTGTGTAACGGAATCAATTCATTGAAGAAACGATGGCGATTTTCGGCACCCAGTTTGTAAAATAATCTCCATAAACCACTTCTCAAAACGGTATACCAATCATCAATTCTTTCACCTGGACCAGCCCATAAAGCGACGCCTGAAAAGTCATCAACCTGGAAGACATGACCGCGCATTAAACAGGCATAAGCAATGTACTCAAAGCAATCTTGTAGCAGCCTCTCGTACTGTTCCCCATTTGGAGGTCCAGCAAAGTACAAATGAACTGGATCGTTATAAAATGCTTCGGCTAAAACAGCAGCAACCTTCTTATAATCTTTTACTTCTACCTTTTGTACAGACATTTTTTGAACGTGATTCAATCGAAGGTCCTTTTTTTTCTCTAACGAAGTTGTTAAAATTTAATGCTTAGTTTTCTTCCTAAGCGCAATAACCTGGTTATAATGTAAGAAAAGTTATAAAGATTTCAAAACTCGATGATGTACTTTGCTTTTTCGCAAATTTATGTCCTAAGTCTTTTGAGCACTTTTGTAGTTATGATTCAACCACTGCACTTTCCCAATGTACACTTAAGGCGATTTAACGCCTCTTTCCGAATTGATGTACTTTATTAACTACCCTTTAACGATGATATTTAAATAAACTTATTTTTTATTACATCAACTTTATTCGGAAGTATAAATCGTCACGTCCGCTTACATTTGAGAGTCCGGGGTTGTGAGGTGCACTCCGCCTTCAATATCCACAATAATTACCATTACTGATGGGATGACACGCTGTGCCATAGTCCTCGTCTCTAGGCCCTTGCGGCAATGAACACTCATAACCCTTACTATTCCTATTAGAACAGTTATGTTACTAATAATATGGGTTGCCCTTTGCCTTGTTAGCGCCAGAATTGAGTTGTCTTTAATACTGCCTGTCCTGTTCATACAGAGAAAACTATTAGGATGAAGGTGACTCCTCCGGGTCAAACTCGAACGCAGCAGGCAAATGGATCAGGGGTAAGCGATGTGCAAAAGAAAATTTAGTTGGTAGCTAGGTATCATAACCGTCGGTATGGCTGCCATGGTATTCTCCCAAGTAAACGTTCACATCCTCTACAGGTATCTCTCCCTCTTTGGCATTGTGCACAAGACCAGAAAAAATTTCATAAACTACCAGAGTATGGTCAATACCGATTGATCATGTATAGTCAGACAAACCGATAGTAATTAACGATTTCTGAAGGGTTAAAACTCCTTGTACAGATTAGTCTATTGGTACGACATTGTCCAGCAGGTTTATATTGTGTTGAAGTTAAAATGAGGTACACTAACGAGCACTATGCTGATTATACCAGAAAATCTACATATACTCATCAGTCTACAGCCAGCATCTCCAGATTGGAAGGTTCGACTGGTTTGTCTAAATAAGATTATCGAAACACTTTCAGTTTAGTCAACCAGATCCCTGGACATTATTAGCGTCTATATACGCAGTATCAACCAGAGTCCAATTGAAGTATACATTCCTACAATCGTAGATATTATTCCACTCGACATTTATTCTCATAACCCGTAAAAATTACAATCGTGACACCGAAGAATGCTGAGCTTCGTATAAAAATAATTTATAGGTTGTCGGTTGGTAAATTAAAAATTAGAAAAACTCCGAAAGTTGTATAATAACATAACATGGAAGGATCCGGAAAAGAAAAATAAGTACAAAGCTGAAACGAAAGCATCGTTCTTCTCCTTCTCTTTCAAGGACCCCTTAACAGCTTTTTACTCTTTTTCATATGGTGCTAGTTTTGCATAAATAATGAACAGAAACATGTAAGTTTTCGTAATTTTTAACTCTAATTGAATTGTTACTTTCAAGTGAATTGACATTTATTGTAAGCACATAAGATCAAAACATTACTGTATTGGAATTTGAAAAACCAGAAAGTATTTCAAGGATCAACGGCGATGCTATGGAAGACATTTCCATCTATGATGAAAACTATCGAGTTCTCCATTAACCTATAAATTCACTATATGTTGCATATATCCTTCGTTGTGTACACAATGGATTCCCACTAAGAGATTATGAAAGCCATCCTGCCCTGTAAAATGAAAAAGTTTCATCAAGTTCTTATCAACGAAAGAACTATGTTTATTGTCAGTTTTACTTCAAAGCTTTTATGCATGAGACTTACATCAGAAGTGGAAGTCGAAGTTTTTATATAAAAACTTCGAAAGGGTCGTAACTCAGTATGCTTTCTTAAATGCACATTCAATGAAATATAAAAGAAATTCCTTGCATCTTTGTCGTTTCCTATTTTACTCTGCGAAAAACATATGATATTAAAGGAGAATATCATAGTAAAGTAGGATTTGCTTACGTATTACATCGTTTACATAGCAACCCGCTCCTAAGGCAACTCAACTTTCCCCCATCTCACTTATTTCCTATAGCCAACTAATTCAAATTGTAATATGTACAGACTTGTTCTTCGTCGTTCATTTGTTCCTCATCTCTCTCAGAGGAAAATTCTAGGAGTAAGATCCATGGCCAGCGACAATAGTGACGGCGACTCCACAGATCCCACTTTAAGCAACGCTAGTTCTGCTAGGGAAGGATCTATTGCTAGACGAGGAAAGGCTAAGGAGAACCAATTTATTCATGAAATTGAAGTTGAACAACTCAGAAAATTAAAAGAGCAATTGAAATCCCACCGCGAAGACCTTGATAAATTGGAGTCCCAAGTAGACTCCAAACTACCCAAGGATGATAAATAGAGGATAACGTATTTATCTCTCATTGCCCTTATTTGCTGTGTTTTCATGGCTATTGATTCAAACCCTTCTCTTGAATACAGCGTTTTAGCCCTAATATCACAGAAGTTACTATGAGATTTGGCTAAATAAACTAGGATATACTCATGATCATCACCTCCCCTTATATTAAGCAGATCCTTACTTTAAATAAGGTTTACTTTCATAGCTAACTAAAAATTATTAAATTCTCATTTTTCCCAAAAACCTCAACTGACGTATAATCCAGACACATGTCCTTTAAAAGGACTATACGAACAACTGAAACGCCTGGATTTAAATAAAATAGTAGAAAACTGACCAAATCCACTTACTGTATAAAAGCTATAATCCCTGCGAAAGCATATTCTGTAAAACTTTCAAAACGAAGAGTCTCTTGAAAGATAGACATTTGCTATTAAATAATATACACTATACAAATTCATAAAAGAACTTCAATAGCCATTCGCAACAAAAGCAATGACCTTTAACCCCTAAAGTAACATAAATCCTGCAGCTTTCACTAGGACTAAAACTCTTCTATGGGTTTCAGTAGTAAACCTGCGTAGAATCATCACCAGCGTCATTCAAAAAACTTTCAAAGTCAAAATCATTTAACAATTCCGCATTGGAATCATTTTTTGAAGCATAATTAAACGTATTATCCGTAGATTCATTAAAAACCCCATCCTTAGTAACGTCTCCAGCATCTTTTCCTGCATTAGTCTTGCCAGAGGCACTCTCTTCTATACGTCCGTTGTCCTGAAGGTCTTTGTTCGCATTGATTCCTTCCTCTGAAGAAACTGCTACATTTTCTTCAGTTCCAGCTGAAGGCATCGAAATTTGTTGAACAGCATCATTCATTGAAGGATATCCATTTGATGCGATATCAGGAGGTCGTGCCGTATCTTTTTGCATACCTTGTTTATCTTTCACCGGTTCAAGAAAGTGTTGCGAGTCAGAGTTTGGATGACCAGATGCTGAAGTACTAGAAGGCAATTTTGGCTGGGAAGGCTGAGTAAATGATGATTGATATTTCGACATTTCTTTTGTATCTGATGAGTTATTTTCACGATTTTGCGTAAGCCAGGAATTTGAATTTTCGGAAACTTCTAAAGCCATTCTATCTTTTTCACTCATCGATACTGTATTAGCTTGGGGGAACTTTTTTGCAATATTTGGATCTCTAGAATCTCGAGCATTTACCGCTGTTCCATGCTGCTTACTACGATTCAGATATTGAGACATCATGATATTCGCTAAACAAATGTTAGATTTTAATCATAATAGTTCAAATACTTACAATGTTCATTTTGTGGAACGTTCATAAACGAATGTTGGACCGGAAGGCTCGGTTGTTTTTGGTGCGGTTGAATATATCCCGTCGTAGGCACATCAGTTCCTTTAACTTGAGAACTCATTCCTCCACTTGGTTTGGGATGAAGATGAGATGCTCCATCAGTTGTTGACTTTACTTGACTATTTTTTAGCTCACGGTTATAGCGCTCGTATGTTTCCGGTGAAAGAGAATCTCTTTCACCTTCTTTTCGGGCCATCATTAATCTCTTTTTGTTTTGCTCTTCCAATAACATTAGCTGCATATGATAATCTGTCAAAGGATTTCCGAGGTTCACATTGCTAGCTTCTCCAGACATTGTAATGTCATTAGAAAGAACAGACATGTTCGGTGTTTGCCCTCTTCTCATTGCAAGTTCTCTTGTTTTAGCAAACTCTACCGAACCCTGATTAGCAGTAGGCGATTCGTACATTTGAGGATGATGACTTGACATCGGTAGTTGTCCCCTATAATAGTTGGGCATATGAGCCTGCTGTGAAGGAAGTCGGTTCGCCATATTTGGATTCATTCCATATTTACCATTCAAATCAACTGGATTTTGTGGCAAATAGGGAGGCATACCATCAACACTGTTTCGGGGACGATATTTCTGCATATCATTGACCCCAAATTCAGAATTTGCAGGATAACGAGGTTGTATCATCATATTCGGGGAAGGTTTAAATGTAGGCATTGAAGCGGCCTCTCTCATATTATTATGATATGGGTAAAAAGACGAATTACCACCCATTCCAGAAGATGCTTGAGTAATTATGGGAGACGCTGAGCTTCTTGTGGTAGAGTTTGGTTTGTTAGTACTATATAAAGCTTTAGGATCGGGTATTTTTTTTTGAACCGTACTAGATGCAGGGTTCACGACAGGTTGCTCATTAGACTGTACCTGAGAATCCTTGGAAGTAGCCGGATTAAAATCTACAGCTGGCTCTGACATTTGTTTGCTCTGACGATGAAGGTATTCTTGCTGAGACTTAAGCTGATGGATTTGAGCGGGTGTAGGAGGATAAAATCCGTTTCTGGAGGAGCTTGGGTTCATACCTGGGCCAACAGCATAAGTATGATTATTAGGATCATTGACCAAAGATCGAGGTGGACTAGCTGATAGCATGGATGTATTTGGATAATTGGGAGGAACAGAGGAAGGAGGTACACCTAACGAGTAAGGCATAACAGAGGGAGGTATATTACCAGCAGGTAGCGCAGATCCGTATTTCTGTGATCTATCAGCAAGGCTTATGTTCGAAGGGGGACCAGAAAAAGGGACAGCTCGGGAAGGGAGAGCGTACGATTTCGGGTTATTTCCTGTGGTCATTGTATCTGATTTCGGAAACGCTGAAGTAAAAGGTGCGTACGGCTTGTTTTCAGAAGATTTCAATTCAGTAGCAGCGTAATTCAATGGGTTAACACTAGATGATTGCACATTAGGTACATTTGAGGGAATGGGTGTAGAAGAAGAGTGATTTTGACCTCTGTATGCCGACCTGTTAAAATGAGGATCATACAAGTGGGAAGAGCTATTAACTCGACTAACACGAGCACTGAAAACGTCCCAGAAAATATTAAACCATTCGACGAAAAATCCTTCAGGAATATCAATAGCAACAGACGGGGCGGGCAAAGGCATAGAAAAATCGTTGGCTTCAGCAGTTGTATCTTTCTTGGATTCAGAAGTTGGGTTTGCATTGGATGGAATATTCATATTGAATGAATCAAGATGTTCAGACTTGCCGTTTGCAGCATCGAAAAGATTTTGGTCGTAATGAAAAGACTCTTTCTGTTGATTGTTATATCCATTGTTTTGGACGAAATCTTCCATTGTATTTTGGTCACGATTAGAGGGAAGTTGTATCTCTGATTCCTGTAAAAAGGCTTTAGCCGTCTCTTGAAACTTGTGCTTTACGAAATAATCATAAATATAATAATCCAAAGTTTCTCTGGGATGAAGGGAATCTGTAGAGGCAGCTGCGGAATTTTGATTTTTCGAGGTGGAAGTCGACGAGGACTCAGTATCCATATACTCTGTCATGCTTTGGAAAAAAAAAAAACAACAAAAAAAAAAGACTAGAAAAACGTTGAAACTGAGTAACTTTTTAACTATAACAAAAACAGAGCACCAGAAATTTGAGAAAACAAAAAAGAGAAACCTATACGAAACAACAAATAACAAAGATTTTAGAAAACCAAAACCGAAAATAATGAAACTGTATTTGAGGAAGGAGAATGTTACGAAGTAAACGAGGAAGTTCCCACTGAAAAACAATAAAAGAACTTCAGATTCTGCGGGATATCTGCTTTGTAGGATCGGAAAAAACTAAACTTTGATATTCATCGAAAACAAGCAAAAAGTGCATAAATAGTTGAAAGAAGTGAATAACCCAAAATGATTAGTTCCGAATCCTTTTATATAACTCCCAAAACAGATATTTTTGACAGCTCAGCCAAACTTCAAAATTCAGTACTCGTACAGTTTACGTCTATTTTATATATAATTGAAATACCACTCACAGATTAGGATGTATGGCGAGCGAGCTAATTGAAATAGAAGAGAATAAACTGTTTGCTTGTGACAGTTTGGTGGTAATCAAAAGGTTTCAGGTAATCTGTAGTTACGGTGCACCTTGTTATTTACAATAGCGAGAACATTACCTTCTACTCAAAACTGCGTTATCGTATTTATTTATTTTTATTTTTACAATTAACGAATGCTTGGTTTTTTTGAGCTGGCATATGCACCAGTGTGAAAGGAAACTGTTTACTGACACTGTTATCAAAGTTAAAAGGAATCACAAAAGCTTTCTATTATAAAAGAGGCAAGTTAGAATAATTTCTGAAAAAGAAATTTTCGGAAATTATCTATAAAACTATGTCTTACTTTTACGATTATACTTTAAACGAATGCGCTGATAGTTGCTTTTCAATGAATGAGTTTATCATGCTCTCAGAATATGAAGAATGTGCACAGTATAAACCATTCTGAACTATTTTCGTTCAATTAACATGATGTTTTATACACTAGGCTGTTATCATCTATCATATCAATTATCTGAAGTTAGGGAAACATAAAAGTTAATGAAAACAAAGCATCCAAATTGCTATGAAAATACTCTAACTGGAATTTTTCTGAACAAGAAGGAGCTTTCGTAAGTGACCATGAAATAAACCATGGGAAGCAATAACATTCAAACCGCTTAAATATTACGGACTATTTATTATTGTAGCATAATATTGGTTTTCTCTCAAATAATAATGATGAGTTAATGGTGTTTTCTGTTCTTTCAGTAACACAAGAATGACATGGTTTAACTCAATAATTTGAGTAGCCCCGGTTTAATTGTTTCAGCGCATTTGAAGTACCATTTTGTAAAAAATATCAGCAACTACTCACAACCATCATGACGGCACATTGAGGAAAAAATGTGAAGATTTCAGGAAGAGAATGTATTTTCTTATTTTTTTAATGTTAATAAACTGCTATATGTTTATTAAAGGCCTCAAGTGTAACCAATATACCTGAGATCTGTGAACTTTATAAAAGTACGAAGCGCCCACACAATGCTATATATATTTGCTCAGTCGCACTCGCTTTTTTTTTTAACATAAATAAATATATCAAATTAAAGTTTTAAATATCCCTGGATATTGAACTATGAAGTTGCAAGTTTTTGTTTAATCTTGAGGTTAATCTTGAGGAAACAGGAAACTGAATAATCAGCCTCTCTTTTGAATGCTTGATAAATTAGGTTACGTTTAAATCCAGACGTGGCATATCTCAATAAAGTCATTAATAAGTGTGAGTATGCTAACATATGCAAGCCTCCCCAACACTATATTACTGTCATCGTATTCATTATAACATCTCTCAAATCTAACGAGTCCAACATAAATCTTCTTCCAAAAGATAGTCAAGTGAATTATTGTAAGGTTGAATTTAAATTGTATGGTGCAATGGGATGGGAAGTAACGGAAAATAATAAGCTAGACCTCTCCCTTAAATGGTATATACCAAGTCTAAGGTAAGTACAGCAATGAAACGGAATTTGGCACGTCATTTTTGTTTAGGGATACTTTAAATACCAAAATTTTAGGACAATGATTGCAAAAGGTTAGCAAGCGAGCGAATTTGAATACTGGATTAAATCTAAAAATACGTCATTTAATAAATATGCGTAAATGATCTGTTTAAGCAGAACATTCAAAGCGTATCGAGGTCCAAGAAGTATTTTAAAAAATTGTTAGTACCAAGGTGTCATTCTCCCAATCCATCAGATTTCGGCTTTCTTCTCTATAAGTATTTAAATATTTAAGCGATAATCAAATCCTGTCCTTTTTGACTTATCGAATAGTAAATGGATTGAAGTAGCAACAGAATACACCTAATTATAGCTTTCATGTGATAAAAATCCAACAATAATTATCTTCCTGATTCCCTTGGCGTATAATGATCCTTAATTAGTCATACCATTTCAGTTATATTACCCAAATGCCAAAGCTATTTAGTCTGTACACAGATGTGAAAGTAATATAAATGCAAATGACCATTAGGTTGTTAGATACATGCTAAAATAATAAGAAACAGTGGAGACCAAGGACAAAGCTAAATTACAAATCATTTCACTATTGATTTTTCTTCCTTCCGAATTAGAGTTGGTGCATTGAATATTCCCGACAGAAAAGTAACCCACAACATAATTGATGTTGAGATGATAGCCTTTTCAGAGATAAATTTCTTTCATATGTTCAAGAAGGTTTTTTATCCTGTAAAAGTTCATTAAGCAATCACATGTTGTCCTATGCATATAATTGGGATGTCAGCATAAAGGTCCTCAAACATTTTTAAATTTCTGATAATTTTTCTTTCTATAAATCAAATTAGCTAGATGTTCCTGCTTTTTGTTTCTTGTAAATTACTAAATTCGTTAAGAACTATAACAGGAGTTCATCAATTTTCTAAATCTCTCGGTTGAGGTCATATCTGCCATGGGAATTAGACTTAGGTTGCCAAAAAGGACGCGTATGTCAGCCAATCAAGGAGAGTATGGCCCAAAAAACTCAGTTGCAATTCTTTTCGGTTCTACACCCAGCTTTACTAGTTCTTCCTTAACAAATCGCATGTAACTATTCGGTCCAAGCATATATATGTCGCATTCAGCAGAATTCAGCTTCATAATGTCTTCACGAAGTAAAACACGTGTCATTAACTCGTCTATAATCTCCTCTTTGCGGAGATAAGCTTCTTTTGAAAAAAATTCTTTCAACTTGAATCTTTCTTTATATTGATCCTTGAGTTGTAAGAGCCAATTTTTAAAAGGGCGAGAGGAATAATTCCTATTAGAATAGCAAAACACAACTGTTCTTCCATCCAACAAAGCATTTTCAACGATAGGAACAATAGGTGTTATTCCGATGCCACCAGCAAAACAGAGCACTGGAGGCTTTCTCTTTCCTTCAACCGTTTTGTATGTGAACTTACCGGCTGGAGGACTAACTCCAACGATATCACCTACTTTCAAATGCTCATGAACATAATTAGAGACAATTCCCTCATGGACGCGACGTACAGATATCCGGTACTGATTTTTTTTGGTATCAGGGTATTTTGATAAAGAATATTCTCTAATTGTTTCATGCGGCAACCCTGGTATCTTCCATGAGATACTAATATACTGTCCTGGGTAAGCAGAAGCAATTTTGAACGTTTTATCTCTTGGAACCATATAAACAGATTTTACATCGAAAGATTCGTCAATAAGATCTACGACTTCAAACTCAGCGAAGCCATTCCATGGTTGGCTCTGGTAAATGTTCTTTTCAGCGTCAATCAGAATTTTTGCTAAGTTTCCATATGCTATAGTCCAAGCTTCTAAAAATTCAGGAGTAGCGACATCCTCTCCAAGCATTTCCCGCATTGTAGCTAGTAAACATTGTCCAACAATGGGATAATGCTCTGCTTTGATCTGTAAACCAATGTGCTTGACAATGATCTGATCAATGAACTCTGAAAGTGGAGTAAGATCATCAATATTTCGAGCATAATTTAACAGGGCGAAAGCTAAAATTCGTGGTTGAGACAAAGATATCTGATGAGCTTTATTAAAGTATGGACGCACCTCGGGATAATTCTCCAACATTCTTTGATAAAAAGCCTGGGTTATATTTACCCCAGATGATTCAAGAATAGGGATAGAAGAACGAATATACTGCTTTTGCGAATCATTCATTTCTTTCAAATGATATTCATTCACTGGAAGCCTGGTGTCGCTTGTCGCAGTAATACTAATACCGTCCCGACCAATCTGAACAGCCGACATTGCGCTTTATTAGTCCTAAAAAGTACTCTACCTAAGTCCTTTATAAATGGTTAAGACTTTCACCAAAGTGGCGATAATTGCCTGAGGAGATAAATTATGATCCTATTTTAGTAAGCTAAATTATAATAAAGTCAGTTCATTCGTGACTACTTGCCACTTCGTATTTTTTCAGTTCGCCTATTTGAGGGCTTGAAGGTTTAATCCTCGCTAACTCTTCCGAGACAAGTCCCGTTTTAGCTCCTTTCATATATTCCGACGAAATAGTAACATTCTTAATTAAGAGAATGAGCTGAGTGGTATCAAAATCATTCTGTACTTACTTATTATTTACCTCGCGTACTCATCATTAGAAAATAGAATACCTTAGCCAGAGTTGTGATAATTACCATAAAATAAAAATTCAGAAGAATTACTCGATTACAACCAACTGACTCTTTCAATCTTCTGAATGCCGCTTTACCCTAAAAGCTTTTACTATATACCAGAATATTCTCATCTAATGGTTTTATTTTAATAAGAAATAGGTGATAATGATAAATCCATTACATTGAACTTTTTTTTCTGTAAATTCAGGCTTGATCAGTAATGCTAAACAAATGAAGCTGATTAAGTTATGGAATGGTGCAATAATTCTAAAACAGAAAGCTACTAAAGGATTTTAAATCAAGCATACATAAGGAATGCTTTTTAGCACATTTTTAGAATTCAAACCTAAAAATTATACGCTGCAGGAATTCTCAAAACGTGTATAGTGTACTTGACTATATATAGAGTAAATATTGCAATTTTGTATACTTCGCCTCATATCATACTTATTGTAAGATTTAATTTGCAATTACTTATTACCCCTTTTTGTAGCCAAAGAGATCTTTATTCAATAGCTTCACTTTATTAATTAGGTGCCTTAACCCCTAAAACGTACCTTTTTCTTTTGTTTACTATTTGTATTTTCGCATCCTTTTAGTCTTATGGCATTTGTTAATACTCGGCTGTCACGGGAAAATACTCCGTATAGTTATAAGAATGTGAGTGGAATACAATTGTAATTGCTTTAAATGTCAAGTTGATTTACTCTAAAATAAGTTACTAAATATCTGGAGTGATATATCTTTAGTAACGTCTCTGGTGATACTAATGAATATGTTATCGAACAAGTTTATTAGCTCTGCCAGCAAAAATCCTCCTAACTGAAGATTTTGGCTGAGGAGAACGGCGTTTATATAGTAATCTAAAACTAGTAAGTAAACAAACAATAAGGTTTAACTAATCTTTGATGATTGGTTACACTTTCCGTCTGTTTTCTCAGTTTGTTTGTTTATTAACATTGATACTAATGTCATAATTGGGTCCCTCGTTAGCATTCATAATATAACAATCCGTTATAAGAATGGAATATTAGCTAATATCAGTTAATATTCATAAGCTTAAAGAATTGTGCTTGATAATAAGTAAACAAAAATTTGAAAATGCAAATTTCTCTTTGAATGCAGAAACTCCGATTAAAATTTACAATTCGTGATTATTGCTATTAATTAGAGAAGCCAGTCACAATGGCAAATATACAGAATAATATATATATGTGTGTCGACAGTCGAAATCTTTAGATCGGAAGATTTGACTGATCAGGCTAAATAAGATTGACACAGTCGTTTTCATTTAGTTAATCAGATCCCTGGACATATTACTATTACTCTACGTAGTACTAACACGTCCAATTCCAATAGACAATTTTGTAATTGTACTTATTACTTCCACTCGATTTACATTCTCATAACGTGTGAGATTTCTCCCGTGACAAGTAAGTCATATACTCCATAGTATAATCATTACCAAATGGTTTGTAATTTTATTAAGGATTGCTCTGACAGATAGAAGCGCAGACATCTACTATTTATTTTCATCCGACTACAAAATTCTGTTTATCCTAAGCTTACAAGTTTTACCAACCTTTTTCTAGCATAGTGACAAATAAGTGGATACTAATTTAAGATGGATGCAAGAGTTTTTGTAAATGAATTCAATATTCCTCCGCCCACGACTGAAACATCTGAGGATGTTATGAGGTTTTTAAAAGACTTTGAAATTGCTGCCAAGGGAAGGAATATTGAGAATGAGGGAAGAAATATTGAAAATGAGGTTAATGTTCGTCTCCAAAAGCAACAGATTCTGAATGTAGCTTCCCAATTCAGACAAAGAGAGCGTACTCTTGAGGATACACCTCCAAGATGGTTTCAGATGTGGGTGAATGATGAAAATGGATTTTCAGGACTATTTAACAGAATAGGTCGAATGGAAACCAGAATGGATCGAATGGAGACGAAAATGGATCGGATGGAAGCAAGAATTGACAGAATAGCAAACGTTCAACGAAGATCCTTAGGGTTTCCTATCGACGTCGTACCATTTTTAAATGGAGAGGAACCTACTGAAAAATTACCTCAAATTAGATCAGTTGAAGATATCGATCTGTTAACAAAAGATCAGTGCACTTCTTATTTAAACGGGTATGGAATAAGATTTAACCCTAATGAAACTATTAAATTGAAAGAAAGGCTCCGCGATGTTGTCGGTTTAATGAGTGCTTATGATTTAGCTTATCAGTTTTCTGGATTCCCTTAGGATCTATGATTATGAGTATTGAAGAATTACATCCGTAGAAGTATTGTTGTTTTGAGCATACTGCTTTTGAATGCCAAATATTTGCATTTGTCGTGAGCCAATGATATCGGTATATTCTGCACTTCACGAAGTTGAGCTAGTAGGATTGCTCTGAAGCCCCAATTATTTACTCGTAGTCGTTCGCAGTGGTAATGGTACATAATCCTTTTGTTGATTTCTCAAAAGCATGGGCGATGTTGTGTTTCAGTTGAGCATTTAAATTTTAATCCAAGGAAAATACTCTAATAATAGTTTACAAAGAAGCAAAACCATACCACTAGTAATCTCGCGACAAGCTTAATGAGAATAATACTCTCGCGACAACTCATTCTATCCAAGTGAAAACCACATAAATGCAAGTTCTTACTAGAAATGCACTATCAATAACATTTTCTGATAAATATTTTTAATCTACTTACATAAGAAGATTCCAATCAATAGTGTTAGCTAAATTAAAGAAACACTGTTCGCCCATTTGCTAACTGATAGAATATAAATTATAGAAATGGTACAATGTTACACAACACATACGAAAGCTAAAGCTGCTGATTAACAACGTATTGTACTTGAACCAATTGAATTTTCCGGAAATGAAAATCTGTTAGCTTCCATATATTGATGCAGGGAGTATAAAAGACATCGGATTCAGCTTTTATCGGATTTTTTCTCCTATGAGTTTATTCGACGGAAGCTTTTTGTTTCCTTTTTGAATGTAAATATTCTCAGTTCCACTAAATGCGAAGTTCAAGAGAACTAAAGGTAAAGTCGAAAGCAATTTACTTGTTAAACACATCCAAAATTCCAATCGTAATAAGTAAAATTGAAAGAATCTGGTTTCAGCTGGAAATTC